GAAATGTGGCAAAGGCTATCATTGGGCTAATCAATGCAGGAGTTCGGGAAACTCCATTGCGGCCCCACTCTCGGGCCAGGGCAATTAGAGAGATTTCCACCTTTAATTTCTGCTGCTGCAAACTTTTCAAAAACCAAACCCTCTGAATTTGCCATTGATTTGATCAATCAAGAGACCAAAGACTCTGTTTTACCTGGTGAAATTGTGCTTATGCCCACTCAATTGGCAGGCCCCCTGCCTCCTAAAGTCGCAGGTTTAATTTTACCCAAATTTTCTGCGGCAAAGGAAGGAATCCAGGTTATTCCTGGGGTTCTGGATCCTGACTATGTAGGCACAATAATGGTTCAACTCTGGAGCCATATGCCCATGCAATTAAAAAGGGTGAGTCTTGGGCGCATTTGGTGGTGCTCCCTTCTCATCCTACTGCTTCTATTATGGATACTAATTTGCACGAGCTCTCTTCTTTCCCTCCACAGCTGTTAGCTGTAGTCCAGAGGATTGGTGAGAAGAAACTTCTTCGTAAGTATAAAATCAATGGTATTGTGCTGGAAGGCTTGATTGACACAGGTGCAGACGTTTCTGTAATTTCTAGTAGTTGCTGGGACCCCACGTGGCCCCTTGAGTCTGCCTCTGCTGTCTGGGGTGTGGGTGGCCCCCCAAACCTCTTCCAAAAGCGTACAGTGGCTGCCTGTTTCTCTGCCTGATAGCTCTGAAACCATTGCTTACATCCAGCCCTGTGTGCTGAAAATCCACCTCAATCTGTGGGGAAGAGACTTACTACAACAATTACAAGCTACCATTCAATTTAATGAGTAAGCTTGCACTTCCCCTCAGCTGGAAATCTACCAGTCCTGTATGGGTGGAACAATGGCCCATAACAGGAGAAAAGCTACTTGCTTTAAAACAATTAGTGAATGAACAATTAAAAGAAGGCCGGTGTCCCAGCCTCACTTTCCGAAAAGGAAGGCTGGCTGGCCAGTGTTCTCTTTACTCTCAACCATTTGAATGTTTCCATACAGGATCATCAATCTTATACTCGCCTACAGAAGCATTTTCAACAAACAGAGATACTCCCAGCCCCACTGGTCCGCTATAAGATATTACCCTCCAACGAGTGGAGTGAACCTGTAAAACTGATCACCTGGGGAAAGGGTTACGCTGCAGTTTCTACTCCACAGGGTGCTCGCTGGGTTCCCGCACGCTGCATCCGCCTATACCATGGCATGGTGACAGTCCCTTCCGAATCCAATACCGCAGTTCAACCACAAACTACGGATCGCCCAGGCTGCAACGCCCAGCCCCCCCAGGACTCGCAAGCGGGGAAATCGTAATGGACCTGTGACATGGGGCCAAATAAAATCACTCTCATGTCAGGCTGAACAGCTTAGAAAGGAAAAGCAGCTTGAAGCAACCCCTGAGAATTTGCTCTTGTGCGTTATTTCCTGCCTTAACATTAATTCCATGATAGTGCTCATTCTCAGTGTTTTGTTTTTGCCTCTTTCTGCTTCCTCTCCTACTAGTGATACCCACGCACCAACAAATGTGTGGGAATCTTTTGCAAAGACACTCAATATTTCTTCTTTTTGCCTTACCCAACAGGTACAGTGGTGCCTCGCAAGACGAAATTAATTCGTTCCGCGAGTTTTTTCGTCTAGCGAATTTTTCGTCTTGCGAAGCACGAAATCCCATAGGAATGCATTGAAATCCAATTAATGCGTTCCTATGGTCAAAAAAAGTCCAATCAAAGCCAAATTTGGTACAACAAGAGTTTATTAACTGCTCTTTAAAGTCACACATACTTTAAAGAGCATATCACAAAATGAAGGAACAATATATTAAGTTTCTAAACATGGCAGGAAAAACATTTAAAAATCAAACAAGGGTACATTACATGTTCTACGACTCTGGGGACCACTCGAAGAAGGTTCCTCTTCCACTCTTTGCTTCTTGCTGAGGAACCTGTCCATGGTCTGCTGCTTCATCCGCCTTTTCAGCAGCTCCCTGAGAGGCGACATGACCGTCGTATCAAAAATGTTCGCTTGGTCATGTGCCACGTGCTTGTCAGGGTGGTGCCGCTCTGCAAAAGCCTGCACCTCATTCCACTTCTGGCAAATGTCCCTCAGTTCTTTGGAGGACAGCCGTTCCTCAGTTGCTTCCTCCTCTTCCAGCGAGGCCTGCTCCTGCGCAACCTCTGACTGCAGTTCAACCAGCTCCTGGGTGGTCAGCTCGTGGTCGTGCTCCTCCACCAGCTCGCAAACGTCCTCCTCTGTGACCTCCAGGCCCATGGTCCTCCCCAAGGCAACAATGTCCTGCACCACTGTCGACTCTGGTGCATCAGAGTCACTTGGTGCCACACAGTCCGGCCACAGGCTGCGCCAAGCGCAATTCAAATTCCTCTGGCTGATCCCCTTCCAGGCCGTGGTGATCATCTTCAAGCAGGTGACGATGTCGAAGTGGTCCTTCCAGAATTCCCGCAGGGTGATGGTGGTGCAATCAGTCACCTCGAAGCATCGCCTGAAAAGCTCCTTGGTGTAGAGTTTCTTGAAATTGGCGATGACCTGCTGATCCATCGGCTGGAGCAGTGGCGTGGTGTTAGGCGGCAGGAACATGATGTTGATGAAGCTGAACTCCTCCAACAAGTCCACCTCAAGGCCTTTAGGATGAGCAGGAGCATTGTCCATCAGAAGCAAAGCCTTCAGCGGCAGGTCGTTGTCCAGCAGGTACTGTTTGACAGCAGGGCCAAAGGCAAGATTGACCCAGTCCACAAACAGCACACGTGTGACCCAAGCCTTGCTGTTGGATCGCCACATGACACTCAGCCGCTCCTTGTCGACCTTGTGTTTCTTGAAGGCCCGTGGGTTCTCCGAGTGGTACACCAGCAGGGGCTTGATCTTCAGGTCGCCGCTTGCGTTGGCACAGAAGAGCAGGGTCAGGCGGTCCTTCATGGGCTTGTGGCCAGGCAACTTGGCCTCCTCCTGTGTGATGAAAGTCCTTTTGGGCATCCTCTTCCAAAACAGCCCAGTCTCGTCGCAGTTGAAGACCTGCTGTGGAACGTAGCCCTCCGTCTTCACAACCTCCAGGAACTCCAAGGCAAAGTCTTCAGCCGCAGGAACATCAGAACTGGCAGCCTCTCCATGCCTGACCACGCTGTGGATTCCGGATCTTGCCTTGAACCGGTCAAACCAGCCTCTGCTTGCCTTGAAGACTTCTGGCTCGGCCGAGGTTCCTGGCTGTTCCCGGATGAGGTCTGCGTGCAAGGCCTTGGCCTTCTCACAAATCACGGCCTCAGTCACTGTGTCCCCTGCACGCTGCTTCTCTTCTATCCAGATGAGGAGCAACTTCTCGACCTCCTCCAGAACAGCTGGGCGGTTCTTCACGATCCTGGTGACTCCCTTGGCTGCATCAGTCGCAAGGATCTTCTCCCTCATCTTCAGGATGGTCCCGATGGTCGATGGGTTCCTGCCGTACTCCCTGGCGAGGTCCGTCACACGCATTCCACCGTCGTGCTTCCGGATGATCTCCTTCTTCATCTCCAGCGTCACCTTCTCCTTCTTCCTCTCGCCGGCCTCCGCAGCAGCAGCAGTCTTCTTGGGTCCCATGGCAGCACAGCTGTTACCTTTGTAAAACTCAGAAAAAGAAAAAAAAAATCAGCAATTCAAACCCACAACCAAGTCCTTGAATTCCAAACACCCAACCCAAAATCCAAAACCCCCCCAAAAAAGTTTTAAAAGTTTAACTTACGAAATGGCTGCAAATCACCAAAGTCTTCAAAATCCTCAAATGGCTGCAAAAGAAGTTTTGGGAAAGCTTTAAAAATCACCAAAGTCTTCAAAAACCTCAACTGTTCCCCCAGCCCCTCCCCAACTGTTGCAAACCCCTCCCCAACTGTTGCAAACCCCTCCTCAACTGTTCCCCCAGCCACCCAGCACACAGAAATTCAAAACCCAGAAAATTTTTTCAAAAAAAACCAACATGGCCCAATGGTTACAGAAAACCATAAAAATTCCAAAACAAACCACACAAGCTCCCAGATTCCTGCAAACCCCTCCTCAACTGTTCCCCCAGCCACCCAGCACACAGAAATTTAAAACCCAGAAATTTTTTTCAAAAAAAACCAACATGGCCCAATGGTCACAAAAAATCATAAAAATTCAAAAAAAACCACACAAGCTCCCAGATTCTTGCAAACACCTCCCCAGCTGTTCCCCCATCCACCCAGCACACAGAAATTTAAAACCCAGAAATTTTTTTCAAAAAAAAACAACATGGCCCAATGGTCACAAAAAATCATAAAAATTCAAAAAAACCCACACAAGCTCCCAGATTCTTGCAAACACCTCCCCAGCTGTTCCCCCAGCCACCCAGCACACAGAAATTTAAAACCCAGAAAATTTTTTCAAAAAAAAACAACATGGCCCAATGGTCACAAAAAATCATAAAAATTCAAAAAAAACCACACAAGCTCCCAGATTCTTGCAAACACCTCCCCAGCTGTTCCCCCATCCACCCAGCACACAGAAATTCAAAAATTCAAAGCCAGATTTTTTTTAAAAAAAAATAAACATGGCCCAATGGTCACAGAAAATCATAAAAATGCAGAAAAAAACCACACAAGCTCCCAGATTCTTGCAAACCTCTCCCCAACACCAAGTCCTTGAATTCTAAACACCCCAACCCAAAATCCAAAAACCCAAAAAAGTTTTAAAAGTTTAACTTACCAAACAGCTGCAGAAGAAGTTTTGGAAAAGCTTCAAAAATCCAGCAAACTCTTTAAAAAGCTCAGAAAGGCCACCACACCGCGTGCAATGTGTTGCTCCTCGAGGTCAAGTCGCAACTGCACCTCTTCCAGCAATGCACCCTGGGTTTTAACGGTTTTACGAAAAGGAAACAAACTTGCAAGACGTTTTCGTCTTGCGAAGCAAGCCCATAGGGACATTCGTCTTGCGAAGCAACTCGAAAACGAAAAAACCTTTCGTCTTGCGAGTTTTTCGTCTTGCGAGGCGTTCGTCTTGCGGGGCACCACTGTATCTATAGGGGAAATTCTTGGCTCCTGCCTTATCCCTGTTTGCCATGACCCTTTTGATATACAAAATGATACCTGGTTTTTCTCATCCCTACCCACGAATGATTCTCTCCGCACCCTTGGTTATTCCGGTTATTATGTCTGGGGTAACCAAGTGCGCCGCCGCCCATCTCTGGCCATTGATTTATCGACCCCATACGTGGCTTCCTTTAATGTCACTTGCGCCCGTATGGTGAATTGCACAAAAGCCAACTGCGTGAAAATGGCCACTGATAATTTCCACTGCTCTGATTATGTAAATATTTCCTATCTGTATAAATACACAGAACTACCTGCGGGTTGGTTCTGGTCGTGTCCTGGCTATACATTTAATTACATTCCTGCAAACATCAGTCATGGAACACCCTGTTGTTTAAGTCGTTTGTCCATTGTATTACCCAAAAAGCATCATTTGACCCCTTCTCGACATCGCCGCTCTACTGAATTAACAAATGATTGTGATGATTCAATTTCTCTTCCCAGTAGATCTGAATATATCTCCTTAGCTGTCTCTCTCTTAGGAGTTCCTGGATTGGCTGTACGGAATCGTATGAACATTACTTCTTTAGCTTGTTATGCAGCAAAAACTCTGAATTATACTCCTCAAGCCCTTCACCCTTTGAATAAAGAACAGAGTGAACTATATAATGGACTTTTACGAAATCGTGCTGCTATCACTATTTGCTGATGCTTCATCATTATGGCTGTGAACAAGTGAATGACATGTGTTGTTTCAATATTACTGACAATTCTAGAGCCATTCAAAGCCAAATCTCTCATTTGCAAAATCTTACACATCATATTAAACAGGACGTTGGATTCTCTGGCCTCTGGGATTCTTTCACCCAGTGGCTTACTGCTTGGTTGCCTAACTTTACTTGGCTTCGTAGTCTCTTTCAATATGCTATTTTCATAATTTGTATTCTTATTTTGCTATGCTGTTTCCTTCAATGCGTTCCTAGCCTCATGAGTCTTTTCTCTCGGCTTCTCTCTCCCCCTCAACCACCCAGTAAACTCCTTGCTGCTTACTTTGCGAAATGGCAACACCAACAGTAAACCTTAGGGGAGATGTGGGCGGATTTATTTTGGGCATGCGCTGGCAAACCACGTATCCTGAAGTATTTTTGTCCCATCGACCCTGGCAAGCTTATTTCGGGCATTCGCTGGCACACCACTAATCCCGAAGTATTTTTGCCTTATCTACCTAGAACGCCTCACAAACAAGAAAAGAAAGGGGGAGATGAAGGGAAGTTTTCTTTCTGCAGTTCTCTCACTGCGAAGTTCTCTTTCTGCAGTTCTCTTACTGCACATAACTCTTGCATTCTGGGAAGTCTCGCTCATAACCTTTTCTCTGCTTCTGCACAAGAGTCTGAGAATGTTCTGAACAGTTCCCATTGAGTTCATGAAACAGTGTATCCTGACCTGTTCTTAATGCATTGCTGACCACATCTACGGAACGTGATTGTTGTATTCCTTCATGTTATGTTCTCTCAATATCAATCTTTAGTTATAATTTAATTAGGAGGTTTCATGCCCGTCTAGTTCCAGCTCCGTTCCCAGTCTTTAATCTATCAGTGATTGATGTTATATGTAATTCCCGCCTTGTACCTATGTTAACCAATCAGCAACAAGATGCTTTGTGTTTGTATCAACCAATCAGCCACAAGTACACCTGTGGCAATGTTTGTAATATTCAATAAAAGAGAGTTCCCGGGGCTTGCCCCGGCAGACGCCTCTCCTTTGACACCTACCACTCGTCTGTCGTGATTTCAACCCAACACTCAGGCTTTAGAACATTTGGTGACGCCAGTAAATAAATGCTTCAAGAAATAGAAGCTTGTGATATCTTCAAGCTGAAACCCACAGAATTTAGTTATCTGAAAGGGTCAACTTTCCCTTAAACTTTCATGGCCAGACAGGATATTGCCAATTGAACGAAGTGACACACCTGTGCTGTGTCTGAGATGTGGCCTCAGGCTGCCCCTAGTTTTTGAAAATGCTGCATTAGTCTCTTTTAATTCAGTTTAAATACCATTAAAGGAACTAATAGTTTTCTGTATTCTGAGAAGCTACTCTCTTGCTGACACTGGTCCAGGGGGCCTCACCCACCCAATGAAAATGCCCAAATTTAGCAAAGTACATACATCCAGTACATATATGTAGTACATTTATTATATTTATATAAATATATAAAAAAGAACTGCAATACATATGCACTTAGCATTTGGAATCATGTTTCCTTTTCCTGAAACTGAGAGAATGATCAGTTAGATGTGGTTTAGTTTAATTCCTGTATTGTAGAGGTTTGGACTAGATGACCCTATGGGTCCCTTCCAACTCTACAATTCTATGATCATATCACTTACTATACCTTGATTAAAAGGGTTGGTTCTGACACATGGACCACCAGCTGGCCATTCCAGCTCTATTAGAAACATACAAGTCAAAAGCCAGCTATGTTCCATGAATAAACCATGAAACCACATCCCACTGTTGTTTATCCAGAAATTATTGAGTTCAAAGTGTCTTAATCCTAAAAGGACTGCAGCCTTAAAGTGCAGAATTATACATGTCTATGCAGGAGTAAGTCTCTCTGATTTCAATATGGCTTACTTCCTGCAGGTAATTGGGTGTAAAATATACAGGCAAGAAAGGTGCAAAAACAGGGCCTAACAATCCCACGAGTCTTTACAAGTAAAATTCCAAGATCCCTTGCAACAACCCTTGAGGCCTGTGGAGAGCTGGAGTTTGAGGAAGGAGGTTTTCAGGGAGTGTGTGCACATGGTTAGGGCTGTGCTCTTAGTAAGTAAATAGTAAGTAAGTAAGTAAGTAAGTAAGTAAAATAGAGATTGATAATTTTGGCTTGTTCAGCTTTTTATAACAAGTTTCTAACAGGTATACATACAGATATTTCACAGAATATTTTAAGTTAAATCACTTACCATCCAAAAAAGAGTCCCAGTGGCAAATTCCGCATAGTATTCAATAGTGGACAGAACACTAAAGATTAAACAAACCAGCACCAATAGAAATCTGATGGAAGAAAAAAAAAGGAATCTGCATTCAGTGACAAAAAAGCCATAGTTTACTTCAAACCCATACTTCAAATATTGTTACTTACACTTTTCCCATATCCCAGTGTTGAGCTTTGAGGATATTCTTACCATGATTAAAATGGTGTCTACTTTGGCAGAAACTCTAACTATAAAATATGTCTGCTACCAAGGATAAGGAAGCATAGAAACAAATATATGATTATCCCATTAACATATGACCACCTTTTAAGCTTGCAGTTTGAATTCCATTCAACTCAAAATGTTGTGTTTGCATTAGTAAGTGGTACATTTGGGGGGAAAATTAGTGAGAAATCAAGAAAGCTTATACTGCCTCAAACTTGGTCTTGATTTAAAAAGATGCTAATAGCATGTTTTAGCCATTAGTTCATGGTCATATTCTGATACTGCTAAACCTCTCCAGGTGGGATGGTTTATTTTAAGTTGCTAACTGGGTAAAAAGCAAACCCGCATTCTAAGTGAGGTGGAAGTAGCTTATACTTCTATAGTGCCTTGAATACAAATAGCTAAAATACATATTGCACTAAATTCATAGTTTGGTATTGTGGAATTACTATTATTCAACTTTAAATAAGAGCTGCAGGCGGGTCTGATCAGAACTGTAATTAAGAAAGTGTATATATAATACACACACATTGACAACACCTTTACCAAAAACTAATGAAAAGTCTTCTATTTTCATTGGGAGATAAGCTTCCATCCCAACATAAATATTGTATTTATTTGCTATGATGTTTGTTACCTGCCCTTTAGTCCTTTTTTTCACAGCACAGTACAGCAGTGTTTGTAGGAATCATGGTGTAGAGATAAAGAATTCCCATCACGCTCAATACCCACACTGCGGGCCCAATGAGGCCAGGTAACTTACAACTGCTATTTAAAGATTTGAAAAGTAAAGGAATCACACCACAAACTGTGTGTTTAATGTAATCTGTAGTTTAGGCCTCAAAATGCAGTGAGTGTGTTCAGAACACTTCCACTACACCTCAGTACAAGAATGGGAAACCTGTGGCCCTGCTGATGTTGTTGGATTCCAACTCCCATCAGCCCAAGGAAGCATGGCCAATGGCTGGGGCAATGAGGGTTGTAGTTGAACATCTGGAGAGCTACAGGTTCCCTATCTCTACTTGAAAAGGCCTTTCTTCCTTCACCTTGAGGGTGGATAGTTATGAGCACTAGCCCATAACTATGGTGGCAATTTGGGAACAGTCAAAAATGCAACTATGGTTTTATTGGTGTAAACTCAGAAGATAAGCCATTTTTGGCTCACAACACAACAACTGTAAAAAATCATTTGGGGAGGGAGACAGGAATCATGTTTTCCCAACAATTTGAGAGAAAGAGAGATAGTACATGTATTTTGAGAAAAGTGTTCTGGATCTCACTGAACAACTCCTATGGACAGAAATTTTAAGCAGATAGCATTAACTGCTTTAACGTGAGACTTTGCATAGGCAAATATATTTTATAACAACAGCTTCAAATAGACTATCAGCAGCACAAAGACAATCTGTCATTAGTATAACCAGCTGTCCAATTATAAATTAAGGTCAAGCAAAAAAGGTCAGTTGGTTTTAATCTGAGGATCACAGCTGGTTTGTGCTCCCTCTCTCTCTCTCTCTCTCTCTCTCTCTCACACACACACACAACAGATTTGAGTAAATTCTAGGCCACACCAAGCTCAGGTCCATGATTTTCACATGGCAAAAGAGCCAGACTGACCAAGAATGAACTGATACTCCTTTACAATGCACCTCAAATCTATAAGGATCTTCTTCAAGGCACAGCAAAAACTTTGATTTCTTGCTTTCCTTCGAGTTTTTAAACCTGTATAAATTCAACAGGAATAAAGTTTAGAAGAGTTTGTCATATTTCAGATATCATGTACAATGCACATAGGTAAAGGTAAAGGTACCCCTGCCCGTACGGGCCAGTCGTGTCCGACTCTAGGGTTGTGCGCTCATCTCACTTAAGAGGCCGGGAGCCAGCGCTGTCCGAAGACACTTCCGGGTCACGTGGCCAGTGTGACGAAGCTGCTCTGGCGAGCCAGCACCAGTGCAGCACACAGAAACACCATTTACCTTCCCGCTATAAAGCGGTACCTATTTATCTACTTGCACTTAGGGGTGCTTTCGAACTGCTAGGTGGGCAGGAGCTGGGACCAAAAGACGGGAGCTCACCCTGCCGCGGGGATTCGAACCACCAACCATACGATCGGCAAGTCCTAGGCACTGAGGTTTTACCCACAGCGCCACCCGCGTCCCCACAATGCACATAGAATCATAGAATTGTAGAGTTAGAATGTATTCTATATTATAAATAAATGTTATTTATACACATAAAGACCACATACACAGAAAACTAAACTAAACTGTAATTCAGTTTTATGAATATTGCCACTTGCCTAGCCAACAGAGCACAAAAAATAATTTAGGCAAGAAAACCCTTAAAACAGTGGAGGGGACTGAAAATGTCCAGTGTCCACTGAATGCTGATTGATGGTTAAGAGGGAAATAACCAGATGGGAGAGGGAACAAAACAGAATATAAGGGGGAAAATGATTGAGGAAAAGATGCAGAGATATTAAAAAGATCATCTTATTGTCTGATTATTTCCTGGTTCAAACTCAGAAACCATTTTTAAATGTCCCCTGGGACAGCAGTGAGAGCTGCCCACAAATATCAATTGCAAAAATCCAATATGCGAATGAATGGCCACTAGTGTGCACCTCACCGCACTGCACATGTTAACTAGGCACTGAATAAAGTGTCCCTATTTCCAAGGATGCCCCTGGTTTAGAAAAGCCATCCTGGTTTCTGATTTCATCCCAGAATGTCCCACTTTTCCTTATGATGTCCCTATTTTCATTGGAGAAACGCTGTAGGGTATGGGTCTAAACCACAGAGCCTAGGGCCTGCCGATCAGAAGGTCGGCGGTTTGAATCCCCATGACAGGGTGAGCTCCCGTTGCTCGGTCCCTGCTCTTGCCAACCTAGCAGTTCGAAAGCACATCAAAGTGCAAGTAGATAAATCGGTACCACTCCGGCGGGAAGGTAAACGGCGTTTCCATGCGCTGCTCTGGTTCGCCAGAAGCGACTTAGTCATGCTGGCCACATGACCCAGAAGCTGTCTGTGGACAAATGCCGGCTCCCTCGGCCTGTAGAGCAAGATGAGCGCGTAACCCAAGTTGTCCACGACTGGACCTAAGAGTCAGGGGTCCCTTTACCTTTATGGAGTTATCCAACCCCTGAGCTGTCTGAAAGTAATCCTGTATTGGGGAGGGTTTTTTTAAATGTTTAATGTTTTATTATTTTTTTTATATACCGTATGTTGGAAGCTGCCCTGAGTGGGGTCTAAATAGTAAAATTCTTATTGTGGAATGGGACATCTCTGTTTTCATTGGAGAAATGTTGGAGGGTATGGGGAAGAGAATGGAATGGTTTGAAGTGGCTGAAATCCTGAACCAAAGATGCATACTGCAGCATTCTATTACGTGGCCCCATTCCTATATGTGCTTATGTGTGTGGCTGCATGTGCATGTGCTTATTAGGGGTTGTGGTTCTGCCCCGGTCAACCCCCCCACACCCCTCAGTGACTCCCCCTCATAGGTACCAAATGAAAGGGGGCTGAAATGCCCTGAAAGGAGGATGGGCTTGGACCTCTTAGGGAAGGGAAAAAGGGCACTTTGATATACTTGCTGGTTGGCTCCCTCTCATTTGCATGACCAAATAGAGGTATTGCTTGGATTAGACATGACACCAGGTTTTGGATAATCAATTAGGCAATCACATCCTATTGCTTGAGACTGACACACCTCCATAAGTGCTTTCCCTGTTTACTGTAATTATGCTCTCAAAGTGAAGCCCAATCACTTATGTAGTTCTGGCTCATGCACAGAGTTCCAGCTAAAGTAAGCTACTCAATAACCAGAATAACCAGGCAAGTTCAAGTTTATTGCGGCCAAAGCCAGTGACACTAAACATCCCAAGATCAGACAACAAGAAATCAGCAACAACTTCAGAAAAGAAAAAAGGTTACACAAGGGAACTTCGCAGTGTGCCATTCAACAGAAGAGATTTACGTTTCTTAATTACTAAAGTGCAAAATTTAGCCACCTCATATGATACTGAGCTTGAGGAATCTTCCAGGAGGTATTTTCGAAGAATTTCAGGGGAGGATTCCAAATAATATTGAAGGGGTATAAATTTTGATAGAAGCGGTAAAATAAGTTGAGCTTGTTCTTCACTATAGAATTCGCAAGATAGAAGAATGTGTGTGACAGATTCTACCTTATTAGACATACAAGGGCAGAGACGCGCATGCATTGGAACCCGCGTGAATTTGCCGTACAGCACTGCTGAGGGCATTGTCTCAAAGCGGGCTCTAGAGAAAGCCCATCTATAGGCTTCGCTAGTGATGTTGGTTAAGTAAGGGGCAGCTGTAAAATTAGGCCAAGCTTTTAAACATCTATACGTCTCTGGGAGTAGGGCGCCTTCTTGTTGTAATTCGATATCATAAAGTCTCCGAGTAATAGTAGCTTTTGCCTTGTTCAGAGTTCCAATAAAAATATTTTCAGGGTTTAGGCCAATTTGTTTGATCTTGTTAGTTATTTGCATAAGCCAAGGAGGATAGGGAACTGCGGCCAGGAAGCAAGGTAATAGACCCTTAGGATTGTAATGGATTTTCAGCCAGAGGGATATTGCTTGTTCCCAGACTTTTAATTCCACTCTGGGCAATCCTGCCTCTTGCCTTAAGACTGCATTAGGTGTACACTTAGGGGTAGCAAATAATGATCTTAAGAATTTAGATTGTACTGTTTCAAGGGTCTTAAGGTTGGCAGAGGGGCTAATTTGAGAGCCATATAGAAGTTGGGCTAAAGATTTTGCCTGAAAGACTGTTAGGGCCATCGGGAGGAAGCCAGCTCCTTTCCTTCTGAATAATCTAAGGATAGCATTTGCACTTCTTTCTGCTGATATAGCTGATGTGGTCAAGTGTGCTGAGAATTTGGCATTATAAGAGAAAGTAATGCCTAAATATTGGAAGGTCTTAGTCTGTTCAATGGCGTTTCCCTTTACGCTCCAATTATCCTTCCTGAAGGAGCGGTTAAAATGTACAATTTTGGTTTTGGCAAAGTTAATTGTTAGCAGTTCAGTGTTACATTGGTCACTAAACTTTCCTAAGGCACGTTTCAGACCCACTTTGGTTTGAGAGAGAAGAACAGCGTCATCCGCATACATTAAAATTGGTACTTTTCTGCCATTAGAGAACACAGGGGGGTGGGTTTCAATTTCACGGCAGCATGTGACCAGGGAGTTAACATAGATGTTAAATAGGAATGGGGCTAATAGGCATCCTTGTCTAACTCCTCTTTGGACTGGGATTTCTCTAGAGAGTCTGCCGTCCTGTGCAAATCTTATCTGGAGGGTATTGTTCTCATGAAGCTTAATCATCAGAAGTAATAACCTTCTGTTAATACCCATATTGGCCAATTTGGCCCAGAGCCTGCTCCTAGATACAGAATCAAATGCTGCCTTTAGGTCCACAAAGGCCGCATATAATGACTTTTCCAATATTTCGCATACTTATAGACAAAGTAATCTAACACTAAGCAGTGATCAATGGTGGAACGTCCGGATGTAAACCCTGCTTGTTCAATTTCTAGCAAGTTGTTATGATCTAACCATTCCCATAATTTTAGGCATAGATGTTTTGTATAAAGTTTACAGATCACATTCAGGAGACTAATTGGTCTATAATTAGATGGATCAGAGGGGTTGCCCTTTTTAAATATGGGAACAATTATAGCTAGTCCCCAATCTTTAGGGATTTCAGTTGTCTTGTCTATATATGAAAATAGATTTGCAAGGACCGGGGCCCACCAGTTTATTTGCGCTTTCAAAAGTTCAGCGACAATGAAATCACTTCCTGGGGCTTTGCCAGATTTCATTTGTAGAATTAGCGAAGCGATTTCAGTTTCAGATGTTGGGGGCCATGGTGTATCATTATCTAAGGGGATGTTAAGCGGCGCAGAAGGACGATGTTCCCTAAACATCACTTTATAGTGCTCTTCCCATGAATTTGCAGGGATTATTGTGCCCTCATTAGGAGCTTTGGTTTGACTGGAGATAATTTTCCAGAAATTAGAATTGTCTTTTTCTATTGACGCTTTTATGAGGGCCTGCCAGATGAGAGAGTCTGCGGTTCTTTTTTTGGTTTTTAATAACTCTTTGTAGTTCTTTTTTTTAAGTTGTAACTCCAATTTAGTGATAGGGTTAGGATTTTGCTGGAAGACCTTAAAGCATTCCCTGAGTATAAGTTTTGCCTGAGTGCATTCGTGGTCAAACCATTTTTGTTGGTAGGGAGTCATTTTGGTTAGATCTTCTGGGTCTTGACAATAACGGTTGGAGTTTTCGGATTAATGTGTTATAATGGTCAATTGGGGAGGTCTCTTCAGTGTCGTTGGAAGTCAGATCAGCCCAGAGGAGTTGACCTTCCATTGATTGTGTCCAAATACCAAAATGGTTATTAACATAAGGGGACCATTTAATTCTGGATCTACCTATTTGTTGTAAAGCGCTAGGATCAGGAGTCTGCGGGGCAAGCCCACATCTAGAGGGTTCCCAAAATTCAGTCCTTTTAAGATTTAGGGGTAAATGGTCACTTTCGGTTCTTATATCTACAGTAAATTCAATATATTCATCGAAAAGTTCTTGGGAGACAAGGATGTAGTCAATAACAGAATGCCTTAGGCCTGACCAGTAAGTAAATTGGCCAGGGCAGTCCCCCGAGGAGAGGCCGTTTAAAATAACAAGGTTTAATCTAAGTGCCATTAAAAAAAAGACATGTACCAGCAAAATTGGTGACTGGGTCAAGTGAGTGACGCCTGAATAGGGGCCAATATTCATCATTAGCATTTAGGGGACCCATTCCACTTTCCTTGATTAACTGTTCGTCTGAGTGGCCTAGCCTTGCATTAAAATCCCCACCAATAATTAAGGAGGCAGAGGGAAACTTATTTGAGACAAGGAGAATGCAGTCTTCCAGTTCGTTCCAGATGTTTTTAAGATCAGTTTGTTTCATAAGTGGGTGAATATAAACATTGATGCATATGATCTTAAAATGGGTGGAGAATATTTTGACGGCCAAAATCCATTTTTATCGATTTTCAATTGGATAGGGAGGCTCCTAGATCTGTCGATACGAAGGTGCTCAAACCTCCCGCCGGTCTTCCGCCTTTTGGGCCGATTGAGGCAGGGGAATGGAAAGCAAAGTAATTGTGTAGTTCGAAAGGATTTTGCATCCAGGTTTCTTGGAGCAGGATGATCTTGAACTGTGATACGTAGGTTAAAACGTCTTTGTCCCTTGTTTTCGATTGCCATCCAGCAACGTTCCAGGATAGTAGTAGGGGTGAGAGTCATTTTGTCTCTTCAATAGCATCTAGGGTTTTCCCGGGTCGTGGAAGATGCAACCATTGGATGGTTGAGTCTCCGGTAATGTGATTAGGGCGCCACAGAGATTTCGGCGTGGATTTCAGATGGGCAGAGTAGAGGTGTGTGTTCTGCCGTGACCTGAGGAGATTCATGACCCATTTTTCGCTCCAAGTTAGGTGGAATATTTGCCTCTTTTATGGGCGCTAGATCTTCAAAGTTGCGGAGATAGAGTAATAACTCATCTAGTCTGTCCGTTATCTCTGTTTGTTCGGCTTTTGGCAGATGGGAGAAGGAGACAAGTAATTCCTGCTCCATCGAATTCTCAAGATGAGTAGCCTTTGATAGGAGGGGCATGGGGGTCTCTGTCCAACTAATTAAGTCTGAGGGTGGAGAGGTAGAGCTCGTAGTAGATGGAATGCCCTCATTTTTAATTGCTTTCCTTTTAACTGGAGAGTAGGGAATAAGAGGGCAAATCTTAGTGTTGATAAAAACTCTTGTGATAAAAATTCTATAATTAGTCAGGTAGCTTCGTAAGGACATCATATAAGTTGGAAGCTTTTTAGAATCAAAGGTGAGCAGTATCCTCTGCATGTGTGGCTTGCTGTAAATGTGGACAGCGGATTTCAGATCGATGGAAAGAGGATCTACGCCCAGAAGCTCAGCCAAATGCCTTCTTGCGACATGTGTAGACGACCAGTTAACAACCTGACCTTTGAAGGGAAGGATAATTAAACAAAGTCTAGTGGCTTGTAACGAAAGATTATAGGAAGATATGGTGTGTGAATCTTCCATAGATTGTTCATTTTCAGATTTGCAGCCAGTCTGCGGGGTTAAACGTAATAGGGCAGGTACTCTGGGCGTTGGTTCAGCCCTATCCTCCGGTGAAACGTCTACAGGGCTGACATTCACTTTTGGGGATACAAAGGATGTAATATTCTCTAAGGAGCCTTTGATGTCTCTTATATATTTAAAGATACAGTCCACGGTTTTAGCCACTAGGTCTAACGTGGTAGAGTGTTCAAGCAGTAATTCAGAGAGATAGTTTGCTTGTTCTCCGATGCAGTCTTCCGCCTGAATGGGCATAGTTGGAGCCTTTTTGGGGCCTTTTGGTCTCGTGGTGGAGTTGTTTAAGGAGTTAATGGGTTGTTTAGTGGGTGGTTCCTTCGGTGTAATTTCCTTATCTATTATCTCTGCTAATGGCGAGAAACTGTTCGAGGTCGGAATATTAAAAGTGTCCTTTGTTTTTCCATGGAAGAATTCGCTGATTTTGGTTTGCTTGGTAAGGGGCAAACATGCCATTTCCTCTGAGTCCTCCGATTCTCTGCAGCGTTTGCCAACCCCCCTCCTCGCATCAGCAGGGCTGTCTAATTGCTGAGTCATCTCTCCCTTTGCCTCGCTCTTTTATCTTCCCTAAATTTTTCAAAGAGTCGAGGGAGTATTTTCCTTGAAAGTATCCTATTCAAGGAGGAGGAGTGTGCCAAAGGTTATTGGCATAACACTAAGTTATGCTCCGTCTGTGCCTCCAGACTTGTGGTGGGAACAGCCCATGAATCTTCCTGTAAGCTCTTCGCAGTATGATAAGATAGTCAATGCGGCTTTAAAGCTCCAAGAAGAGTCAGGAAAGCGGAGCGTGGGATGGAATGGGGTGAGGTGCTTAAAATTATCTGAGCTCAATATTCATTAAAATAGTCTTTAAAAGGAGTAAGAGAAAATAAAAAGATAAAATCAATGGGCTCACATTAGTAGAGTGCTGTCCGCCATCATCAATAACCAGGCCTAACCTTATTCTTGTTTGCATTAGTGAATAATCACATGCTGCTATGTTGTAAACAAGCTTCAAGTTCCTTTTAGAGGTTAAACAAAAAGCCACTGGGTCAGTTGTGCATCTGCTTTTCTGTTTCAATTTAATACTTCACAAAACAAGCAACCAGCAGGTCACTTACAACTATAATAGTGTAACCTGCACGTCTTCCTAACTGCAAGTTTATATACATATTGTGAATGATAAAACGTTTGGAGATAAGTTCCAACCTAAAAATAGGTTTAAGATTTAAGCAGTTTAAGGTAACTTCTTCCTAACGGATGAAAACTGAGTGAACGTCTAACATGATAAAGCTGAGAGGAACACACTAATTCACTTGCTAAATGTTTTCAGCATCACTAACCAAGATGGGTGTTACATTAAGCATATACATAGGTACCTCGGGTTAAGTACTTAATTCGTTCCGGAGGTCCGTACTTAACCTGAAACTGTTCTTAACCTGAAGCACCACTTTAGCTAATGGGGCCTCCCGCCGCGGCTCCAGAGCACAATTTTTGTTCTCATCCTGAAGCAAAGTTCTTAACCCGAGGTACTGTTTCTGGGTTAGCAGAGTCTGTAACCTGAAGCGTATGTAACCTGAAGTGTCTGTAACCCGAGGTACCACTGTAAGTCCCCAAGTTCAAACCTCAACTGTGCTTAAAACATTTCTTCCTATGACATTAAGCTCTCTGGGGAAAGTGTGGAAAGAGGGATACCGGCTGGGGCAGCGGAGAGAGCTGATGTATTTCAGTTCTGGTTTAATTCTATTTCTTTTTGTGTTTATTCTGACACTCGATAGAATTTATATATTTATTTATTTATTTAAAAAAACTTCTTACTCTTTCCAGCAGATCCACACCATACTTTTAAAGCACATTCAACATGCATTTAAAGCAGATGGCTTCCTCCAGAGAATCTTCTTAACTGTAGTTTATTAAGGGTGCTGGGAACTGTAGTTCTCTGAGGCTGAAACTACACCATGTTAGCCCTGCCATCCTGTAGGGTGAAGTGACCCATGTAAGGAGGCACGGGAAGGGGGGGCAGGAGATGGAGGCAGGAATTGCTGTATGAATGGGGCAGCAAGACTTTTTGAAACAAGGATGTGTTGGTATCAGTTGGGCTTCATTTTAGCAACATATTTTAGACTGGCCCTGGCCTTCTATCTTTTGGGTGCCCATCTGGTTTCCAAAATAAGCCTAACTCACCTCTGAAGGTTGTTGTGACGAGGACAATGGTGGGATTGACACTGCCCTGGATTCCTTCGGAAATTGGCGGGATAAAATTGTAATAAACAAAACGTGTCTTGTAAGTTTACAAGTAGGTTATAAGGATAATAGCATTTCTCTGCTTGCATTCCGGATGGTGGAGGGAACGAGAGGGCTGTTTGGTACAATCTCTCTGAACTTTTACTCAGCCTTTCTTAAATAAAATAATAATAATAAATGCAGCTCCCATAGCTTAAGAACTATTTCTAAAATGAAATGTTTTCTTTTACATGCTTAATCCCATGATGATTCAATGCACACTATGTCTTTCTTGAGTTGTCTGCCCTGCACACTTTTCTGCTTTCCAGATTTGGCACAGATTGTCATGTTACATGTTAGAGAAGACTCACTTTAGTTTTAAAATGGACATGAACAGAATATTATGGAACTTTTTCCCATTGGAGATGTGCACGTCCTGTACACTATGAATTTTTAAACAGGTTTTAAAAACTCATGTTTTTCAAACTTCCTTTTCCTAAAGGCTTTTTTACAGAGCTATGTTACAAAATATAATTAAGTTTAGTTGTTTGATTAGTCGTGTAATTGTTTTAGCTGGCCTTTGTTAAGTGGCAATGCTGCTTTGTTAATTTGGATTATTTTAGATAGTTGTATTTATTGTGTTTTCATGATAAATGATCCGATTTGGATGTGCTATCCCCCCATATTTGGTATATATCTAGTTTTATAAATTAAAAATTAAAAGTGGACTAAAAACAAATTGTGGGTGGATGGAAGGTCCAATCTACATGCAGTATACGCCAGAAAATTCTGTTGGCACCTCAGCTCAGATTAAACCCCAACCACAGGAGCCAGAGGTTTTTCCTCAGCTGAAAGTGCCTGGCAACACCCAAGTATAAGGGTCCTTTTCTTCCTCTGCCCTCCATTTTCCTTCCGTTTGCCATCAGGGCTGGTGTCCCCATGAGGGGGACTGAGGCCCAATCCGGGGCAGCACAATCCCCCGGCAGGGTGGCTCTCCTCGGGAGAGAGAGGAGCCGGTCCTCCACCGCCAGAGGGGAGAGGAGCAGCAGCAGCTTCCAGAAAGTTCTCCAGCAAGGCTTCGGCAGCAGGCGGGGCAGGCGCCTTCCCATTTCACCTCAGGAGGTGAAACAGGACCGCCCCCCCCCCTTTCACAATGAACACACAAGCATCCTGTTTCTCAAATTGTTCCCAGCAACCTGAAACAAAACGTTAGCGTGTGGCGTGCTCCCCTTCAGGATACCACATGCCATTTTGTCTCCCCTCCAGCCTTACGCTTCTACACTCTCTGACATACAGCAGTCTTCCGTCTCCCCGGAGCTTCAGGTCTCCTCAGGCTGCTCTGGGTTCCTGTCCCCTTTTATCTTTCTAAATAAACTTCTCTAAAATTCTGAAAACCTTAGGATTACCCCAAGGCAATACCTCCTTCTTGTATGTGGCTGAACTGAAATTAGGAAACATGATAATGGTAATGATTGACATATTCATTGAGCCTTCTTAAAGATTCTTCCACCACCCCCCTCTCTATGTTGTGGATGTTATGTACTGAAGTTCTCACCCTGGGCCACCCTGGGGATACTGTAGATAGTTTTCTCTCAGGTCCACATATGCAAATAAGGGATCGAAAGTGACGTTCAGTGATTGGATAGTTACAGAAAATGGTTACTGTTGCATTCTAGTGGAGCTCTATATAAGCAGGCTGGCTGAACCCTTCAGTTCAGTTCTGTTCTGGCCTGTGAATAAACAAAAGCTGTTTGAAGAATCACTGTGTCGTCTGATATGTTCACCCACAACTTAACAGTGGAGGGTGGGGGCAATGAATGAAACTAGTCCTCCCGTCAGAGTGGGAATATCCCCTCACTCCCCCACCCTTCTTCAGCAGAGTTTCTTTTCTTTCAGCAAAGTAAGCAGCTCATGTGTATGTCAAACAAAGCTTTAATAAAGAAAACTGTAACACAATTACATGCTGTCTGAGAGAAACTAAAAGCACCTCATGAGGCAAAAAAGACAGTTGGCCTCTCGGACTGAACTGAACTGGACCCCCAAAGGGAGGGGCTGATTCCACAGCACAGCGCAAAATCCTTGCCCACCAGAGGACAGACATGCTACTATTCAAGTTAGGCCCCAGTGTTTTTCTTACACTGTAGACTCAATTGCCATGAATATTCTGCAAGCTGACATATTCCTGTCAAGCAGTTATTTTTAAATTTCATTTTGTTTTCATCCACAAACTTGTGTGCTTCTAAATCATCATATGAATATGTAGAAGCACCAGCCATACTTTGGGGATGACCCCATTTCACTTCCAAATTGATAGGCACTAAACTACCTCAATTCACTATGAGGAGACATAATTATTTCAGTAATTAATAGTCCATAAATCTGTTTCCATGGCTCTATTCCCCAAAAGCCTTGAAAATCATCCCAGCTCAGACTACTTGCTGCACCACTGTTAATTTAAATGACACTGTTTTATATATGAACAAGCCTGCAGTCGCCACTTCCTATAATCACATTAAATGTTTTAAGTTCAAGCCACAGTGGGAGAAGAAGATTATGCTTCATAGTCTTAAATACTTTTATTTTCCTGGATGAAGTTTCACCTTTTAAGATCAATAATATTTGGAGTTACATTTAAGTCAGGCATGCAAAAATCTTTCAGCTGTCAAATCTAAGTCTCCCAGGAATATCGTTCAGAAATGCTTCAGTTTAAATGCCAAAAAGGAAGGTCAATCTGTTTGCTCTCACCACTAGTATTTCATTTTTCAAATGCTTTTTTAGTGAAACAACTAAGTCCTGGCTCCAAATAGGCTTAGCCATGACTATGCACATATTTAAATCTACAGAAATGAAATCTGTTTAAGCTTTAGACATGATTATACACTATAAGTATAGACCTTGAAAGGAGGTCTTGTCCTTTTAACTCAGGAAGCTCCCATAAAGGCTCACTAACAGTCTTATTTTATTTACAAAATCTAAAATGAAGGGGTGGGGAGGACAAAGAAGAGCAAACGTGTTAACAGGAGTCTCTGTTATGTCAAAATAAATAGTTTATCCTAATATTAAATCATCTACTTGGGCTTGTTGTTTTCTCTTCGTTTTTGCAATCTTCTCTCATTTCCCAGCCCCTTTGATTAAAACCCCCCCAGCAAAGTTGAACCCAGGTTCTAGAGCAGGGCGATATCTGGTTTTAAACATCATGATATATCACCAGCTAAACATTGCAATGTACCAATATATCTTGATGTCTGAAATAAGGATGGAACTACGGTTTTCCCCACATTGTGATTTTTGCATAGCGCACCCACCCACACACCCACCATGATTCACAATGATATATTTCTAGCTCAAAAATTATGCAACCAGGATCACAATATGGACTTCAAACCAGTTTTGGACAATATATTGACAGGGCCTAGAAGAATAACCCTCCCTCTGCATCACATGCATAGCTGAAGGCAGTGGAGGGAACAGGGAAGCAAAGTTTGGCTGCTGGTTTCTTTTCATGCATCGTTTTTATTACAATTATGTGGGCACAAAGAAATATTGCATTCAGTTGGAAACACTTTATGCTTGGACTAAGGGCTCAGCCACACTTGCACTTGTCCTGTGCCTAAAAAGCACAGGTCCAATCAGTTTTCCGCTGGTCCCACTGCTTTCCCCTGGGGAAACCTCATTACCACTGAACTGGAGCAAACATCAATCTGCAGAAAACCCAAGTGACTTTTGCTCCAATTCAGTGGTAAAGAGCATAGGTACCGCAATACCTCAAGGACTGCCTCTCTCCATAGGAGCCGACCTGGACCCTGAGATCATCTTCCGAGGCCCTCCTTCGTGTGCCTCCTCCTCGAGAGGTCCAGAGGGGGCAACACAAGAACGGGGCCTTCTCTGCAGTGGCTCCCTGTCTGTGGAATGCTTTCCCCAGGGAAGTTTGTCTGGCGCCTTCATTATACACCTTTAGGCGCCAGGAAAAAATGTTCTTTTCACCAGGCTGTATGTCTTCTGAATGAAGACGTGGGAAATGAAAACTGTTGTGTTATGGGCCTTTGCTGATGATCTGATGATAGTTTTGGAAAACTAGAGGAAATGGAGACTCTTATGGTTTTAAGATTAATCATCAGAAAATGTTGATGTTAATAAAGAACATGACAACAGAAGGCATTTGACAAGGTGCCCCATGATATTCTTGTAAAGAAGCTGGTATAATAATAATAATAATAATAATAATAATAATAATAATTTATTATTTGTACCCCGCCCATCTGGCTGGGTTTCCCAGTCTTTGCGGTCTTGACTATGCTACCACTCAGTGGATTTGTAACTGGCTGAGTGACCGAACCCAAAGGGTGCTCATCAATGGTTCCTCTTCATCCTGGAGAAGAGTGACTAGTGGGGTGCCACAGGGTTCTGTCTTGGGCCCGGTCTTATTCAACATCTTTATCAACGACTTGGATGATGGACTCAAGGGCATCCTGATCAAATTTGCAGATGACACCAAACTGGGAGGACAGGATCACACTTCAAAACGACCTTGACAGATTAGAGAACTGGGCCAAAACAAACAAGATGAATTTTAACAGGGAGAAATGTAAAGTGTTGCACTTGGGCAAAAAAAATGAGAGGCACAAATACAAGATGGGGGACACCTGGCTTGAGAGCAGTACATGTGAAAAGGATCTAGGAGTCTTGGTTGACCACAAACTTGACATGAGCCAACAGTGTGACACGGCAGCTAAAAAAGCCAATGCAATTCTGGGCTGCATCAATAGGTGTATAGTATCTAGATCAAGGGAAGTAATAGTGCCACTGTATTCTGCTCTGGTCAGACCTCACCTGGAGTACTGTGTCCAGTTCTGGGCACCACAGTTCAAGAAGGACACTGACAAACTGGAACGTGTCCAGAGGAGGGCAACCAAAATGGTCAAAGGCCTGGAAACGATGCCTTATGAGGAACGGCTAAGGGAGCTGGGCATGTTTAGCCTGGAGAAGAGGAGGTTAAGGGGTGAGATGATAGCCATGTTCAAATATATAAAAGGATGTCACATAGAGGAGGGAGAAAGGTTGTTTTCTGCTGCTCCAGAGAAGCGGACACGGAGCAATGGATCCAAACTACAAGAAAGAAGATTCCACCTAAACATTAGGAAGAACTTCCTGACAGTAAGAGCTGTTCGACAGTGGAATTTGCTGCCAAGGAGTGTGGTGGAGTCTCCTTCTTTGGAGGTCTTTAAGCAGAGGCTTGACAACCATATGGCTTGACAATTTAGACCTTTATATACGACTTTCCAGACTTTAGCTTACAAAGTTTTTGCTTCAATCTATTTACAAAAAATGGGAGGCGGACTTCCTGTTTAGAGCCTTCCTGCTTCAGTGCCAAATTAAAATGTTTCTTAATCCAATTTTCCGTTCTACTCACGGGTACTTGTTTAGAGTCCAATTGTCCACAGGAAAAAGTCAGCGCTCTCCGGCAACGGCTGTGTGGCTTCACTCCGTAAAAGTAGTGGTTGATTCAAAACACTGCGCCCCTCACCCCACGTCGCTTTGGATCCCCGAAAAAGGGTTTCCCTGCGAGTAGGTGTCAGCCGAATCCCACGTTCCCAGGCTTCCTCCGCCTGGGATTTTTAGAGGGTCTCCGCCTTCGCCGCGGCGGCAAGACCCGATTTTCACGGAGCGGGTTCCTCTCGGTCAGAGGAACTCCGCCATTGCCGATGGCGCTAACCCGGAAGTTTGAACTGACAGCAGCCCAGTCATCAGCATCGTCTGCACCTTACTTTGCAAATGCATAAATCCTTTTACTGCAAAAGTAAATTGTTGCCTCTTTGCCTGAACAGAAGCAGGAGCCAAGTCACATTGATCTTATCACAAAGAGGAAAGTTTGTTTGCTGATTGGAATCTCAGTCCCACAGCACTGCTGAGAAATGAAGATTCCAATAAGCAAACAAAGTTTCTTTTTCTTCGTCGAGATCCACAGGGCTGCCTAGCAAGAGGCAAGGTGTGTGCCTTAAAGCACTGTGGATCAGGGGGGCAGGGGGGAGAGAAACTTCATTTGCAGATCAGAATCTCTATCGTTATGAAGGGAAGCTGGGTCTCTCCTTTGCCTAACAAGGTGTGTGCCGTAAACCTGCAGAACAAAAGCCAGAGCAAAACGGGGCTTGTGCCTTGCAGATTGTGCAGGCAGAAGCAGCTTTTACTGCTGCTCTTGACTCTTGCAACACAAAGCTGAGAGGCACAAGGGGCTTCTGTCTTGCAATCAAATGCTGCTTCCTGCCTGCTTCCTGCAGTGCATTCTCCATATATTACAGGGGGGGGTATGAAACTTTTATCCTGGTATGGAATTCATATCATTAAGAGGCACAGTATGGATATATCACCCAGCCTTATGAGGAACGGTTGAATGAACTGGGTATATTTAGCCTGGAAAAGAGGAGACTGAGAGGAGATAGGATAGCCATCTTCAAATATCTCAAGGGCTGTCACATAGAAGAGGCAACAAGCTTGCTTTCTCCTGCTCTGGAGGGAAGGACTCCAACCAATGGCTTCAAGTTATCAGAAAGGAGATTCCGACTAAATATATAAAAAAACTTTCTGACAGTGGAAATGTTATGTACTGAAGTTCTCACCCTGGGCCACCCTGGGGATACTGTAGATAGTTTTCTCTCAGGTCCACATATGCAAATAAGGAATTGAAAGTAACGTTCAGTGATTGGATAGTTACAGAAAATTGTTACTGTTGCTTTGTAGTTGAGCTCTAAATAAGCAGGCTGGCTGAACCCTTCAGCTCAGTTCTGTTCTGACCTACGAATAAACAAGAGCTGTTTGAAGAAACGCTGTGTTGTCTGATATGTTCACCCACAACTTAACACTGGCGACGAAGGTGGGATTGATGGACATCAGAGACGCGGCCACCCTCTGAGCTGAGCTGAATCACTGAGCTGAAACACTGAGTGAAATCATGGAGCAGAACCAATTCAGAGCTGACTGTTCTGGCTAGAGCACTGTGTTCCATCCATCGCCCTCCTTGTCGGCATCGGAACCATGGCTTCACTCGTGCCTCTACCGCCGTTTGCCCCAGCCTCTGAATCATGGGACTCCTACCTTGCTTGGTTCGACTGCTACCTCCAAGCAAATGAGCTGACAGGAGGGTCTGTAAAGCGTAAGCAGGGCCTCTTTCTCAGTCTTTGTGGCTCCAAAGTGTTGAGAGCCAGTGTGGTGTAGTGGTTAAGAGCGGTAGTCTCGTAATCTGGGGAACCGGGTTCGCGTCTCCATTCCTCCACATGCAGCTTCTGGGTGACCTTGGGCTAGTCACACTTCTCTGAAGTCTCTCAGCCCCACTCACCTCACAGAGTGTTTGTTGTGGAGGAGGAAGGGAAAGGAGAATGTTAGCCGCTTTGAGACTCCTTCAGGTAGTGATAAAGCGGGATATCAAATCCAAACTCTTCTTCTTCTTCTTCTTCTTCTTCTTCTTCTTCTTCTTCTTCGCAATGGCCTAGCATTGGTTGTGCCTGTAGCAGTCCAGGCAGCGCCGTGGGACACGATTCAAGAGAAGCTCCACAACCACTATGCACCGAAGCCGTCCAAGATTGCTGCCCGCCATGCATTCTACCACTGGAACCAGGCAGAGGGGGAGTCAATTAACAACTACACCACCGCCCTCTGACAGGCCACAATGCACTGCGAGTTCTGAGACTTAGATGATGCTCTGATGGATTGAATCATCTGCGGGGTATGGGACATCTGTTTCCTCGCCAAGCCAGACCTCACGCTGCAGAAGTCCATTGAGGAGGCTGCGGCCTCAGAAGCTGCTGAACTCTCCGCCCAGGAGATCCGCAAGGCCAGCAGCCCGCGTCTTGCTAGGAAGCCAGTTCCAGTGCATCATGAAGAGGCCAGCAGTGACGAGGCATCCTCCAGTGAAGACGGTGATGTGCACCAGACAAAGCTGGAGCGTGGGAAGTTCAAACAAGTCCAAGGGCCAATTGGAATGTGCCGGCTGTGGAGGCAACCATTCCCGTGCCAAGTGTCGATTCAGAGATGCCATCTGTCAGAAATGTTCCAGAAGGAGCCACATCACTAAGGTTTGCCGATCGGCTCCATCCAACACCCCCCTTTCACCGACTCGCAAGTCCAAGTCTTCACTCCAGTCCGCCAAGGAAAGATGTTTCGCTCTCACCAACTGCCACTGCCCATCCGGAATCACGATTGGCCAAATCGACTCGCCTGCGCGACGCAAGCTGAGCTCATTGAAGGAGCTCAGTGTGACATGGAGATCAACACCGGGTCTGCCCTGTCCATCATGTCTTGGAGCACCATCAAAAGACTGGTACCCAGAGTGTCCAAAAGGCAACTCGACTCTCACCGCATACACCTGAGAGACTATCAGGGAAACGACATTCCCGTGGTAGGCGTTGGCCGGTTCTGGATCGCCTTCAAGATTTTTTCGGGCCTGCTCCGACTGGTGGTGGTCGAAGGTCAGAAGCCAAGCCTGCTAGGGCTAGACTGGTTTGATGCCCTCGGCCTGGAAGTCACCGGCATCAACTGCATCTCTAACGCAGAGACTGAGGGTCTGATCAAAGACTTTGCCGAGGTTTTTGACAGCACTTTGGGTCAATATACAGGTACGCCCATCTCCTTTAGCCTGGATCCACAAGTCGCCCCCATCAACCTAAAACCACACCGGGTTCCGTTTGCTCTCAAGGCTAATGTGGACGAACAATTGGACAAGCCAACCCAAGGAGTTTTGGAGCCGGTTGACCACGCCATGTGGGAAACCCCCATTGTCATGCCTGTCAAGCCGGATGGGTCGGTGAGAATCTGCGCCGACTACAAGTGCACGATCAACAAGGCACTTCAGCAGCACGCTTACCTGGTTCCTGTTGTCCACTACCAGCTGCATTCCCTGGTAGAGGATAAGGACTTCGCTAAGCTGGACCTTGCCCAAGCCTATCAACAACTGCCCGTCGAAGATGCCACCGCTGAAGCCCAGATAATCGTCACCCAATGAGGGGTGGTCCGTGTGCCGCCATTTGCAGTTCGGGGTGAGTGTGGCTCCTGGCATCTTCCAAAGCATTATAGAGCGTCTCCTGCAAGGGCTTCCGGGCATGGTGCCGTATTTCGATGACGTCTTGGTGTCTGCAGACTCACACCAGCAGCTGTTCGAGCGCCTCCACGCCATGCTGACCAGGTTCCAGGAGGCCGGGCTCAAGGTAAAGAGGGAGAAGTGCCAGATCGCCATTCCACAGGTGGAGTTCCTGGCCTATCTTATCGATGCCTCCGGCCTTCACCCGACCACATCCAAGATCCGCGCTATCCAGCAGGCCCCCATCCCAAAGAACAAGACGGAGTTGCAGGCGTTCCTGGGACTGCTGAACTATTATAACATGTTCCTCCCCACAAAGCGACGGTAGCTGAGCCTCTTCACCGACACCTCAGCACGAAGACACCTTGGTCCTGGGGTCATCAGGAGACGGTGGCCTTCAACGCGGTCAAGGCTCTCCTTTCATCAGACAGTGTGCTGGTACAGTACAGTGAAGCCAGGCCGCTGGTCCTTGCCTGCGACGCCTCACCTTTTGGCATTGGCGCTGTCCTTAGTCACCGTTTTCCAGATGGAAGAGAAGCACCGCTCGCCTACTTTTCCAGGATGCTATCTCCAACGGAACGGAATTACAGCCAGCTTGACAAGGAGGCACTGGCACTTGTGGCTGGAGTGAAGAGGTTCCATGAATACCTCTATGGTAGGAATTTCGACCTCATCACTGACCACAAGCCGCTCCTGGGCCTCCTCGCCGGTGGACCAACTCCACCGGTCCTCTCGCCGCGCATGCTGCGATGGACTGTTTTCCTGGCTGCCTACCACTACCAGCTTGTCCATCACCCAGGGAAATTGATGGGCCATGCCGACGCCCTCAGCCGTTGCCCTCTTCCAGTGTTTGTGGAAGACACAGCTCCTGCTTCATCGCTCCTCCTGATTGAGTATCTTCCTGCAGCGCCTGTATCAGCTGCCACTGTGGCCTCCACATCTGCCCAAGTTCACACCATCAGCCATGTGCTCAACTGGGTGTGGAGGGGGTGGCCACAAGGGCATTTTGCATCAAAGTTCCAGCCCTTCGCAACCAGACAACACGAACTCTCAGCTCATTGCGGCTGTCTGCTGTGGGGAGACCACGTCGTGATTCCCCAAAGACTCCGTCAACGTGTCCTTGAGGCTCTGCACATTGGCCACCTGGGAATTGTCAAAATGAAGGCATTGGCTCAGTGTTACATCTGGTGGCCTAACATGGATGATGCCATCACTTCCTGGGTTTCTGCCTGTCAAGCGTGCCAAGAATTGAGGCTTGCGCCACCGGCAGCTAAGGGAGGGTGGTTGAGGGTGCACATCAATCTTGCCGGCCCCTTTCACGGCTGGACCTTTATGGTAGTGGTGGACGCCTATTCCAAATGGCTGGAGGTGGTCCTGACGCCCTCCATTACCAAGGCCGTCATCCGGGTGCTGCGAGGCCTCTTTGCAATGCATGGGTGTCCTGATGTCCTCGTCTCCGCTTATGGGCCACCGCCTCAGATCTCCACTCGACCGGCTGCACCCAGACTTTGCCATGGCTGAACCCCCAGGCTGTGCTAACGCGCCACGGTCATTTGTTCCAGGAAACCAGGTCTTTGCCCGGAACTTTGTGGGGGGCATTCCTTGGGTGCCAGCCACAGTAGTGGGAGTCACTGGACCTCGCTCATACCAGGTGGCACTCGAAAACAGACGTTTGTGGCGCCGGCACATAGACCAGCTTAGGCACAGAGTTGGGGATTTGGACACTACCGCGGTGCCCCCAACTGCGCTCGTGGCTCCAGAACAGACACTTACAGATGGCGAGGCTCCACCTACACCTCTCTCGCAAACTGCGGGCGTGGAGCCGAACCAAGCCGCTTCAGAGGGTCTGCCAGACTTCCCACAGACTCAGACCACTGCCATGCCTGACATTCCGCCAACTCCACTCGCAGAGTTTCCACCCACAGAAGCGGATCCAGGGGACTTGGGTTCAACGCCACCTAGGGTTGCACCACAGCCTCAGCAAGAATAGGGCGGCCCCCTGGCCCTCGGCAGTCCAGCAGTTTCCAAGTGCCCAACTTATTTAAAGGACTATGTTGTTGGACGTGTAACACTGTCAGTCTAATGAAAATATGTGAAATGTAACCGATATGCTTTTGTGCCTAATTGAACGATTACAAGTAGTACCATTACGATTGTAACTAACGCCTTATCTCAGTGGGGAGGGGTATTATGTACTGAAGTTCTCACCCTGGGCCAGCAGGGGGATATTGTAGATAGTTTTCACTCAGGTCCACATATGCAAATAAGGAAATGAAAGTGACGTTCAGTGATTGGATAATTACAGAAAATTGTTACTGTTGCCTTGTATTTGAGCACTATATAAGCAGGCTGGCTGAGCCCTTCAGATCAGTTCTGTTTTGGCCTGTGAATAAACTAGAGCTGTTTGAAGAATCGCTGTGTCGTCTGATATGTTCACCCACAACTTAACAGGAACAGTCTCCCTTGGGAGGTGGTGGATTCTTCTTCCTTGGAGGTTTTTAAGCAGAGATTGGCCATCTGTCATGGATGCTTTAGCTGAGATTCCTGCATTGCAGGGGGTTGGACTAGATGACCCTGGGGTATCTTCCAATTCTATGATTCTATGAACGTTGATTTACTCAAATGGTCTAACACTAAAAACAAGAACCACATGAAAGTGACTTCTGCAGGAGGTGCTTTAGGGTACAATTCATCAGACCATTTTTTTGCTATTAAGTAAGTTTGCTGAGCTGGAAGCTGGCACTGAAGTTTTGAGAGAATTCTCACAGAGGGAGAAATTATGACAACTGTGGAGCAGTACTGACCCTTCCAGGCCACCAAACACAATTTCCTCTCTACTATCTCCATTAAGCTGCCCTGGGTGAGGCAATTTCTGTCTGCCTTGTGGCATGCCAGCTCCTTTGTAGAATCAACATTAATGTTGTCTTCTTAGCCTCATAAACACACTGTCTGATTTCTTAGGCCACATGGCTAAGGAAAAACACAAAGAACAGAAGCTAACCTAATTTTAGCTCCTGGATTCTTAAGCCATGAAAGAGTACCCACCCCAAATCTCACATAAGCAACATTAGAAATCACGCTGGGCCAGACAGCCTGGTAGCTCTTCAAGAGAGAGAGATGTCTCTGTGAAGCAGGACACAGAAGCACCTGGATCCCTTTGACTGCATCACGCTGGGATTGAAAGTAGGGCTGTGTGCACACAAAGTGTTTGAAATGCACAGAGCTCTTTTTTCTGTGCACATCTGTATAGTTTGTCCATACCTGTGCATTACACTGATAGCTGAAGCAGCAGCCATATCATCATCATCATCATCACCATCATCAATTAAATTTAATTACAGCCTTTCATCCAAGGATAACAGGGTGGTTTGCAGTATAAAAACACAGAAACATATAATTAACACTAACCCCCACACCTGCGTTCTCAACTCCTCCCCCTGTGTTTCCACGCCCCACTGTGCAAGTATTTATTTACCTTGTGTATGCACAGTTGTTGTTGTTATACACGTTTTCCAGTATGGTATACCAGACTGTCACCAAACAGCAGATTAACTTTTAACCCTTAAAAAAAAACAACGTGTCCCTTTCAGCCCCAGCAGTAGCCTACTCTCTCTGAGTTCAGGAGAGATGAGGTCCATTGCAGGCAGGAATTTGTTTGCTTGTGTGCAGCCAAGCAGTTTCTAAATTTTTTCAGAAACAAGTTTCCTGATACACCAGACTTTCACCAAAATAAAGCGTGTCCCCCAGCCCAGCAGTAACCCACTGATAAAGCATAAACTAAGGTAAATGTGGAAGCGAATGAACAATTAGAAGCTAAGTGCGTCCTGAGAAGCATAAAGGAAGTGCAGTTCTCTGCAGCGCTACACACCCACTGCAACATCACCATGAGGGGAGCCACAGCAAAAAGTGTACTGTTCACATGCTCTTTCTCTTGTACACACATGGGCTGAAATGTGAATTTATTTAGGCTTAAAATCTATTTTCACATCAAACCTGGTTCGTGGGGGGAAACACATCAAGTCATCAGAAAAAACAGGATGTGTCTGCATTGGGGTTGAAGTCTCATGTACAATAATAATTTTTAAAAGCCAAGCACACGGTATGCACTGAATGCACACTAAACTGTAGTGTGTGCGCAGCCTAGGACCTTCTGAACCACATCAGTCATCCAAATAGCATTTGCAGGTAGCTGTGTAAAGGCACCTATGTAGAGAGCTGACCCTACAATTACATGGAATCAGTTCCTATTAAAATTAATGCTAGCTGATTCCCCATAATTATAAAAAATATGAAGGGCAAAATAAACAAATAAAACCATAATATTAGCAAGCCTTGATAAAGCAAGGGTCAGTCATATCTAAAGAAAAGATAGATTAGCCATTGCTGCTGCTTGGGTGCTTTCTGAGCATGAGAGTGTTCCATATGCCCATTCTCCCAGTAATCCTTACAACCGTCTGTTTCATCACCATTATCCTGACATTGTAGATGGAGCGTATGTATGTATGTCTGCTAAGACTGAAAAAACATCAGCTTAACTAAGACCAACTGGTAAGTTCATGGCTGAAGTAAGATTTGTCTTTCAGAGTCTTTCAGTCTATTGTATTCTTAACAATTACACAAGCTCCCACCGAATACATCTTTAAGTTAAAGTGTTCTGGAATGGCCTATCAAAATGTTGCATAAAAGAAATTCCATTTGATTTTGAGGAGTCATCTGGCAAAACAGTTAAGGAATTCTGAGGGAAGTCAAAAGTTATAGGGGGGCGGAATCAGATGGGTGGATGGATGGATTCACATACTCCTGCTTTGTTCTGGTGCTAGCATTTTATTTGATCCACACTCCCAGGAAATGTATTTGCATATTAAGCTCAATAGTTCACTTTCTGTGAAATCAAAAAAGTGCAGGTTCACAACAAGGAAATAGTCATATGGAGAGGAAAAAAGGTACTTACACTGCAAAGTGATAAATGAAACACTTCCATCCACTCGGCCGTTCCAGAAAGTTGTACACATCTCCCTGCATACTAGTTTTGGTTAAGTATGGGCCATAAAAGCATTTTGTAGGGTAGGCCCGGTGTACCTCACTTCCTGTCATGGATTCGGTGTTTATCTGGAAAGCAGGATCATGTGGATTTTCTTCTTCAGAGTTCGAATAAATTTTTGATCCATTAGTCACCAAAGAATCGGGATCAAGTGCCACAGAAGAGTACTGCATATTGTTTAAGTTTGCTCGCACTTCCAAAAAGGTTGCAGACTTCCTGTGTCCATTCAGGTTCCCCACTTGGGAGTCAGAATGCTGAACTCTACTGCAAAGGTTATACATTGGGTGCCCACCAGTTTCACCATTACCGTAAGACATTCTGTAATGAAGTAGGTGTATTGCTCACCTTGATCAATATTTAAAATTATAAAAGGTATTGTATATCTTCTCTGCCTTTGGCATTCTCCAGCCACCCAGTAAGAAGTCAAACATTATTGTGGAACAACACCGCTGTGTGCAGCCAGTCTGTCACCTGTTACCAGGATTCTGAAATTAAATCACAAGAAGATGTTTAGATAATGGAAGTCTCAAGTAATAGATAAAGGCTCTGAAGGAGGAAAGCAATTAAAGAGTCACTATGCAGCAAAGCAAGTCAGGAGCATGACTTGAGTGTTATTTATAGACTAGTACATGGCACCATTTTTAACAAACTGACACATTGCTTAAGGTTTGGAAATGCTGACAGTGGCCCATAAGGAAGTTCCAGGAATCATTTGTGACAACCACATTATTTATTTCAAAATTCACTTAAAAGTTTTGTCCGTAAGAGAGTTCACCTAAGGCGCTTAAGTGCACATTGAAAAGTGAATGGAGCAAAAACATGCAGGAGAAATGGAATTAGTTGCAGCTCCCTGTTGAATGTACATTCTGTGGCAAACCTGGATTTGTCTGAAATGGACCCAGTGTTAAAGGACAAGTCAGAACTGCTCAGCTGCCTTTTCCTTTTATTTCTTGTTTCATTAAAAACAATACAAAAAACGAAAAGACAAACAATCAAAATAGACTTTAAAATTAACTTTAAAATGCTTGGCCAAAAAGGCAAGTTTTGACCTGGAACCAAATAGTTGCAAGTTGGCACCAGTCATTCTAAATTTTATATTAGCATTTTTGGCTAATATGTCTGGCATCCAGAGTATACCCGGTTGTATTTGTAAAACCCAGTACTGAGACTGCGATACAGCAGACAAGATAACGCTTTGAAAGGGCAAGGCCTCCTTCTATGAATTATTGAACAGTTTAACTTTAAACTGCATATATAACTTTAGGCATTTTGTAATTAATTATTTCTCTTATCTGTGTGAACTGATGGTACACTTAATTATGGGGATGGGGTGGAGAGAAACCTTAGAGATTATTCTTTTGGTTTCTTGCAGTCTGTATCCTTTACATTTTTTCAGTCAGATTTTAAGTCTTAGTTCCAATGAAGGTAGGAAACTCCTGCGAACCTAGTGCAAATAGAACCTTTTAATCTTTTACAACAGCTTAATACAAGATTAGGCACATGGCAAATGTTAATGCACTCACTGCTTCAATGTTTGGTCTGGATAACCAGTTAACCCCCCCCCCCAAAAAAAAACAAAACACTGAGAACTGTATTTTGTTCCTTCCGGAAATTATTTTGCTTTACAGACTCGGAGCAAGTTAGTCTTTAGACATACTGTATTACCAAAAAGAAATGGTGTGTGTGTGTGTGGAAGACTTGGACAATTCACATAAAATACCATAAGAAAGCATAAGAAAGCACTGTCATTATATTGTCATCAAGTCAGTCTTCATAACTGCTGCTTCAACACTGAGCAATTTCATAACTGTATCTATACCATGTCTATCCTTCCCGCATTTGAATGCAGGGATTTAAGGCTTAAATTCCTTTTCAAAACATGCCCATTCCCAGATTTCGCTATTTTGAGAGGTTCTAAACTTCTGAATAGCTCTCTTTGTACAAACTTTGAATACGGCATACACATTAGATATTTCCAGCAACGCTGTTGCATCAGTATTTCCTCAGTTGTCTAGTGATTGCATTTAACTTTTCTACCCTCACGTTTAACATTTCAGAATGAATTTATAAACCAGCAAAGAGAAATTTTGCTTGCTCAAATCCTTAAAGCAAATAAAATTAGCTGGAATACTCAGTCATATGTCTGATAGCGTGCAGCAGATCTTGGTATGGCGAGGCGGCTGCTCCTGATTTGATGCGTGAGCCAGAAAAGACAAAACCTGAAACCTTCTGGAAGGCAGCACATACCCTCTCCTGTTGCAGGGTGTTTTTTCTCTCCCTTGGCGCTTCCCTCTGCTCCATATGGCATAATCCAAGGACAGGAACAGCGAGAGAGTCGTCTGGCTCTGCCCCCTGGCTGATAAAGTCCCACCCTAACCCATTCAGAGGACCTCCCCATGTCTTGTTAGTTTTCCTTTGGCAGAAAACCTGTAGGGCATCATTTTGATGGTGCTGATCATTTTGTGACTGACAGATGTGGCTTTTTCCTTTCCTGTGCTTTTATCAGCATGTGGGGAGGGGTGGCCAGGCAGATTTCCCTCTCTACCCTCCCTTCAAATCCAGAACAAATGGATTAAGCATAGTTTTCTTATCTCCTCTGAATTCAGACTTGGCTTAATTTCAGACAAAGCTTAATGGACAGGATCTGCGGAAGCCTTGGGTGTTAAAAATGCCTATGAAGATTTGATGAAACCCATGCAAGACAATTTCAGCATCATGCACCAACTGAACATCATCACACTGCTCCTATCTTGGAACTAACTATCTTGCTCACTGGGAAAAGCCTTCAGAATATTCAAGAGCAAGTCTAGCCAGTTACATTGCTAACTGGAAATGTCTCCATGCTGGCAGGGGTAAGTACAAAACCTTCTGCCTTTTCCCCCTGTTTTTAACAAAGCACACTTTTAAGGCTTTAAAAAACCCCTCAAACTTTCTCAGAACACACTGGCTGCATTCACACATCACAATAAACCACAATTCATGGTTTACTGTGAACAGACAGAGACGTCCCACTTTCAACAGAAAGAAACCACAATCCCCGACTTCGCATTGTCCAAGGTGGGGATTTTGGTTTGTTTGAGCCACGGACCTACTATTTAAAGAAACAGTAAAATTGAAATTGGGCATGTCCAAACTCTCAGACACACCTACAGCAACTCTTTTCATCTTTGTCACAGACTTCTAAGATATACATCTTTAAAGATGGGGGTGGGGGGCCTGTTCCTAAAACTGCATCCGAACAGCAGAGCACAGCCATGAAGTGTTGCATGAAAGTACAGACTAGACTTTATACCAGTAAGGTTGTGATCCTATGCGCATTTACTAGGGAATAAGTCCCATTTAAGACACCTGGAATTCCTTCTGAGTAAATGTGCAGATTGCCCTATTCAATTTAGTTCTATCTGCACAAAGGTGTGAAATTTGCTATGGGGACACTGAAACCCAATTTCTTGCAAGTTGGGAGGTTTTCTGCAATGTAGGCATACAAAAACAGGTTTCAACCACCTTAAAGGACTCTAATCCAGATTTCTTCAAGGTATATATACGTTGGTTTTGGGAACAAGATTCAGATTCTCCTGAAATCAGGTTTTTAGCCCCAATGACTTGGTTTCAATACAATCATAACAAAACGTATATGCAATAAAAAGGCTTATTGGATCCTATCTACTGTACAGTACAAAATTCCTCATAACAAATAGTGAATGCATGTATTTTAACTATTCAGCCAGTCCTAGATGTAATTTAGCAATTCAAATTATAACCATTTCTCTATGAAGTGGTTTTCTTGACAAGATACAGCAATTGCTTGAGCAAATTAACTTCTTCATCTTCTGGACAGCTGCTGTCTTGGTTCAAAAGAACATAGCAAAAGTTTTCAAAGTCAGATATTGCAGTATGCCTATTGTAAAAAATAAATATATCTATCTTTCTGGAGTAGGGAGACAAGGTATAATATAAAATATCTTATTTCTCCGTTGCTTTCTGGTTGCAAATTTATAAAAAAGTTAACGTATAGCTATTTTGTATATCTAACACCAAGAAAGGAAGTTCTTTAAAAGCAGTTGCATGAAAGTTTTTGTCAAAGGAAAGAATGTGCAAGCCTATTTTTAATACTGAAAGTGTGATCACGCTTTAGGAGTAAACAAAGCTGAAAACTGGATGTTAGAATCATGGAACTGTAGAGTTGGAAGTGACCTTGAGGGTCATCTTAAGGGCTGCCACATGGAAGAGGGAGCATGCTTGTTTTCTCCGGCTCTGGGTGGTAGGACTCGAACCAAGGGCTTCAAGTTGCAAGAAAGGAAATTCCAACTAAACATTTGGAAAAACTTTCTGACAGTAAGAGCTGTTCAGTAGTGGAACAGACTCCCAGGAGAGATGGTGGACTCTCCTTTCTTGGAGGTTTTTAAGCAGAGGTTGGATGGCCATCTGTCATGGATGCTTTAGCTGCGATTGCAGGGGGTTGTACTGGATGACCTTTGGGGTCCCTGCCAACTCTGTGATTCATCAACCCCCTGCAATGCAGGAATATTAACTAGATCATCCGTGACAGATGGCCACCCAACCTCTGCTTAAAAACCTCCAAAAGGAGAGTTCACCACGGCTGTAGGACTTCCTCAGCATTTGCATGTCTTCTATCCTTGCTGCCTCAACATAAGGTATCTGATATTTTCAAGTCACCTGTCATCTAACATTCCTTCTAGTATCACCCACTACATTTTCACAGCGTTATAAAAGCATATGTTTGGGAAATTTCAGGTACTAGGTATTAAAATAACTGTCTAGTTACCAACACCTAATTTTTATGATCTCATAAGAGCTCAGAATAGGCAACAAAATTCCCATTACAGGGGGCTTTAATAAGGTATCTGTCATACTGAATGTGAAATTTAATACCACATACTGAATGAAACATTTTTAACTGTATGGCTAACTTATGTGAAATCTATGACCACTGAGAAAACTACAAATGCCCCATAATGAACAATGCAGAAAGCAGTTGCATATTTTGAGGTGAAATGGCACAAAACGAAAACACTGATCTTTGCCCATTTCTTAAATCTCAGCTGTTCCTGTGGATCTGAGTGAACAGATTCTGACTATGAGTTGCACTCTGCTAACTTTTCCTCAGAGCAGACCCATTGAAATTAATTACTCAAGGTCTACAGTGAATAAATGTTAGCTGAATGAAACAATATCTGTATTAACAGCCATGCCCATGAACCAAAATGGTGAATGGCTGAGTTTCCAGCCTATAGTTAATTTGCCACTGCATTTTTAAATTGAAATAATTCAACTAGTTGACCACCTGATTAAGATTTGTACCTCGTCCATAATAACGGGCCTTGGAGGCTGCTGTTTCCTGCAAATCAAATGCTACCAGTTCCCCAAGTTGGATCTCATTCCTTTCCACATGCCTGCATTAGGTTATAATTTATAATTATACTATAAATATTATTAATAATAATTAATACATTAATAAATTATTGGGTTGTAATTTATTCTGAAATTTGACATTTTTCACTTTGCCTTTTTTTAAAGTAAGTCCTGTGTTCAGTGGAAGCTGCTCTATTAGGGCAACCTGGGTACTGCCCTACCAAGTGAAACCTCAAGCAATCATTTTAAGTTTTCTCCAAAATTTGAACACAACACACTTTCCTGTCCAACACACACGTTCTTATCCTTCAATCTGAACATAAGAGAGACTGCTGGAAATATTTCTGTCACTCTCCCATTCTCTGGGCAATTAGCTCTTACACCACTCAAGCAAACTATATTGCTGTGGCCACAAGATCTCTTCCATCCATCTCCAGGCACGAAAACCACATGAACATTTTTTGCATTTTTCTAGGGCAGTGGATACCTTGGATCTCCACTCTCTCATCTTCTCTTGATGGCAAACCGGCCAATCAGGACACAGGAGTTAGCATACAGCCACAGCAGAAAATTAGACCATATTATGTTTTCTGAGCATGCAAAGAGCTGTTTCCTTGAGGGCCACACTTAGCATCAGGCCCCACAGCAGGAGGGCTTGCCTGGCCAGCCATTCTGCTTGCCTGCCTTTTCTTTCACTGACTTGCCTTTTGTGTGAGCAAGTACCAATGGACACCCTGTGAGTCTCCTGTCGTGTTTATATATATATATATATGTTTTTTATCATACCATTTTTAACAGTAATTAAACATACTTTTACATCTTATTCAATTTTTTTGACTTCCATCAGTCATGTCTGAAAATTTTCCAATCTAATCTCTTAGTATGCATTTCTTATTTTCCCTATTACATTTCAAACTCATAACCAAGGTCTCTATCTTTTTCTACTTTGTAACACTTCGTATATTTCGCCTTACAAACCTTCTTGTAGTCCTGCTAGCGTAATTTGTTGATTACAGTTGCTCTTCAAATAATTCATATACTTAGAATCATAGAATCATAGAGTTGGAAGAGACCACAAGGGCCATCGAGTCCAACCCCCTGCCAAGCAGGAAACACCATCAGAGCACTCCTGACATATGGTTGTCAAGCCTCTGCTTAAAGACCTCCAAAGAAGGAGACTCCACCACACTCCTTGGCAGCAAATTCCACTGTCAAACAGCTCTTACTGTCAGGAAGTTCTTCCTAATGTTTAGGTGGAATCTTCTTTCTTGTAGTTTGGATCCATTGCTCCGTGTCCGCTTCTCTGGAGCAGCAGAAAACAACCTTTCTCCCTCCTCTATGTGACATCCTTTTATATATTTGAACATGGCTATCATCTCACCCCTTAACCTCCTCTTCTCCAGGCTAAACATGCCCAGCTCCCTTAGCCGTTCCTCATAAGGCATCGTTTCCAGGCCTTTGACCATTTTGGTTGCCCTCCTCTGGACACGTTCCAGTTTGTCAGTGTCCTTCTTGAACTGTGGTGCCCAGAACTGGACACAGTACTCCAGGTGAGGTCTGACCAGAGCAGAATACAGTGGCACTATTACTTCCCTTGATCTAGATGCTATACTCCTATTGATGCAGCCCAGAATTGCATTGGCTTTTTTAGCTGCCGTGTCACACTGTTGGCTCATGTCAAGTTTGTGGTCAACCAAGACTCCTAGATCCTTTTAATATGTACTGCTCTCAAGCCAGGTGTCACCTATCTTGTATTTGTGCCTCTCATTTTTTTTGCCCAAGTGCAATACTTTACATTTCTCCCTGTTAAAATTCATCTTGTTTGTTTTGGCCCAGTTCTCTAATCTGTCAAGGTCGTTTTGAAGTGTGATCCTGTCCTCTGGGGTGTTAGCCACCCCTCCCAGTTTGGTGTCATCTGCAAATTTGATCAGGATGCCCTTGAGTCCATCATCCAAGTACTTCTTCCAGTCTTCTGTAAATCTCTGGTCCCGCAGGTTTTGAATCCTTCCTGTCATTTTGTCCAATTCTGCATAGTCCATTAATTTTGTCTGCCATTCTTCTTTCGTCGTAATTTCTTCTTGCTTCCATTTCTGGGCTAACAATACTCTAACCGCTGTTGTTGCATATAAGAACAGTTTAGCATATTGTCTATTAATGGCTTGGCCTATAATACCAAGTAAAAATGCTTCTGGTTTTTTTAAGAATGTATATTTCAACATCTTTTCCATCTCATTATATATCATTTCCCAGAAGTACTTTACTCCTGTCGTTTTTATTTTAGCATTTTTTCTTTTCTTTTATGGATAAGGCATGGGGGAATTGGGAGAATTTAAATAATCATCATTATTTAAATGTTTCTAAGCTGATGAAATGAAAAAGTTTCGTACACTGAGAGGAGTGGGAGGCCCTCTTCAAATATATTCTAGGCCAGTGTTTCCCAAAGTGGGCGATTCCCCCCTGGGGTGATGGAAGGATCCAGGGGTGGCATAGTAGCCTCAGGTGCAATGGGGAGGGGCATTGAATAAAAATAAGCGGGCAGTGGAAACATAAAGAAAAAATAATTTTTTGAAAAACCATTTGTACCTGTTTCATCTGTTGTGTAATGACACTTACCAATGTAACACAGAGTTCAAGCTTCAAGGTGTCTTATTTATAACATCTTTCTTTAGAATGATACAAGATGTAGGTAGAAATATAGGTGCATAAAAGAATGCAAATTTGTCACTGTATCTTTCTGTTTGTTCACTTAAAGTGGGTGCTGAGTAGGGTTTTTTTTCTGAAAAGGGGGCAGTAGGCCAAATAAGTTTGGGAACCTCTGTTCTAGGACATGTAATATATTTTTTAATATAGCAATGGATGTTATGAGCCTGGAAACTTGTTGACACAGATACATGATGGGAATTGTGTTTTTCTTGGCACTCTCACCCCTGATACGTCCTTTCTATACTAGGCATAAAGAGACTTCCTGTTTTGATTTGGGAGGAGGGGACTAACAAGGGTTAATCCCACTTATGCAAGTTGTTTGGAGCAACTACAGCTGATTGTGAGGGAACTCAAAGGCTAAAGGTTTGAAGCAGAAATAACCTATCTGAGAAGTTTGGAAAGGGGTGTGTGGGTGTGGGTGTGCTTATTAAGGTTGTGTATCAGACATGGACAAATCCTGGATTCTGAACTGAATCACCTTGATTCAAGTCCATCTGGGATTTAGCTGGATCTGGTTGAGATAGCTCCAGAATCCTCCATGTTTGACCCAGAGAGACCCAGGACTGTCAAAAGGGGTGTGATTACACAGGAAGGGGTGTCATGGCTTCTGCAGTCCTGGCTGGCTCAGGATGGCAGTTGTAAGGTGAACTGTCAGAGAGGAGGAGGAGATGCCCTCAACACGAGGAGCCCAGGAGGGATAAAAACAGAACAACTTGGCCACACCTCCATGACCTCCTAGCAGGCCTGGTGCCCACATGCCCTTTATGTGAATGGGGGAGCAAGTAGATCCCAGTCCCTGCAGCTGCAAAGGACTTCAGAAGGTGCTGGTGAATGAATGAGAGACAAACAGACATCACTTCGGTGCATCAGTGCATCAGCCTCCCACAGATTATCCTTTTGCTGTCTGCATTAGGGATCTTCCTTGTGGAGAAGGGATTGTAGTCAATGAAGCAGTATTTGCTAACCCTCTGTTGGTTGTTGTGGAAGCCTCTGTGCAGCATTTACAGTTTTTCTCATGCAAGTCAAGCTCTCTTCCTGAAAGGAGTCGTGGTTACTGAGTGCTTGACCATCAGCAACTGTTAAGAGTTGAATGCCTACAGTGTTCACCACAAGACAGTTTACCTCCATGTTTGGTTTACAGCCATTTGCGCATCCTTTTTGCACAGTGCATGTGCACTCTGTGTTCTCTGCAAGGGGGCGTAATCCAAGGGAAATCTACAGTGAGTCACAAAGATGCCACAAGACTCTTTGATTTTTCTGCGATAGACTTACATGAAAATCATTCTGGAAATTGCCGCCAGAAGCTGATGAACGAGTTATTTATTTAGCCAATACCTTATATTCAGTGGAGGAAGAATAGACATGAAGTATTTGCAGCTGTCATATTTTAAGGCATGTCCCCCACCCACTTTTAATTAACTTAAAAGTGTAGTCAGCGGAATATAACTTTTAAGGTCTTTCATGTCTTCTCTCATGAACCCAAATCCAATGGCCTCACTTTATAGTAACTACCGGTAGGTTTTAAGCTTATATGATATGCTCACACCATCTTATTGTCTCCCAGTTTTAAAGTTTATTCACCTACATATTCTCAGAATGGGACAGGTTGGTAATTCAATACTAAGAAATGACTAAAGCGAGTTTTAAAAAACCTCCAATGCAGTAAGTTACAAAATCCATATTTCAACATTCTATCAATATAAATGACTGGAAATAATGAATAAGTTGGTGTATTGAAGACACTGTACACTTGTAATACTCAGCGTTCTCCATTGAGCTACACAAAAGGCGGCAAGAATTACTGCTTGCAATATTAGGCCTATTCTTATTGAAGAGGTATCAGATAGCAGCAGCAGAAAGCTTTCAAATAATGAGACAATATAAATTCTTGTACACTGAGCTTCAACTGTTACTTGATTCCTTGCTTCAATTATATTAAGTGTCCTAGCATTGTATTATTAGGTTTGCTTCAATCATTAGTAGTGCACTGGAAAAGGATCCACCCCATTGATAATGTGGAGGTAACAAAATATTGTCAAAAGTTGTACAACTATAAGCACATTTTCAGTAGCTGATCAAAGGGAAATAATTGCTTCAGTAGACTTACTGTATAAGAAATGTCTGCTATTCGGAAGAGTTCGAAAGGAAGTCACATCTGCTTCAAAAACCAATTTAAGGGCCAAATTGTGTGTTTACCTCACATTGAGAGGCTATTGTCCAGTTAAACAGTTAGGAACATAAAAGCCTGCCTTATCCTGTCAGACCGTTGGTCCACCCAGTTTATTATTTTCTACATTAGCAATGGCTCTCCAGGGGATCAGACGGAGTCTCCTAACTATCCCTCAAGATGCCAGGGATTAAGCCTCAGACCTTTTGCATGCAGTGCTCTGCTACTGAGCCACTACCTTCTAGAATCATATATAATTACTAAACTATACTATACTATACTATACTATACTATACTATACTATGGTTGTACCTTGGTTGTCAAACTTAATCCATTCTGGGAGTCCATTTGACTCCCGGAATCGTTCGAAAACCAAGGCGCAGCTTCCAGTTGGCTGCAGGAGCTTCCAGCACTCAATTGGAAGCCACAGAAGCTGCATCGGATCTTCAGCTTCCAAAAAACATTTGCAAACCAGAACACTTACTTCCAGGTTTGTGGCATTCGGGAGCCAAAACATACAAGTACCAAGGCGTTCGAGAACCAAGGTACGACTATACTATACTATACTATACTATACTGGGTGACCTTGGGCCAGTTGCTGCCTCTCAGCCTAACCTGGGTTGTTGTGGGGATTAAAGGAAGAGAGGGAGAACCATGTGTTCTTCCTTGAGCTCCTTAGAGGAAAAGGTAGGGCATAAATGCAAAAAATAAAAATGTTCCCTGTGTTCTTCAACACTGATTTTACAGTTACTGAGCACAGGAAAAGCCTATGCTACTGGAGGTCTACACCTGCAGGCTTTTCTTCACCGATATTCACACCCCAAGTGTGGACCTTAGGTGGGCAGCCACTCATGCTGTGCAGCCACAGGTATGTCTGCCCATTCTGTGCCTGCTGTCTGTTCATGCAGTGTGTATGTGCACTGGGCTATAGTGATGGTCTCAAAGTCACTGTAAATTCCATGGTTCAGTGAATGTAGATTTGAACCTAGGACTCCCTAGCCATAGTCTGAAATTCTAACCAGTACGTGCAGAATAGCCTTCCAGGTGTTGGTGGGACTCCATCACCTGACCATTGGCCACAATGGCTAGGGCTGATGGGAGTCCCAATATCTGGTGGGCAGCATATGGGTGACCCCTGCACTACACCACACAAACGTTAAGTGTGAGCTTTTATTAAAATGCTTTGAAAATACACACCATACATTTAAAGCACCCCCGCCCAAAAGAATGCTGGGAACTGTACCCCTTACAGAGGTGCAGTTCCAGCAACCCTTAAAAGTGAGTTCTGGGGACCTTTTTGGAGGAGCAGAAATGTGTTTTTAATGTCTGGTGCGTATGCAGTAAAACGCTATTAAGAGAAAACAGGGTAGGACCTCCAAAGTTCAGGTTTGACAACTCAGTCTTATCTTTTCAGTTTATACAGAAACCCTTTCAGTGACATGACTGACAATATAACTGCTGCTGAAACACTAACATGTTACTTGCATGTTTTCTTAAAATGTATTTAGCATTGATGGCATACTGATAGTGGCAAAATTAAAACTATAATTTCTAGTTAAATTTTATTTTAATTAGCAATTTTCATTAGCAATGAAACAAAGGGCTTGGTTGAAACTGCAATGTGCAGCTTTTCAGTTCAAATTTGATCTTGGCAATCCACATCTGTGTGCATTTGAAGTTGAATCCTTCAGTTCAAATTCAGACTTATGTCCTCCCCTCACCCATGTGTCCAGTCTACCAGCAATATCACATCTAGTTGTTTCTAAATTCCACTGCCACACCCCAATCATTCTCTCCATTCTAAGGCAAACGGCATGTGCACAGGTAACATAAAGCCTGTGAGCACACCCCTTTAAAAAAAAGTCCTGCCCAGGATGTGTGATTTATTGAATATGTGTTTCTGTCATGCCTCAGCTTTCTACTTATGCACAAATCTGAGGATTTAACTATTAAAAAAAAAGTACTCACTGCTGCTCCATTTCAGGAAGTATACACAATATGACATAAATGAGGAAACAAGCAGTGTGCACAAGTTTGGGGAAAGATTGTAGTGGTGCAGTTTGTATGATCAGATTTCAGCTTATCCACAAATCTAAGGGTTTAACTGTGGGGGTGAGGGTTACTTCACTGCCAGAGTGATACACAGCTGCCAGAAAACGAATGAGAAAGAAAACACAAATAGAGGGTGTGGAAAGAGTTGGTAACAAGCCAGTTCCACCCAGAGGGGGGGAAATGATGCCAAGTGTCCACTGCCAATTTATTGAACATGCATCCCCCTCCCCTGTGGATTATCTTCAAATCCAGAAAAAAATAATTTACTGGTAGAAAACACTGAGATTTGAGTGACATTGTGTGGATGACATTATATAAATTGGGACACAATCAGATTCTAATCCACACTAAATTTCAGTGTGGATAAACCCCAAAGAACAAGAGAGGACTCTTGAAAATGCCAGCAACCAGTCCTACATTTCAGCTGTTCCTGTGCGAGTTAGGAAGAATAGTATTAATCAGGAAGCAAGCATAGCAGCTTTCTTCTTTACAAACTTCTTTGCAGGTCAGGTAGTGCACAGAGCGGAGTGGGATTGCATATGCTGGCCCTAACCTCCATTCACTGTACAAAGCATGTATACATGCAGGAATTGTACATGTGTTCAAGAATCCTGGTTGCATCAGCATTCCTCATCACAAGTACAGATTCTACATGTGTACAACTGTCCTTTCTCACATCCTACCCAACAAATGGAATTAGAGCACCTGGTTCCCAAACATGCTTGCACCAGTGGGAATAGGATTTGGTCTCCAAGGGTGACAGATTGGCGACACCTAGCTTTTCTTTTTCTTTTTTTTTAAATAATATTTATTGAATTTGAAAGGGTTACAAAAAGAAAAAAAGAAAAAACAGCATATTTAAGAAATACAAAACATCACATCACAATAATAAAAAAAGAAAAAGGGGGGGGGGGAAGAAAAAATACAATAAATCTTCCCATATCTTATCTTTCATTTGCTTATTTCCTTGACCTCCTCACACCTCCCTTTTTTGTATTCTAGTTCAATTAGCTATTTCAGCAAATCCTTTCCACCTTTTCCAGTTTTTGTCCTCTATTTTATCTTAATATAATGTAACTTTACTTTCCCTCCTTCACCATTTAGCAATCTATTTTTCCTTAATCCTTTAAACCATTTCTGCTAAAACCGCATTATTTCATTCCAACATCCTTCTAACGTTCCTTAATTTTACAATGTTTCTGTAAATAAACTTTAAATTTCTTCCAATCTTCTTCCACCAACTCTTCTCCCTGGTCTCGGATTCTGCCAGTCATTTCCGCCAGTTCCATGTAGTCCATCACCTTCATCTGCCATTCTTCCCGGGTGGGTAGATCTTGTGTCTTCCAATACTTCGCGATGAGTATTCTTGCTGCTGTTGTGGCATACATAAAAAAAGTTCTATCCTTTTTTGGAACCAATTGGCCGACCATGCCCAGGAGAAAGGCCTCTGGTTTCTTCAGAAAGGTATATTTAAATACCTTTTTCATTTCATTGTAAATCATCTCCCAGAATGTCTTAATCCTTGGGCATGTCCACCAAAGGTGAAAAAATGTGCCTTCAGTCTCTTTACATTTCCAACATTTATTATCGGGCAAATGATATATTTTTGCAAGCTTGACTGGTGTCATGTACCACCTGTAGATCATTTTCATTATATTCTCTCTTAGGGCATTACATGCCGTAAACGTCATACCTGTGGTCCATAACTGTTCCCAGTCAGCCATCATATTATGTCCTACATCTTGTGCCCATTTGATCATAGTTGATTTCACCGTTTCATCCTGAGTATTCCATTTCAACAGCAAGTTATACATTCTTGACAAGTTCTTAGTTTTGGGATCTAACAGTTTGGTGACACCTAGCTTTTCATCTCCTCAGAAAGTTAACACGTTACAGTAGGTACAGTGGTGCCTCGCAAGACAAAATTAATTCATTCCGCGAGTTTTTTCGTCTAGCGAATTTTTCGTCTTGCGAAGCACGAAATCCCATAGGAATGCATTGAAATCCAATTAATGCGTTCCTATGGTCAAAAAAAGTCCAAACAAAGCCAAATTTGGTACAACAAGAGTTTATTAAGTGCTCTTTAAAGTCACACATACTGTAAAGAGCATTTCAAAAATTGAAGGAACAATAAATTAAGTTTCTAAACATGACAGAAAAACATTTAAAAATCAACAAAGTGTACAGTACATTTTCTAAGACTCTGGGGAACAACTCGAAGAAGGTTCCTCTTCCACTCTTTGCTTCTTGCTGAAGAAGCCCCCTCCTCAACTGTTCCCCCAGCCACCCACCACACAGAAATTCAAATCCAGAATTTTTTTTAAAAACAGCAGAGTGGCCCAATGGTCACAGAAAGTCATAAAAATGCAGAAAAAAACCACACAAGCTTCCAAATTCTTGCAAACCCCTCCTCAACTGTTCCCCCAGCCACCCACCACACAGAAATTCAAATCCAGAATTTTTTAAAAAACAGCAGAGTGGCCCAATGGTCACAGAAAATCATAAAAATGCAGAAAAAAACCACACAAGCTTCCAGATTCTTGCAAACGCCTCCCCAACACCAAGTCCTTGAATTCCAAACACCCCAACCCAAAATCCAAAAACCCCAAAAAAAGTTTTAAAAGTTTAAAAGACGTTTTGGAAAAGCTTCAAAAATACCAAATCTTCAAAAACCTCAAAAAAGGCTACCACACCGCGTTCTATGAGTTGCTCCTCGAAGTCAAGTCACAACTGTATTAACAGTGTTAAGAAAAAGGAAACAAATTTGCAAGACGTTTTCGTTTTTCTTCTTGCGAAGCAAGCCCATAGGGAAATTTGTCTTGCGAAGCAGCTCAAAAAACGGAAAACCCTTTCGTCTAGCGAGTTTTCCGTCTTGCGAGGCATTTGTCTTGCGGGGCACCACTGTACAGATATAAGCCTACTCTGCAAAACTATGAAACTGCAGCTTGTAGTCTGCAAATATTTGCCAGTTGGGTTTTCTTAATGAATAAGTACTAGTACAAGTCCAGTGAACTAAAATTTCTTAACTTTAGAAGGGATTTCTGGTTCTCTCTTGGTACTACAAGCATGCTGTGTGGTCTTTTCAGTGCATCAGTGAGCCTGGTTTAAACACAAATATGTGCACAAGCTGAAGCCAGAATTAAGACATCCAGTGAGAAATGAGGTTTTTTGATCCCATATTTGGTACAAAGCTGAGGGATTTGCAACAGAGAAATGGCAGTATGGAATTCTTCCTCCCCCTGTTATCCACACGGACAGACACAGCCCACCATCCCTCAAAGCCTGGTCTCTGAACAGGGCTAGCGAAAAACAGCTGGGCAGGGGGGGGTTGAAAAGAAGGCGCCTCACAGCTGTGCATGATGGTGCACGATGCATTTCCAAGCCCAGCCCTTCTCTCTGCTTCCTGTTCACTTTTTATTTGGAACCTCTTGGGTGGACGCGCCAGGCCACCTTCTTCTTCCTCCCGAGCAGCCCTCGGAGCTCCCTCCCGGGATGTCCTGATCCCCTGGAGTCCCACGCCAGCCCTGGAGCAGCCCCGCCGCCCACAGGCCTCCTGCCAAGGCTTCCCTGGGCGTTGGGGGTTTTCTTTGGCTATGCATTTTGCTTTCTCACTTTGCATTTTTATGTTGTGACCCCCCCCCCCGCCGCGATCTCCGGATGAAGGGGGTTCTACAAATCAAACCAATTCATCAATAAAATTCTTCTCTATTTTATTCCTACCCCGCCCTTTAGAAATATATGAGGGAGAAATCCCCCATCCTTCAACGAATTAAAGCTATTTTCCTATGAAAAACCCACAGTCCTAACCGCGGCGACAGGCGCCTCAGAGAAGCGCCCCTCCGAGGAGGAGGGGAAAAGGCCCAGACGCCACAAACGCGCATGCGCCGCTCCAGCCCCGAGCCGCCGGAAGAGGAAGGAGAAGCGCCAGCGCCGGAAATCGACGTCACGACTCCGGTGCGAAAATGGCGGCCGCCTGCGGAGGCGCTTCAGGGTTGGGCGCGCTGCTGCTGCTGCTGCGAGGCCGCCTTCTCCGGACGAGCCGGAACTACTCCGCTGGCTACTCGACCGCTCGGACGGCGGCCGGCGGCCGCGGCAAAGGTACTGCCGGGGCGGCCAGGCCCTCCCCCCCTGGCGGAAAGCCCCGAGGGGCAGCTCCGCGGGGGCGCTGCGACGGGAGAAGCCGGGCGGGACGGGGCAAGGGAGCGGCGCAAATCCGGCGCGTTTCAGGAGGGCTTGTTTCCCTGGAAGTGGTGCGCGGGGGCTGCGAGAGGAAGACGCTTGCTGCCCTCTTGAAGCAGCAGCAGAAGCAAAGAACAACGGCCGCCTCTCCCCTCATGAGCCCACCCTCAGATCGTACCCCCTCCTTGAGGGGTCCAGAGGGTGGCAACACGAGGACGGGGCCTTCTCTGCAGTGGCTCCCCGTCTGTGGGAAGCTCTCCCCAGGGAAGTTCGCCTTCATTATACACCTTGAGGCGCCAGGCAAAAACGTTCCTTTTTCACCAGGCCCTGGGCTCATTAAACAATTTGTGCCTTTTGAAACGGGGGGCGGGGGCGGGGGTATTGTTTTTGTTGTTGTCATGCCTTAGACTTGGGTGTTTTTATTCTGTAAACTGTTCTGTCATCCTCTGATGAAGGGCGGTATAGAAATTTAATAAACAAACAGATAAATTTCACTAGCAAAACTTGTCCACCGTTAAAAGGAAATAAGTGTCACTGAAATTGATGTGATTTATTTCAGAACTAAGGGGAATTGAGACTTACTGAGTAGGAATGTGGGTTCTTGAAGGGTCAGCAATAGTGTATAGGTTTTTAAAAATACCTTTAAAGGAGACTAGATGGAATCTAGTGGGAGAGAATTCCAAGCAGAAAGGGCTGAAGTATAAGATCTAGAAAAAGACTAGAAGCATAGGAACAAGCAGTTGCATAAGGAAAACCAGAACTAAGAAATGGCAAGCCTGTGAAAGGGCATAAGAGCCTTCCAAATCCTGCATCCTGTTGCAACTTTCAGAAATCTACTACTCAGAGAATACTGCCTGGAAATGAAGGTTTCAATTAGTCACCATGGTAAAGCTATTATAGTAGACTTAACAAAATTAAATCTGTGCCTCCCTATCTGCTATGAAGGGTTTTTTATGCTGATGGTTTAAGTATTACCGTATTTTTCGCTCCATAAGACGCACCTTTTCACTCCTAAAAAGTAAGGGGAAATGTGTGTGCGTCTTAGGGAGCGAATGCAGGGGGGAGGCATGCAGGAAAAGCCCCCAAGAGCTGCACACAAGCTCCATGCGGCTCTTGCGGGCTTTTCCCCAGGAGGGAGAAGGGACTGACGCGGCCAGTCAGTCCCTTCTCCCTCCTCGTAGAAAAGCCCTTAAAGGGTGTGCGGCTCCTGTGGGCTTTTGCGGGGGTATTGCCATAGCCGCGTGCAGCCCCTCCGGTAACTAAACCGTAAGATTCTCTCTTCCAGCCTGTTATTTGAATAATAGAATTTGCACATATGCAGTAATATTAAATAAAATAATATATTTTTCTGAAATATTAATTTCCATTATAGGGGCATTGGTACAAAGAGGAAGGACCTCACAAAATGATAAATACCGGAGAGAGGTAAGAAACTCAGGATGCATGTGGATTACATTTTAAGCCTATTGGATCTTATTCTGTTTCAGCATACTGACAACTGTCATTTCTTCCAAATCTGTAACCCTGAAATTAAAACTCTATGAAAGAACTAGGATTCTCACAAGCGCAGGTTTAACTATGTAGTGTTGTGTTTATTGTAGGCTTCCACCTACTAAGCAAGCACTTTTAAGTGTTAGTTACATGTGATATACCACAAAATAAAATCATTAAGTAATTCAGAAAAGGCCCTCCAGAAAACAGTTTATATCAGTTCTTATTCAGCTACAGCCAAATAATTACTATAAATGAATTTTTGGCTATGTGAATTGCTTTGTCCTTGCTAATAAGTTAGGTTGAGAGCTAGAAACTAGTCCAAGTCCATGCTTTGACATTTATGGCTCAACAGGGATTTGAGGCAGGATTAATCCAGTTGGAGTCTAAAACTCATGTGTCATATTATATGACTCATATAAGGGGGGTGCGAGAACATCTGTCTCGAAAAACTGATCGATGTTAAAGCATATCTTGTCATAAAAAATAGAATTGTCTCACATTTTAAACTTTATTTTTGTTTGAAATTTGCATTAGGCTGCAACTCCCAGAACTGAGAAGATGGAGGTTGATCAGGATTGGACTAGTGTGTACCCTGTTGCAGCTGCTTTTAAACCTTCCTGTGTGCCCCTTCCTCTTCGAATGGGCTACCCAGTGAAAAGGGGTGTACCTCCAGTAAAAGAAGGGAACTTGGAACTCTTAAAGGTACAGTTGTATCCTGCTATTTCAAAGACACTGTTTTTTTCAGTGTAGAATGTAGTTGAAGGAAACAGATATACAGTATAGTAGTCTTGCCCTTTCATCACAAGTTATTTATATATAATTTTTTATATATATACTGTTAATAAAAAACAAATCAGAACAGTTCCCAACAATTGTATGTAAAACTGTGCCATGAAAGTTATTAAAAAGTTAAAATCAGAAGTTAACCAATTACTGTGAAAGGGTGTACTCTTAATTGTCTGCACAAGCCTGATGGAGTAGAAAAGTTTTCAACAGGTGTTTTAAAGTTGAAACAGAAGGCACCTACCATAGTACTTGACTGATGACACTAAAGTCTGTTTCTTGTCGTCAAATGAGTCTTGCCAGCTTGGGGAATGGCCAACAGTGTTCTTGCAGATGATGTCAGTAATTGAGATACCCTGGACCTTAGTTGTTTAAGACTTGCAAATTAGTGCAAGGACCCTGAACCTGTCTCGGTAGTTGATGGGTAGAAAGTGCAGATGCTTCAACAATTTTCTTAACCAGAAAACTGACCACGGCATTCAACACCAGCTGGAGCTTCTCGACCCAAGCCCAAGGACAATCTCACATAGAGCGCATTGCAGTAATCCAGCCTTGAGGTTACCAATGCATGGTAACCAGTGGTCAAGCTATACCTGGTGGACCAGATGAAATTGGTAAAAGGCACTCCTAGTCACAGAGGATACTTGGGTCTCTATTGACAGATGTTCCCAGGAATACCTCCAAGCTATGCACTTGCTCCTTCAGAGGAAGTGCAACCCCATCCAGAACAGGCCAAACAGGTAACCTGTCATGCCTGTCTCCCAAACGTAGGAACAACACAACCAAAGAGCCTTCATTTTCCAAGGATTTGTGCCCAGTTTAGTGGTCAGACTATTTTCAGACACCCAATTCTGAGCTTTCACAGTCTCTCATGGTTCATATGTTATGGAGAAGTAGAGCATACTGCTGACACCTTGCTCTAAAATTCCTAATGACCCCACAATATAGATGTCAAATTGCACTGTGGAAAGGATAGTACCCTGTGGAACCCCATAGCACAATTGCTAGGGTTTGAGGAGCACTTACCCAGTGCTACTTTCTGAACACACCCCTGAAAATACAAAAGCACTGTAATATGGTGCATTCAGAACCCATCTCACTAAATTGGATCAGGAGGATGCCATGATCAGTGATATCAAAAGCTACTGACAGATCGAGCAGAAGTAAGTCACATTTCCCCCTGTCCCTGTACCATTGAAGCGTGCAATCTCCACAGCATTTAACTGAAATGGACTCCATATATCTTTTCCTGAGGCTACGAGCCTTTACAGCAAGAGAGATTATTCCCTGCCCCAGTTGCATAATGTTAAGTGCCTTGTAACAGAAAGCTTCGCTCATTTCCTTTGCTTTCCTATTCTTAATCTTCTTTCAAAAGGACTCTAAATAGTTTACTTTAATATTGGTATAAAGCTGTTATTCAATAATGTCAAGGGGGGTACTGCAATGCCACCCCACAAATACATACTCTGTCTTGGACTGCTGTGCCCTCAGATTTCTATAGTTGAACCATTCCCTCTGTTCAAAACAGCTGAACCTATTCTATTTTCAAGGGGAAATTCTGGGGTTTTTTTCATATCCATATTGGACTTTTATACCTTCTGACCAATGCACAGTCCTTGGGGAAAAAAGCAAGTTGTGTTAACTGTGCTTTTACATATAAATTAACTGTTGTACAGTGGTACCTCGGGTTACATATGCTTCAGGTTACAGACTCCACTAACCCAGAAATAGTGCTTCAGGTTAAGAACTTGGCTTCAGGATGAGAACAGAAATCGTGCTCCGGCAGCACGGCAGCAGCAGGAGGCCCCATTAGGTAAAGTGGTGCTTCAGGTTAAGAACAGTTTCAGGTTAAGTACGGACCTCTGGAACGAATTAAGTACTTAAGTATTTTACTTACTGCTTAGCGATACTGAATGAATCCTTTGTCCTCATTTAGATGTTTTACATTATGTATTAGATTTAGACTATGAGTTACATCTTGTTTCAGATCCCCAATTTTTTGCATCTGACACCAGTTGCCATCAGGAAGCACTGTGCTGCTCTTAAAGGTAAGTTTCAGATCTCTTTCATTGATTAAAAAATAGGTGGAAGGCAATGCTAGCAGGCTATTCTTTGTTCTCAGCACTTGACTTTTATTTAAAAAAAGAGGTGAGGGTCGGGAATTTGTAAACAGCTATGCCTCTGATTGGCATATTCACATCATATTCCACTTTAATTACTTGGAAAGGGATGAAGTTCTTAATACATTTTTCTCAAAGTAGCTATTGCCAGATTGATTGCTGTGATCTTGCTCCCACTGCTCACTTTTCAGACTTCTGCACAGAGTGGCCAGCTGATGTTGATAATGATGAGAAATGTATGCAGCACTTTCCTATTGAAGTTGACACAGTAGATTACATTTCAGCAGGCCCATCTGTTCGCAATCCTAAAGCAAGAGTGGTGACCCTAACAGTAAGTAAACTACAGAAGTAACTTCATTTTTAACATAGGGCTCTTAAAACAAGTTCATTTGGTTTGATTACAAAGCAGGCAGAAATTAAACTTGCTGTTACTGCAAGACAGTGTACAAGAACTGTTTGCACTGATGAAGTAATTAACTTAAGAAATGAAGAACCACCCATTAGAAATTGCTTCATTTCTTGGCACAAAATCCAGTAACATCTAATGGTATTTGATTTAAGTGCTGTAAGCTAATGGTCAAGTTAGATGCCTATTTTGAATATAGAACAAAGCATTAGGAGAGAGAGATAATGAATCTATAAGGCCATATTTTTTCCAGCCATTTTTGTGTGTGAGGTCATTCATTTAATATTGTCCCATCAGTATTCAAGATACTGCAGAAGCAGAAATGACTTTGCCCAAGCCACTTAATATAAGTCATCTTCCTGTGTTCCAGAGTCAAACTACTGCACCATCTAGCTTAGTTTGTCCACACTGACTGCCAGCTGTTCTCCAGGTTCCAAACAGGATGCCTTCCCAGCCTGGAGATGATGAATACTGAACGTGGGACCTTTAGCTTGCAAGGAAGACACACTGCCACCACGCTGGCCCTTCCCCACTTAAAACCTAAAGCAGAGAAAATGAGGGTTGGTGGAGGCTAGGATTTGAGAAGCTTGGAGCACATTTTGCTTTTGTAAAAAAAAGCCATTTCATTTGCATTTTCAGTCATCTCTAAAATCACTTTGTAAGGTAGATGGCAGTATTTGTATGACAAGATACTGCTAAAATCATGTCCTACAATCCAAGCCAATGTTTTACTTTATGCAGCTAACAGACTGTATAAAAACCATGTACTTTTTTTTAAGAAGTATATTTCGAAACAGGCTGCATATAATGTTGATTATTAAACATGCAGCAACCTGCCATATGGCTTTTCCTAGCACTTATGATCAAATGAGACGTGATTGTCCCGTCTTCTGGTGGTGTCCTGTTAATCCTTTGTCAACATAATCTGCCGGGAGGAATGGGACAGGGAGAGGTTTGAAGGTGAAAAGCAGATGGTATTGAGACTGTTTTGAATGGGGGCCTGGACTGATGAAGCTGTGTCGGCTATACCATTTCAAATTGCATGTGGGATTTGCATGATGAAATGCTCCATACAAAAACAAACCCCTCCCTGTGCATTTAAAAAAGCTTGTATGGAACAAAGTATCTAGTCTAGCCTTCTCTCTGATATGCTTGTCTTTTATGACAGAGTGTGTTTAGAATGGAGAAGCGTCCCATTATGTGTGCCTCCACCCTGCTCAAGTGATAGGGCTCAGTTTCCCAGCCATGTGTTTGCCACTCCAGTGAGACCTTGGTGACCTGGGAGGATCTGTGTACATCTAGTGTGTTGCAAAATTGCCATGACAGAATCTGTAACGTTCAAATGTTCAGAAAATGGATTTATTTAAATATTTAACATGGTCTACAAAAGAGATGCGGGTGGTGCTGTGGGTTAAACCACAGAGCCTAGGACTTGCCGATCAGAAGGTTAGTGGTTCGAATCCCTAAGCATTAAAATATCACACCTAAGCATTAAAATATCACACCAAAATATGGTATGTGCATTAACTGCACCATTTTTCATAAGATGTAGCACATTGTGAGCCTGTCGCCTGAATCTTGGGAGTAAATCACATTAAACCGAGCCGGGGTCAGGAGGAAAGATGTGAACATGAAGCCTCACAGAAACTAAACTTCGCTAACTTAAATTTACTTGGGAGATTGGTTAAAAAGAAGGTAAAATTCTTCAATCATTGGGCAGCCCAATTTGACTTGCTTTTGATAGAACACAGTAAGTGCAGGTGGCGCTGTGGGTTAAACCACAGAGCCTAGGACTTGCCGATCAGAAGGTCGCCGGTTCAAATCCCTGCGACGGGGTGAGCTCCCGTTGCTCGGTCCCTGCTTCTGCCAACCTAGCAGTTCAAAAGCACATCAAAGTACCTTCCCGGTGGGAAGGTAAACGGCTTTTCCGTGCGCTGTTCTGGTTTGCCAGAAGCGGCTTGGTCATGCTGGCCACATGACCAGGAAGCTGTACGCCAGCTCCCTCGGTCAATAAAGCTAGATGAGCGCTGGCAACCCCAGAGTCGGTCACGACTGGACCTAATGGTCAGGGGTCCCTTTACCTTTACCTTTTATGGTCTACAAAATAGCAAACCATCAAATCCTAAATGCATAACCAAATAAAAAGACACATGATACCATCAGTCAGTAAACTGGCCCATTACATTCAACCTCAGCAAGGGCAAGTAAACTGGAGCAGCTAAAAAAAACACCTTCAAAAACTTAAGAGTTCTCAAAATTTTCAGGAAGGGGGAATCTTTTTCTGAAGCACCAGCAGGGAAGAGGTAGAATTAACTTAACAGGAGGAAGTTCAAGATACTTAGTGCCACTATTAAAAAGCTCTTACACACACAAATACACATAAAATTTCAAAGAACAAGTGGACTTGCAGCAAGAGCCCAAAGAAAATCTTTAATTTACACACACATTCATATGAGGGAAGACAGTCCTTTAAGTTTTCCAAGACAATCTAAGGCAGTGGTAACTAACTCTTCTCGGCTCATCAGATTTGCAGATGACACCAAACTACAGTGGTGCCTCGCAAGACGAAATTAATTCGTTCCGCGAGTTTTGTCGTGTTGCGATTTTTGTCGTCTTGCGAAGCACGGTGTCGGGAAAGTTTTGGAAAAGCTTCAAAAATCACCAAAGTCTTTCAAAACCTCAAAAAAGGCTACCACACCGAGTTCTATGAGTTGCTCCTCGAAGTCAAGTCGCAACTGTATTAACGGTGTTAAGAAAAAGGAAACAAACTTGCAAGACGTTTCCGTCTTGCGAAGCATGCCCATAGGGAAAATCGTCTTGCGAAGCAGCTCAAAAAACAAAAAACCCTTTCGTCTAGCGAGTTTTTTGTCTTGCGAGGCATTCGTCTTGCGAGGTACCACTGTAGCTACTGCCACAGAAGATAGAATCTGGATTCAAGTTGACCTTAACAAATTGGAAAACTGGGCCAACAAAATGGATTTCAATAGGGACAAATGTAAGTTTCTGCACTTAGGCAGGAAGAACCAGATGCACAAATATAAGATGAAGGACATTTGGCTAACTAGCAGTACATGTGAAAAGGATTTAGGGGTCCTGGTGGGCCACAAGCTTCATATGAGTCAGTAGTGTGATGCAGCAGCAAACATGTGAATGCTATTCTAGGCTGCATCAAGAGAAGTCTGGTGTCCAGATCAAGGGAAGGATTAGTACCACTCTATTCTGCCATGGTCAGACCTCACCTAGACTCCTGCGTCCAGTTCTGGGTGCCACAATTTAAGAGAGATATTCACAAGCTGGAATGTGTGCAGAGGAAGGTGACCAAGCTGATCATGGGTCTGGAAACCAAGCCTTATGAGGAATGGTTGAGGGAGTTGGGTTGCTGCAACCTTTCTTCATAGATCATTTTGGTTGCCCTTTTCTGAACCTTTTCCTACCCTCTATCTATACACCTGTTGACACTCAAAAGACACTCACACTCGTGAGACAGGACTTGTAGTCTTACTTAGCATAGAACCTAACGAAATGGTAGAATTCTGAATAGTACTACTTCAAACCACAGAGGTGGCAAGGAGCCTCATTTTTTAAAACACCTGAAATAAAAAGTTCCCTGAGTGTAGTAAACTAGTACTTTGGGAGAAGGCTGGGGTAATGTGTCTTCCTGATGTAGTAGTTTACTACATTCAGGGAACGTTTTATCTAGGGAAGCATTCAAAAATATTATTTTCCCCAGCTCATACTTTCTCTTTGAAGTGGTAGTGTTCTGAATTCTTCTGTGTAGCAAGTTTCTTTAGTCTTAACACAATATAGCAAACTAAAATTGCACCTGCGCACTACTTTGAGCTTTTGTTAGTTTAACATGTTCTTAATCCTTTGCTTGAAGATAGTTCTTACACTGAGCAGCTCAAGTCTGTTTTGAGTCACAAAATTTAATTTGTTCTTTATTTATTCTCCAGTTAGGATTTTCTTCCTAGCACTTGGCTTTTTAAAAGCCTCTTAGTGCTCTTTCTGAGACTTTCATCCCTTGGTTTTTCAACCCTTAAATATAATATTTGCTTTTTCCATTAAGATTCTTTACTGGCCTTGTTTCTGCTGATTGAGAAATAGTAGAATGAGATCCAAATTTTCCTGTAGCTTATTTCTAAGGATTGTGTAGTACCTCATGCTGGGGTACTGCATGTCAGCATAGTCTCAACTCTGATTTTCAAAAAGGAAAGCAATGGCTGTAACAACGTGCTGTAAAATATATGGAGATGCCTGAATAAGGTTTCCAGTGACCTGGGTCAAGGTGTTACTGCTGTGCTTAGCCTTGTGCATAGTGCCAGGACTAGCAAAATCAGAATAAATGATGAAATTAAACAGATGCCAGTCTCCTGGTTCTGTGCTCAACTTTTGAGGACTTCAATCTAAAAGACACCTGTGATGTATTTTTGTGTGTGTGTGGTTTGCATGAAGTCACCTGTTTGAGCTTGGGGCTAATATTAGGCCGTCGTATTTGCGACCTGCAAAACTGAATGCAGCAACATCATGTTTTTTGTGCAATAACTCATTGACCTTTCTTTTCTACCCTGGGGATTGAACTTGCTATCAACTTGCTAAGTGACTGATTTCTCTCCAGGTTAAACTTTCAAGCCTCAACTTGGATGATCATGCAAAGAAGAAGCTCATTAAACTTGTAGGAGAAAGGTACTGCAAGGGCACAGATACCCTTACCATTACAACAGACAGGTATCGTAACATGAGAAAATTGTCTAATGTTGGTCATATGTAAGATAGTCAAGACCCTAGCTGCTAATATCCATTTCTGTCCTACTTACTGGGTAACTACTACAAGGACTCAAAAAATATTGTGCCATATTACAAAGATCCTTGGTTATAATGACTCTTCTACTCTAATCTGGCAAAGGCTTTAGCTATCTTTGTTAGACCTCATTTCTCCCATTTCTTGCTTCAAAATGCAAATAAATTAATATGATTGACATAGGTTTGTGTCCAAAGGTCAACACATTTTGGAAGCTTGTTTGTGAGTGAACTAAAGTGCAGTTGTTTGTCTTGCTTCTTATGATACTCCTCCGGTCCCTGTGCTATTCAGGAGAGGGCCTCCTGTGGATATGTTCTCATTAGGAGGTCTGTTCTGCTTGCATAGAATCATAGAATCATAGAGTTGGAAGAGACCACAAGGGCCATCGAGTCCAACCCCCTGCCAAGCAGGAAACACCATCAGAGCACTCCTGACATATGGTTGTCAAGCCTCTGCTTAAAGACCTCCAAAGACGGAGACTCCACCACACTCCTTGGCAGCAAATTCCACTGTCGAACAGCTCTTACTGTCAGGAAGTTCTTCCTAATGTTTAGGTGGAATCTTCTTTCTTGTAGTTTGGATCCATTGCTCTGTGTCCGCTTCTCTGGAGCAGCAGAAAACAACCTTTCTCCCTCCTCTACGTGACATCCTTTTATATATTTGAACATGGCTATCATATCACCCCTTAACCTCCTCCAGGCTAAACATGCCCAGCTCCCTTAGCCGTTCCTCATAAGGCATCGTTTCCAGGCCTTTGACCATTTTGGTTGCCCTCCTCTGGACACGTTCCAGTTTGTCAGTGTCCTTCTTGAACTGTGGTGCCAGAACTGGACACAGTACTCCAGGTGAGGTCTGACCAGAGCAGAATACAGTGGCACTATTACTTCCCTTGATCTAGATGCTATACTTGATCTAGATGCTATATATTTGAACATGGCTATCATATCACCCCTTAACCTCCTCCAGGCTAAACATGCCCAGCTCCCTTAGCCATTCCTCATAAGGCATCGTTTCCAGGCCTTTGACCATTTTGGTTGCCCTCCTCTGGACACGTTCCAGTTTGTCAGTGTCCTTCTTGAACTGTGGTGCCAGAACTGGACACAGTACTCCAGGTGAGGTCTGACCAGAGCAGAATACAGTGGCACTATTACTTCCCTTGATCTAGATGCTATACTTGATCTAGATGCTATATATTTGAACATGGCTATCATATCACCCCTTAACCTCCTCCAGGCTAAACATGCCCAGCTCCCTTAGCCATTCCTCATAAGGCATCGTTTCCAGGCCTTTGACCATTTTGGTTGCCCTCCTCTGGACACGTTCCAGTTTGTCAGTGTCCTTCTTGAACTGTGGTGCCAGAACTGGACACAGTACTCCAGGTGAGGTCTGACCAGAGCAGAATACAGTGGCACTATTACCGTACTTCCCTTGATCTAGATGCTATACTCCTATTGATGCAGCCCAGAATTGCATTGGCTTGCAGTATTGCAGAATTGCAGTAGGAGAGGGATCTTTAGCGTGGCAGCAGCTCCCCTTTGGAACTTCCTCCCCTTACACATGAGATAGGCACTACCTCTGTTGTCTTTTGGGCACCTCCTGGAGATCTCTTTTCAAAGTGAATATTTTCAGTGAAGATTATCCTATCCTATACAGTGATGGGGGAAAGTATTTGATTCCCCTGCTAAATTTGCCCGTTTGCCCTCTGACGAAGAAATGACCAGTCCATAATTTTAATGGTAGGTTTATTGTAGCTGTGAGAGACAGAATAACAATAAGAAAAAACCCAGAAGACAAAAGTCTGAGATTGATGTGCATTATAATGAGTGAAATAAGTATTTGATCCCCTATCAACCAGCCAGATGTCAGGCTACCTGATATCTTCACTGTATGTAATGAGCTGAGATTAGAAGCACCTGCTTCTAGGGAGAGGTTTTACCTGTAATCCCAGCTCCTTACAGTACCTGTACAAAAGACACCTGTTGACAGAAGCAAGCAATCCAGCAGATTCCAAAGTAGCCACCATGGACCAAAGAGCTGTCCAAGGATGTCAGGGACAAGACTGTAGATCTGCACAAGGCTGGACTGGGCTACAAGACTATTGCCAAGCAGCTTGGTGAGAAGGTGGCAACAGTTGGTGCAATAATTTGCAAATGGAAGAAACACAAAATAACTGTCAACCTCTTGGGCTCCGTGCAAGATCTCATCTCGTGGAGTTGCAATGATCAGGAGAACGGTGATGAAGCAGCCCAGAACTCCATGGAGGGAATTCGTCAATGATCTCAGGGCAGCTGGGACCATATTCAGCATGGAAACAGCTGTTTTCATTTTCAAAACAGCTGTCCCCTTGCTCAAGACAGCACATGTACAGGCCCGTCTGCAGTTTGCCAATGCACATCTGAACGACCCAGAGGAGAACTGGGTGAAAGTGTTGTGGTCAGATGAGACCAAAATCGAGCTCTTTTTCATCAACTCAACTCTCCGTGTTTGGAGGAGGAGGAATGCTGCCTCCGACCCCAAGAACACCATCATCAAACATGGAAAGAACTCCATCAAACATGGAGGGGGACATATTACGCTTTGGGGTGTTTTTCTGCTAGGGGGACAGGGCACCTTCACCGCATCAAAGGGACGATGGACAAGACCATGTATCATCAAATCTTGGGTGAGCACCTCCTTCCCTCAGCCAGGGCATTGAAAATGGGTCGAGGATGGGTATTCCAGCATAACAATGACCCAAAACACACAGCCAAGGCAACAAAGGAGTGGCTCAAGAAGAAGCCCATTAAGGTCCTGGAGTGGCCTAGCCAGTCTCCAGACCTTAATCCCATCGAATATCTGTGGAGGGAGCTGAAGGTTCAAGTAGCTACACATCAGCCTCGAAATCTTACTGACTTGGAGAGGATCTGCAAAGAGGAATGGGACAAAATACCTCCTGAGATGTGTGCAAACCTGGTGGCCACCTACAAGAAACATCTGATCTCTGTAATTGCCAACAAGGATTTTGCCACCAAGTGCTAAGTCATCTTTTGCAAAGGGATCAAATACTTATTTCACTCATTATAATGCACATCAATCTCAGACTTTTGTCTTCTGGGTTTTTTCCTATTGTTATTCTGTCTCTCACAGCTACAATAAACCTACCATTAAAATTATGGACTGGTCATTTCTTCATCAGAGGGCAAACGGGCAAATTTAGCAGGGGAATCAAATACTTTCCCCCATCACTGTATAGGATAGGATAATCTTCACTGAAAATATTCACTTTGAAAGGAGATCTCCAGGAGGTGCCCAAAAGACAACAGAGGTGGTGCCTATCTCATATGTAACGGGAGGAAGTTCCAAAGGGGAGCTGCTGCCACGCTAAAGGTCCCTCTCTTACTGCAAGCAGAACAGACCTCCTAATGAGAACATATCCACAGGAGGCCCTCTCCTGAATAGCACAGGGACCGGAGGAGTAACATAAGAAGCAAGACACTGTATCTATTTTAGATTTGACATTGTTTTTCTATATTACATTGTTTTAATATGTGTTTTTATTGTTAAATCTCTTATTCATTGGAAGCAATTAATGAATAGTTCTTCAAACTATTCATTCTGTAGTTTCAATTTATATTCAAAAAAATGTAGAGTTTTAAATTGTTAAATATTGGAGAGATTATACCAAAGACTTAGTTTTTCATATATTTCAGGTGTCCTTTAAGAAGACAAAATTATGACTATGGAGTGTACCTTCTGACAGTTTTATTCCATGAATCATGGGTAAGAATTGATGCATGACATTTGTGACAGCCAAGCTTGACTTAAAATGTGTAACATTTATTTGATTAGATGTTGTTCACAAATAATATGGCTTATTTACATTGATGATAGAGAGGAATTATTAGAACACCTATATTGATGTGCTTGTGTGTTGGGTCAAAGCTATTGTTTTCCACAGATGGTATGTTAATACAGTGAAAAACTTTATATCTTTTTCAAACATTGAGCAAAGTTCCATCTTACAGGTCCTCTTTTTTATGTGCACAGATCAGTACATGTTGAATGCACCAGAACTGAAACGGGGGCAAGAAAGGGCAGCTGCTCAGTTGTAGAGTGTTTGCTTTTCATGCAGGAAATCCCAGGTTCAGTCCCCAGTATCTCCAGGCTGGGCTGGGGAAGACTCTTGCCTGAAATCCTGGAGCCTCTGCCAGTCAATATAGACAATACTGAGGCCGATTGACAAATGGACTGTCTCAGTATACGGCAATTTCCTTTGAGTGGCCAACCTGTGGCCCTCAGCTGAATCAGCTTTCATCATTCCTGGCCATTGGCTACACTGGCTGGGGCTGGTGAGTCCAGCAGTATCTGGAGGGTGGCAGACAAATGACCCCTGCAGTGGGGCTTCCTGTCAATTGAAAGCAGCCAGTGTCTGCTAATCAGGATTTGTTGTGCTTATTTCTGTCTGATATGCACAGATCTGAGGTAAGTGGTAAAGCAGTAGCTCTAGCTTAGTGTTGTACACAGACCATGAGTGAGCCAACGTCTTGGGCCTCTCTCTCTCTAAGTATAATACCTGCCTTGGTGGTCTACGGGATTACTACGGAAATCAGTGTGGAGTGCTTAGAGCACTAAGAAGAAAAATTATGGCTGTTTCAACAGACAATTTGCTTACCTAGTTTGTCAGATGAAATGATGGCTATTAGGGACATTTATGTTCCTGTGTTTGTCAACTTGGGAGTGGGCACATCCCCATCAGCCCCACCCTTAGTCTTTGTGCAGAGAATGGGACCATCTGTCATATGGAGCCTTCAAAGGTTTCCTCGCATCCTGGAAACCCCAATTATGCTGAGTCATGGGTTGTGCGGGAACCTTGGCATGCACAGCTGCGCACACACAGTTTCCATCCTAACAGGCAGATGTGCTCTTTGTGCAAAGGTGAAGTGGAGCTCTTGGTGGATCCCCACTCCCTGCTTCCATGTTGACAAACAAAATTAGCATTGATGACTGAACAGGTCTATAGCATTCATGAAAATTAGTGGCGGGGCATCTGTACTATGATGTCCTCAGTGCTACACAGTCACTAAATACATTTTAATCTGTTTAGGGCACTATGGAAAAGCTGAGGTAGGAAGACTCTTGATTCTGTTTCTTGCCCAGGTAAATCTCCTCAGCAATGGCCCACCTCTTCCCTCAGTAGTGCTTCAGCGAAAGGGAGAAGAGATATGGGGATGAGGACGGTGACCTGAGGGAATAAATAGCAGCATATCAATGGAGCTCCAGTGTGTTGTGCCACTTAGTTGATATGGGGCTCGGCCTCTGGAAGTCCTTTCACTTTACATGAACAGTGTCTCCTGTCAGACACCCCAACACTCTTTCCTGCAGTACATTGAAGGAGAAAATAGGCTTTCTTTCAGTGCCAGCGTTTTAATTGTTGATCTTCTCACTAAGGTGCTCAGTATTGAGAAGTCCTGGGAAACGGTGTTAACTGATGTTAACTGTTTAACCGTACTTCCTTCAACTGAGGAATTTTTAGAAACATAAACACTAATGCTTTAGTATTTTGAAAACCTATAAAGGTGGGTGAAGGTGAACTGTTCCCAATTCAATAGGTGTCTGTAGCCATTCAGACACTGATTCTAAGTATGCTGGAAGCTCAAAGGGGTTATTAATTCCAGATGAACACATCTGTCCTTGACTCTAGCATTACTCAGTGATGGAAGACTTAGCCATATGATATTGCTTGTGTGAGTGCTTGGTGTGTATTGAATACACACAAGTCCTATACCCTTTTATTACCTTTCAACTTCCACATAAATACTTAATAACCTCGTCAGTTGTAATTGTCTTTGATTTCAATGAAAAATGCATGGCCTGCTGCAACACATTGGATTTTTTTTTCCATGAACGGTTGATCCCTCAGAAGGAAGCGTGTTCAGTAGCATTTTTCGCAACTTCATACAAGTGTTTCTTAATCTTAATTCTTAATCTCTGAAATTTTAAAATGGCAGGGGGGAACTCATCCCTTGGTAAGGACATCAGTACTCTCAGTTTGTCAGCAAAATAGGATTTAAACAGAATAATCTGAAAGCAAGTATGTTGGATAGGAGCATAGTTAAATCCTTGATTTACGTAGCTATGAAACCCACTTTGTGATCTTGGGGTAAATTGGGGCCAAACTAGTCAAGACTGTAGGATATTTGTGATCAGATCTCCTATGGGTTTTCTTAAAGCTTGAAATCTATTTTGGGTGCCCAAATCAGATCAAACAGAGAGCAGAGTTAACTCTTTTCCCCTGTGCTATTTTTCTGATCTAAAATCTCCTTTCACACCCAAAGCTGCTATCTATCCAAGGGTGGAAAGCACACAGGCTACCATAGAGAATCAGCATGTGAGGGAGATGTGCTCTAGCTGTCCTTCTCCCTTGCTATTTTTCTGTCTGAAGGGAATCATCTGTGGAGTTGCTCAGTCATCTGAGCTGTAGTCTGAAGTGATGCATCCCATGTGGTTGTGAGGATAAAACAAGCTCTCCATCTAGGCCAACCTGAGCTCTTTGGACAAATAATAATTTCTCACACATACACTATTTACGTAATCCTTCCAGCAACCCTCTTGGAGACTCCAAATTATCCCCATGTTGAAAATGTCGGACTGAGGCTGGCAGCAGCTTCTTCTAAGGCCAACCAGAGAGTTCATGGCAAGAGCAAGATCTGAATAGGGGAGTCACTTCCCCATTCACATCTTAGTTTCTGAGCCAGTGTAGTGCAGAAGAGAAAGGCGTGGATACAAACACAAGATCGTATCTAATCTTAGAAAGAAAACGGAACAGTTTCAATTCAGACATAGGTCTGGTAAGAATAGATTTAAGAATATGTAGGTGTGGTATCAAAGATCTAAGACAACATGATGCAATGGATAGAGCCTTTCCAACTTGTTCCTCTCCCATTGCTGTTAGTTCTGGAAAGCTTTGTTAGATTAGTTTAAACGCTGTCCTTTACGATGGATGCACGACTAAAGAAATTAAACTTTTCTGGAGTCTATGGATTATCAATGATAGTTAAGTGGGAATAACAGAGAGAGAGGCTGTTGTGGGTATTGGCTTTGTTTTTCATAGAACTGTAGAGTTGGAAGGGACTCCGAGAGTCATCTAGTCCAGCCTCCTGCAATGCAAGAATCTCAACTGAAACATCCCTGACACTTTCTATTCTACACATCCTGGTACTCAGTTCTGATGTGGCTGTAGGTGAAAGTGAAATACTTTCAAAAGATAGAAAGGTATTGCTGGGCGAGAACTGAGAAGATTTGGGTCCTTTGTCCAATCCTTTTAGTTAGCTATGTGTGTATTTTTATTTTTGTCTTCTGTGTACCTTGTGTTGGGGCTTTCCCAATTGAATCTTTTCTGCAGCCACATGCTTCCCTTTGGTCTGAAGGGGGCTTTTGCATGCAGTCCTGTGAGCATCCTTGGAACTCTCTGCACAGTATAATTAATTAATTAATTACATAATTACATAATTAGAAACAGGATTTCCAGTCCCATAGGTGGGACACATGTAGAAGCCCCCTTCAGACTTGCATGTTCAACACAAAGTTTTGAAAGGAGGTGGTGTGCTGAGGGACGGTGAAGAGGTGGGGCTTGTTTCCTTTTAACCTTACTCAGTTTAAATACCTGAAGAGGGCTGCAGTTTAATAGTGAATCTGAAAAAAATATGTGTTAAGGTGCTACTGTAACCATATATATCACCTTTCAGCTCTGTCACAATCTCTAAAGTGATGTACAACCTAAAAAAAAAATAATCCAAAATAAAAACTCAGAACTTTAGCAAAGCAACATGGAAGCTATTAAAATGTAAAACCAGAAATGCTGCCAATGCCTGTGGCACACAACTCTACACTTCACATCTTAATCATGGTGCACCAAAGGCTTGGGAGAACATAGGAGTCTTAAATTTGCATTGAAATATAGGCACCATCAGTCATAGAGGGAATGGAATTCCCTCTGGAATTCCATTCCAGAGAGTCTGGGAGCTGCAATAAAAAAGACCTTGTCTTGACTTAGTATCCCTTTTACTTCTAAGGGGGGATGCCTCACCACATTCTTCATATACAGATAAGATCTTATGGAAGTTGGTATTCCTTCTAAAATGCCCCAGATTTCAGGCTATTTGGGGCTTTAGAAAGCAAAAACCAGCATTTTGACCTATGTTCGGAGATAAACTGGCTGCTAGGGAAGATTTTTAGATGCTGGACAAATGTGATTGACTTTACAAAATTAACAGGCAGAGACATTTTGAACCTGCTGAAGGTTCTGAGCAATATGCAGATGCATCACTGAATAAAACATAGTATGACCTGATCATGATCAAAGCATGGAAAACTTTGAAAGGATCCAGTTTTCTCTGGGACAGCAATAGTACAGCTGGAAAAGATAAATCAGGCCATGTATGCTGCTGCTCAGCAACCCACAATAAGTCCAGATCTGAAAGAACTCCCTCCCCTCAAGCGGCATACCTGATCTTTCCGAATACGTGCAACTTCATCCATAGTAGACTGAAAGCAAATTCCACATAACCTAATAATAGTATGACTACCTTGTCTGGTTTGAGCTTCAGTTCACTGGTCCCCAGCCAGACTGTTAGAGATTCCAGGCGCCAGTGTTATCCCCTGCCTTATCTGGGTTAGATGGAAAAGAAAGAGAATTGGATGTCATTGGCATACTAATGAGACCTCACTCCAAACCTCCAAATGACCTTGCTTGCAGTCTCAAGTAGATCTGCCTTCCCCAAGCTGATATCCTCCACCTGCTTTGGACTACAGATCGCAGCATCCTTAACCATTGGCCCTGCTAGGCAGAGCTAATGGGAGTTGTAGTCCAAAATGTCTGGTGGGCACCTGGTTGGGGAAAAGTGATGTTAAACTATGTTGGGAAAAAGATGAAACTGTGAAAACTTACAGCAACTGTGGCATGAAGTATCAAACAACCCTCCAAAAGTTGCTTGCTAGATAAAAATGAAGTCACTAGAAAACAATGCCTCCAGTTCCAACAGCAGGGAAACTTGAAGCTGTCAAAAACAGGACAACAGACTTGCCTGTATGAGAGACTTACAGAGGAGCAGCTGGAACCACTCTAGGACAGTGTTAGATACTTCCTGATTTCACCTGCTAGGGCAGGTGCGGGCTTTCCTTGTCACGTGGGGCTACCTTTGAAGGTAACTTGGAAACTACAGCTAATCCAGAATGTGGCAGCTAGACTGGTGACTGGGAGTGGCTGCTGAGATCATATAACACTGGTCTTAAAGGATCTACACTGGCTCCCAGTATGTTTCTGAGCACAATCCAAAGTGTTGGTTCTGACCTTGAAAGCCCTAAACGGTCTCGGTCCTGTATACCTGAAGGAGCATCTCCACCCCCATCGTTCTGCCTGGACACTGAGGTCCAGCTCCAACGTCCTTCTGGCGGTTCCCTCACTGCAAGATGTGAGGTTACAGGGAATCAGGCAGAGGGCCTTCTCAGTAGTGGTGCCCACCCTGTGGAACACCCATCAGATGTCAGGGAAATAAACAGCTACAATGGACGCTCAGGTTGCGAACGTGATCCATGCAGGAAGCACGTTCGCAACCTGCAGCGCCGCGTCTCGGCACGCACAGGTTGTGATTCAGCACTTATGCCCAAAGCACGATTTAGAGCTTTGCGCAAGCGCCGAAACCCGGAAGTAACCTGTTCCGGTACTCCGGGTTCGGCGCAGTGCACAACCCGAAATCGCGCAACCCAAAGCATCTGTAACCCAAGGTATGACACTATCTGACTTGTAGAAGACATCTGAAGGCAGCCCTGTATGGGAAAATTTTTATGTGTGATGTTTTATTATGTTTTTATATGTGTTCGAAGCCATGCTTTGTGACTGGGGCAACCCTGCTGGATCAGAACAGAGGCTCATCTAGTCCAGCTTCCTGTTTTCACAATGGCCCCACTTGAGTATTGGATGCCCGAAAGCAGGTCGTGTCTGGTAGTGCTGATATACAGGCTGCTCTTCTGTTATTTTGTCACGTTTTTATTCCACTCATCCTGCAAGAAGTTCCTTGTGTATGGCTGCTTCCAATTTAACATCCCAACAAACCTGTGAGATTAAACCAGGCTGGGAAGGTGATTTGTTGGAGGTCACCCATTTGTCCTATGGCTGAATAGGAATTTGACTTCAGGTGACCCGTGGCTCCCAGCTGCTGCACCTCACATCAGCATCCTGTCGAGAAACCACATTGGGCAGTGATAAGGGTTCCTGCGGAGCTTCCGTGTGGCTTTTGTTTTTTTTCTTTTCTGCCATGTACTAATTCCCTGGAGAGTTCTTGTTGGATTCGTGCTGTGGCACTGAATTTCTCCATATGCCAAAACTTAAAGTGTTGGTGGTTTGCTGCCACCCAGTGGCAAAACAAACATTTCCCATTTGCAGAGATTACTAAATATGCCGCATGTTCTTAATGTACAGTGAATGGGTGCAGAATAACAGAGATATTCTCAGATAGCTACCAGGTCATTGTCTTAGCTCTTCCTATAAAGTTGCATACTCGTGTAGGAAGTAACTATGTGCAAGCACAGTTCAAGGGTGTGGCCCACACATAGTGGTCATAATGGCTCCATGGAAAGCTTTTGACTTGAACATAGTTTTTCAATCTTTAATTGGTAATCTACTAAGGCATTAGTTCGGGGGCTATGGGCATTAAGGTCATACCTAGTTTTGTGATGATTTTGGTTCTGGCATGTTCCTGCAGGTCAGAAGCAATGGCTGAAGGTTATTCTCAGCTATGTTTTAGAACTCCCCACTGAAGGCCCCACCAACAGCCTAATCTTTTATAATTGATACATCTATCTTGAGCTGGGCTCAACTCAATATTAAGTTGAGAATGGGTGAGGAAATTTTAGCAATTTTCTGCTATGAGCGGTTTTTGTTACCAACCCTTAGGAACAGGGTGGGATCTAAATTTAAAACAACAAAAAATTCAGCGAGTTAATGCATATTTGGTCAATTGGCTGTTTCCAAGATAACTGATCAGTTAATTTTTCAGCTAATAAGTATGCTTTATTGAGATAGCTATAGATAGTTGTGATATGTTTAATGCATCTGTTTTTTCAGAAGGAAAACCTTTTATAGATGTCCTTACCTAAATATAAGTGTGTGCAATGGTGTGGAGGCAGGATGCAGTAACAACTGAGTATACAAACATTTCCGTTTTGAAAAAGACCAGTGGATTTTATCTCACTTTCAGGGAGTGCATCCCCTTTGTCTTTTTCTGTGAGAAACCCCTGTTTGGTTGTCATAGAATCCCAGCATTTTGCAAAGGATTCTAGAGTGCACACATTTCCACAGAGCCTTGACCAGGACTTTTACACCTCTGCACGAATGGAGTGTGCATCCTTTTGGCTGCACATCATGATTAATGGTCACACAAGAGAGCTTGTCTACCATTAATGCCCTTCTAAGTGAGAAACTTCTAAAAAGCTTCCAAGGAACACCAGGTTACCTGAAACGCTATTCCTAGAGGCTCTAGGCCACTGAGTACTATGACTGTGGTATTAAATTTAGTCCTTCACCCTTTCCACTAAAAACTTATTTTTCCTTTCAGAAAACAGAAGAGTGGGAAAAAGAAAAGACGGAGGCTGACATGGAGGAATACATCTGGGAGAACAGTGCCTCTGAGAAGAATGCTTTGGAGACACTGGTTCGAATACGAGCAGGTGACAAAACTGAAGAAGTCAGTAGGCAGGAGCTTCTTGCCTCACAAAAAATTCTGGCCTACAGAAAGTCGGTGGTTGAATTGAAAAATGAAGGAGAAACAGATAAGAACCTTTCTGAGTATAAAAACTCTGTCAGGAGACTACTAAACATGAGTGAGTTGCAGTAAAGAGAACTCTTTCAGGCATCACAGGCCTATGAAGATGTACATCATAAAGTTCAGTGGATCTAATTTAAACCTTCATACTTTCAGCCTGCATTTCCTCCAAATAAAAAGACACTATCCCAGAGCACTGACCAGCTTGACCACAGTTACTCTGTCTTCTCTTCTCCAGTAGTTAGATGTTCAAGGGATCAGCAGGATTGCATTCACCCTGCAAATAATCTGCAGTTGTGTAGCTTTCATGGAAGCCTTATTTCAGCCGTACATGTCTATAACTGCATATAGAACATAGAATCAGAGAGCTGGAAGGGAACCTGAGGATCATCTAGTCCAACCCCCTGCAATGCAGGAATATGCAGCTGTTCCTTATGTGGATGGAACCTGCAACCTTGGCGTTATCAGCACCACGCTCCAACCAACTGAAATGAAAACCTGTGCAAAAGCCTAAAGCCCAGGGTGGTGGGAGGTGGAGTGGGAATTTCAATGCCCACTGATTTAGTGATCAGTGTTACACTGGATCCTGTCAGAAAATAAAAGCACAATAGCTGTCTTTCCTGGAAAGCCTTTAAAACCACACACACACATACAATTTTGGGGAGGTTTCAGTTGCTGTATCTGGCAAGAATTGCAGAAGCGTTTTTCTCTAAGCAGAGGGAAAGGCAGTGTTAAACTGGCACAGACATTTTTTGCAGGTAAAATGTGGCTGCTGTATTCTCAGGTCTTTGTCTTGAGAGCATGTTGTGGCGGATTATGTTCCAAGGACTGTATTTTTATCTTTTGAAACAAGCTGCTGCTTTCTGCGTTTAAGTTAAGCAGCAGAAAGCCACCATCTCCCCAGTGACAAAGATCAATTTTAGGGGCTGAAACTACCAGGACAGGGTTGCCAATGGCTTTGGGGAAATGGCACCTGCAACTCTCTAAATCACTAATAAAGACATGGGAAGTTGCCCATGGCCTAATTCAGTTTATATATATATATAGTGTAAATAAATTTTTATTAGTTTTTCACAGTTACATTTTTACAAATAAAAACAAGCCTTTTCTTTGAGATTCTTTAAATCTCTGGACTTCCCTCCATACCCCCTTCTGGTTCCTTATATTAACCAATTTCTTCTGCATATCCATTCTTAAACTTTTTCCATTATTATTTCCCTTAAGTCTAATTTTCTACTGGTTGCAAACATTTACTTAAAACCCTGCCAATGTATGAACTTGTTTACAGTATTTTTGCACAGAAACAACGAATGATTCCCACTCTTTTTAAAATTTCTTGTTATTGTAGTCTTTGAGCTTTACCGTTAATTTTGCCATTTCTGCATGGTGCATTAGCTTGATCTGCCATTCTTCTTTTGTCGGTGTCTTTTCTTCCTTCCATCTCTGGGCTAACAATATTCGGGTGGCTGTTGTAGTGCACATAAAAATTTTCTTCTGTTCTTTAGGTAGTTCAGTTCCTATCGACCCTAATAAGAAAGCTTCTGGTTTTTTAACAAAAGTTATTTTAAACATTTTCTGCAGCTCATTATAGATCATTTCCCAGAAGCTTTTAATAACCTTACATTCCCACCACATATGATAGAACGTACCCTCCTTTTCTCTGCATTTCCAACACTTATTGGAACTTGTTCTATACATTTTAGCAAGTTTTACCAGAGTTAAGTACCATTAGTACATCATTTTCATATAGTTCCCTTTAAGTGAGAAACGTGCAGTAATTTTCAAGTCCGTCCTCCAACGCCTTTCCCAATCACTCATTTGTATATTATGTCTCACATCCTTTGCCCATTTTATCATTACACACTTAACCTCTTCCTTTTTGGTTTCCCATTCCAACAGCAAATTACACATTTTCGACAGTAATTTTGTATTCTACATTTCTCTTTGAACTATTGATATTGTGTAGCTAAAACCTTTCTTTTTATCATTTTTAAATTTTTCATTTATTTGAAAATACTGTAATCAATCTGTTACCTTCTCTCTAATTTCCTCAAATTCTTTTAACTGTAATTGGTTATCCACTTCTGTTACCAGCTCTCTAAATGTTGGGCATTTAGTCCTCATATTTACCTTTTCTAAAGATACTGCTTCTACTGGGGATATCCACCCTGGTGTTTTTTGTTCTATTAAATCTTTATATCTCTCCCATACCTTAAAAATCACATCTTTTGTTATATGATTATGAAATCCTTTGTGGATTTTTGCTTTCTGATACCGTATATATGCATGCCAACCAAGTCTAACAGGTCTGTATTCTCTAATTTAATCCAACCCCGAATCCAGAAAATGCAGGTTGCTTCAAAGTATAATTTTAAATCTGGTAGAGAGAAACCTCTGTCTTTAATGTCAGTAAGAAGTTTGTATTTTATTCTCGGTTTCTTTGCTTTCCAGATAAATCTTGGAATATGCTTTTGCCATTCTTTGAAGCAGCTCACATTGCTTATCACCGGGATTGACTGAAATAAGAGTAACATTTTTGGCAATACGTTCTTTTTAATTACTGAAATTCTTCCTAAAAGTGACAAATTCGTCCTTCCCTAGATCTCTAAGTTCCTTTTTATTTCTTTCCAAACTCTTTCATAATTAACTTTAAATATATTAATATTCTAAGCTGTCAACCATATTCCCAAATATTTAACTTTTTTGTGAACCTCTATTTCTAACTTCTGCTGAATCTTTTTCTTGTCTTGCTCTGAGACATTTTTCACTAAGTTTAGTTTTATTTTTATTTAGTTTTAAACCTGCCACCAGTCCAAAATCCTGTATTTTTTATAAGACTTTGGGAAATGTGCTGTTTGGATCTCCCACTGTTATTATATCTGCATACGCTTTCAGCTTGTATGCTTTATTTCCTACACTGACCAGCAGTGGCTCTCCAGCATTGTAGGTAGGGCTTTGTAGTGCTACCTGGAGATGCTGGAATTGAACCTGTGAGCATCTGCATGGCTGCTAGCACTGAGCAATGGCCCTTCCCTTTCATCCTTACCTCTTGATCCCTGCTGCTTTACAATAAAATTAACCAAACACACATATCTGAGAGCAGGACTTGTATGTATGTCTTCTCTTTGGATTTGAGGCCCTTCGAAGATAGTGTACTGAGAATGCAAACTACCCTTAAGTAAGCAAAATTCCAGCTCTGGTTGCTTCAAACTTTTTAAAAGATTTTGCATGGACAAGGGCCATTTTCACATGGAGAAAATACAACCTAAATGTGGGACTGCTTTTGAAATGGCAATTATATCCTGCATTACCCTTCCCTACCATCACTTCCAATCACATGAAGAACAAGTTGCCTTGTACGCTGCGTTTTTCCTACCACCATTCCACATAATAGACTGCCATTGGCTTGAACGGGGACATTTTCAGAATGTCAGCATACACACTAAAACATGCAGATGTAAAATTACTTGGGGGGGATTTTATGCTTTGATAAAGGTGCAGGATATTAAAAAGCTCGCTGCATACTAGTTCTGGTAGACATTGCATGTGCACTATGGAAAAGGTAGCGAAGCAGAGAAGAAATAGAGAGTAAGTTGATCCTTGGGCTGCAAGAAGCAAGTACTTCCGGCCTTGAGTATCACAGTTCCTCGTCTGCTTGCAAACATGAGAGTGTGAGAGTAGGGGCTGAAAAGGAGTTGTAGCCTGGAGACGTGTCCGATTCCCAGGTGGGGTGGGTGAGTGTGGGGCTGGGGTTTCTCACACACAGATAAAATACAACACCACAGTCTCTTACAATTGCAACATAGGGATAAGTGTGCAAAAGATTGGTGAACGTGCCCAAAGTGACATATAAATTCTAAGAATTACTTGATATTAGTGTTCATATTGAGTCTTGGTATCTTCTTTCTTTGGCGATCACTCGTAGCCGAGTAAGATTGTCTTCCATAAACACGGTTTTAACAATGAGTCCGTACTGCAATGAGGAACCTCTGGCCCATGCAACTAATCTGGCTGATGCATATTCTCTAAACTGCATTCACCTGCCTGCCTAACACTTGGTGCTATATGTAAAACCAGGTGCGGGGCAGGTAAATACGAGGCTGAGATTGGCTGAGTTGCACTGAGCTCTTCTTCAAAGGAGTTTGTTCTCGGCATCCATCATCTGATGGGTGGTGAGAGACACCCCCTTTGCCTGTTTGCAGACAGGCATGGTATAGAACCGAACCTTGCCTGGAAAATGGACATTTTTTTCTTTTAAGTCTAAGAGGGGAAACTTCCATTTGCAGAATAGTTTGAATCCAAACCATCAGCAAACAGACTTCAAAGGGGCTACCACTCACTTTGAAGTTATCATAGAATCATAGAGTTGGAAGAGACCACAAGGGCCATCGAGTCCAACCCCCTGCCAAGCAGGAAACACCATCAGAGCACTCCTGACATATCACCTAATGTCATAATGACATCAAGTAATTGACAGCTGGTGGCCCTAATGGCCTGTAAGGGTTGGTGGAGAAAGGAGACAGCTTGCATACTGGAAAAGTTTCCCGACCAGTCTATGTGGTTTTGTATGGAGAAAGGACTCTTAATGAAAGGTGTATTTAAACCCTGTTAGAATTGAAGCATTATAATCAAGAAAAGCAGATGTATCTCCGATCTAGTTTAATGGCAAAGTACTCAAAATACCTATAATCAGTCCCAAACACATATCAATGAGTCTTCTGAGTGGAGATGTATAGGATTGCAGAGTTCTCTTTTCTTCTCTTACATATTCATCATCTAGCCTTCACTTTGTCTCTAGATTTGGAATATTTACCATTAAAAGCTATTTTTAACCATAGTGTATCTAATGAGCCGTCTGGATTCACCTCTCCGTCTTGGTTTATACCGACCATTCCTCTTTCGATGGCACCCAGTTGCAAGAATAATAGTGCAACAGCAAATCACAGTCAAGGAAAAACAGAGTGCCACCAGAAGCAGCCAGCTCCCCCTTTCTACTTCCTCCCAAGCTGATTTCTGGTCTTCATTGTCTGATGTGTAATTCCTGCCACTGTATACCTTGGTTTCGTTCAAGTGTTTGCTGCTGTTCAGATGGGCTGGGCTGGGCATGTGTGATAATATCTTGATAGATGTAATGGCAGTGCTAGGAAGTACAGTTGCATTGTCAGACATGGCTGTTGAACCATTCTTTTCTGAGATGTTTGCCACTTTAGTAAAATAGTCCTTCAGTGGTGCATCTGCAGGTCCTAAATATGTGCTGGATGGAGACCTGTGAACTGGGGCAGGTGCAGTACTTGTGTTGCTGCTGTTACTTACCAGCTCTTGGACCACTGTAGAAGATAAGGATTCAGGAAGAAGGTACCTTGAACTGGTTGTTGAATTCTGGCATTTTTCTAAATTGGCAACCCTTGCACTTCCATGCACTTCCCATTTATTAAGAGAGGACCTGGTATTCATATCTTTGAAAGAGAGTTTCTCAAACACAAGAAGATCCGGATCAACCCCTGTCAAAGCAGAATCCAAGCACAAGTAAAGGCTTTAATGTCTGTGTCACCTAAATTCACCTGTGTTTCCTAACTATGGAAGCCTTCCTAGTTGCACATGATAACATGCCCATGAAGAGCATAGTGTATGAGTACTCTATTGGGCTCTGGCTTTACTGAGGGAGGGGTTGATTTTTAACATCTCTACAAAGCCACTGGGAGCAGTCATTAGGGGATTTGGAGCTATGCAGGTGGAAATAGACCCACCCTGCCAAAGCTTGACATTCCTCCAAGGCACAGGAGCCTTGCCAGTAAATTTACCCTGCGTTACTAAAAAGCTTGACTGGTGGGTGTGGGAACTCATTGGGACAACTCCATAGCTTCTGTGCAGTTCTGGACTTCTTGCCCTAAACCTGGACTCCTTAAACTTTGACTGCTGCTTCTAGCTGCCTATTCCTACTAATTCCTGCCACCCAGTCCATACTGTTAGTCTGCCTCAATAAAGATCTCTTCAAAGAGGGTGTTTTGAGCAGCAGCCAGGACACCTGCCAGCTGAACCTATCTATGTGCAGTCTGTCTCCTCTATATTTCACTAACCTGCAGAAATCAGGTGGGCAAAAGTGCCCATGAAGATACAAAGCTATAGGTTCAAAACAAAATGACTGAAGCATCTGCTAACCACCGTTCCACCTTCACAACATTGCTTCAATGCAATGCTTTGCAATATTACTGTGCTAGCTGAAGTTACTGAAGGTGAAGAAAAGTCACTGGACATATTTTCACACCCCTCTGCAAAGTGTCCCCAAAGTTCAGGTAGGATAGATTTGGTATGCTGCCAACCCCAACCTCACTCAAGAAATCCCATTAGAAGTTGTTACGAGGGAAGAAGCATCTCTCCTCATCATAGACACTGCAGACTGCCAAATCTATGTGAGGACGGGAATTGTCTCCGTTTTTGCACTTAGCATTGTTATTCCAACCCTGGCAGGGAAATGGTTAAGAACTTCCCATCACTTTTCTACTCTAAATTTCCTTCTCCCAAATATGTTTTTTTTAAAATTATTTCTTTAATGTGTTACACACATTTGCAAGTGGCATGCAACCCTTTCTTCTTTGTGTGTGCATAATGATGCCTTACCTGGTGTGATGTTGTACAACACAGCATTGATCCAAGGCCTCAGTATACAGCTCTCCAACGCTGGGCAGTAAACATGCAGGCAGTTAAGACTCTGATTATTGGTTTCACCATGGAAAACTGCCAAGTTACAGGAAACTAAAAACAGCAACAGAAGGAAGAAAAGCTTTGCATTGATTTCCGAATAAAGTTAAGGATACATATCATGCCTGTACATCAGGGGTTGTCAACCTGGTCCCTACCACCCACTAGTGGCCATTTCAGGATTCTAGACGGGCGGCAGGGGGTTCTACAGCATAAGCTGAATCCTCCTCCCATCGAGCACTGGGGGGCAGTAAGGAAATTTTACCATCCAGAAAGATGCTTTAGTGGGCAGTAGGTATAAAAAGGTTGACTATCCCTGCTATACATGAATACATCTCCTTTAGACTCGCCTGTGGGTGAAATAACCAGGCTTTTCTTCTGCCAGAGCTCACTGGGACTGTGTTCTGGCACCTCTCAGCTGGGCCCTGGAAGTGGAGGGAGAGACCTAACCAGACTCAGCAAAGCCTCACTGTACCTCCAGCTCATGAGGAGACCCTCCCCGGAGCTCAAAGGCTCTGAAGAGGTGCAGGCAAGCCAGGGGCACAGTGGGGTTTTGCTGAAGCTCTACAACCTCCCAGGTAACAACTGACATGTGGGAAAGCTGTGCCTCAGCCGAGCAAGCCCCCATGCAACTCTGGCGCACGGAAGCCGGAGAGATGTGGGGCAGGGGCTTGTTAAGTTGCTCTGCTGAGGGGCGAGCAGCCATGGGCCTCTTAGCAGAGCAGTTTAAAGAAGTCGCCCACCTGTTGCTCAGCCGCCTTTGCACTGGTGTGCAGGCTGGCCGCCTTGTTCTCCCAGGAGGAAGAGAACACACACACACGCATCACGAAGGTGCCTGAGGCAGGACAAACCGAGTCTCACAGAGGCTGCCTCTGGCTCAAGAGAAGATGCCTCCCTCCAGCCCAAAGATACCCTCTTTGGGCTCTGGGGTCAATCTTCTGAGGAAGGTGTGTTCCAGCACCTTTTGGTGTAGAAAAAAAGCACTGGACATTACCAGTCTAAGTCCAGCACACCAGCTACTCCTATCACACAGGCTGAGTCTTGAAGCAGAATCTATAGCTGAACATTTCTATTTCAAAAAATCTGTGACCTGACAGAGTTGAAAATAAATAAATGGGGCAACCAACACAGAAACTGTTGACAGCTAGCTCGGATATCAAAAAGTGAGTGAGGCTATTTTTCTAATTAATTGGCAGCCCTATGTAGATGTATTTGTTCTTCTCTGACCCAGAAGCATCAGTACATCCATAGCCAAATCTAAAATGTCCAAGTATGCAAGGCAGAATTTGGTATGCTGGCAGAGTTACTTATCAGGATATCTAAACATCTTTAAATGTGAGTTTTGTTGTGCGAGTTCAGTACTTGGGTAATGGATGAGCTCACTCCATTAGATCTGATTTCAATCAGCTCCTTTATCTTCCCAGCTCACATCTCGCTCCAGCTGTGTGACGTAGTACTGCTCTCTGTTAGAAAGCTCAGTTCTGAAACCTAACAATCCACGGCTGGAGAAAGGCAAGGGTGACCTTGGAAGATGGTTACAAATTGTAGCAGCATTGCTAAGTTGGGTAATGACAGACAGCTGTCTCAATCTTTTATAAAGGGGGTACACCAAAAGGAAAAAAGCAACAGGCAAAGCCAGCTAGGTGCAATGAGGATAATTTTATGAGTATTTCACAATGCATTTCAAATGCCATTTATCAGGCAAAATTGTTCAACAGTTAAATAGACACAACACTGCATCATCTTCCAGCACTCCAGTTCTTGAGCAGCAGTGAGGGGTGGAGCTGTGCACTGGGAAATGTGATTTACATTATGATTACACCTCCTTGCTTTGTCTGTTGCATGCCTCAACCTATTGAAAATTCAGTTTCAATTACAAATGTAAGCATGTCTCAGGAGGAATGATGTGGCCATGAACTTTCTGGGTGGAAATAAATTAACCCAAACACAGGATTGCCAGAGAAAAGGGCAGGTTTGTGTCTAGTCCCCTTCCCATAACTTGAAGTAATAAAATACAGGAAAAGTGATATTGTAGCATAGCTATCCACTGATTCTCCTTGTTGGTTATCACAGAAAATGTGGTATATGTCAGCTCCTGTTGTAAATGTTTATAAATTCTAATCATTTGTAATCAGTAGTGCTAGTTATTAACAAAATTTTCACAGTTAATTATCCAAACAAGAATCTTTAGGGTTCCAGCGTCATATAACTACAATGTTTGAATCTAATTAGTGCATGAATCTAATTAGTGCATGATAATAAGTCTGGCCCAACCCATAGCCGCGGACATGCCTTGGACCTGGTGTTTATGGATGTTGGTGATCTGACACTAAGTAAAAGCAAAACGAAAGAAGTGCCATGGTCAGATCACTTCCTGGTGCAACTTGACTTCTCCGCGACCCTTCCCCTCTGCAGGGAGGTGGGACCGATTCGGATGGTCCGCCCCCTCCACTTAATGGATCCAAATGGTTTCCAGAGAGTGGCAGGGGATGCTTTATCCCATGTTGATGGCCTTTCAGCTGATTCCCTGGTGGCCTGCTGGAATGTGGAGTTAACCAGGGCTATTGACTGTTTGGCTCCGAAGCGCCCTCTCCGATTGCATGGAGCCTGGACAGCCCCGTGGTTTTCCACGGATCTGAGGGCAATGAAATAATCGTTGAGATGGCTAGAGCGCCGGTGGCGGATGACCCATTCTGAAGCTGACCGGACACGGGTTAGAGCTCAATGTCGAGCCTACCAAGTGGCGATAGCGACGGCGAAGAAGACTTTCTTCACCGCCTCTATTGCATCTGCAGAAAACAGCAGCAGGAGACTCTTTCAGGTGGTTCGCAATTTAGCGGAACCACCTGCAACATCAGGGCCCAGTACGGGCCACATGATCTCCTGCAATGATTTTGCAAAGTTTTTTGCAGATAAAATCGCTCAGATTCGGGAAGAAGTAGACTCCACCGTGGGAGCAGGGCCAGGGCGGGAGAGTGCTAGAGTCCTGTCTAGTCAAGTTGCGTGGGATCAGTTCTAATCTGTTACCCCCCAGGATGTGGACAGGCTGCTTGGACGAGTGAAACCAACCAATTGTCTCCTTTATCCTTGCCCATCCTGGCTCATAAAAGCTAACCATGGAGGGCTGGGCGATGGGCTTCACAGGGTGGTGAATGCTTCTCTCCGTGAGGGAGCCTTCCCAGACCTGCTGAAAGAGGCGGTTATTAAACCGCTTCTTAAAAAACCATCTTTAGATGCGGTCACGATGGCCAACTATCGCCCAGTCTCAAATCTTCCATTCTTGGGCAAGGTGATTGAGCGGGTGGTTGCTGAACAACTCCAGGCACGCCTGGAAGAAGCGGACCATTTGGATCCCTTCCAGTTGGGATTCAGGCCTCATCACGGGACTGAAACTGCCTTGGTCGCACTGGTTGATGATCTCCGGCAGGCTAGGGACAAAGGTGAGAGCTGTTTCCTAGTTCTGCTGGATCTCTCAGCGGCATTTGATACCATCAACCATAACATCCTTCTGGACCGTCTTGAGGGGCTGGGAGCTGGAGGCAATGTCATACAGTGGTTCTGCTCCTTCCTCCTGGGCCGTGTCCAGAAAGTGGTGGGGGGGATGAGTGTTCAGACCCCTGGGCTCTCACATGTGGGGTGCCTCAGGGTTCTGTCCTCTCCCCCATGCTTTTCAACATCTACATGCAGCCGCTGGGAGAGATCATCAGGGGGTTTGGACTGGGTGTTCATCAGTATGCGGATGATACCCAGCTCTACCTCTCTTTCAAATCAGAACCAGTGAAGGCAGTGACGGTCCTGTGTGAGTGTCTGGAGGCAGTTGGAGGATGGATGGCGGCTAACAGATTGAGTTTGAATCCTGACAAGACAGAAGTACTGTTTTGGGGGGACAGGAGGCGGGCAGGTGTGGAGGATTCCCTGGTCCTGAATGGGGTAACTGTGCCCCTGAAGGACCAGGTGCACAGCCTGGGAGTCATTTTGGACTCACAGCTGTCCATGGAGGCACAGGTCAAATCCGTGTCCAGGGCAGCTGTGTACCAGCTCCATCTGGTATGCAGGCTGAGACCCTATCTGCCCGCAGACTGTCTCGCCAGAGTGGTGCATGCTCTAGTTATCTCCCACTTGGACTACTGCAATGCGCTCTATGTGGGACTACCTTTGAAGGTGACCTGGAAACTACAACTAATCCAGAACGCGGCAGCCAGACTGGTGACTGGGAGCGACCGCCGAGACCATATAACACCGGCCTTGAAAGACCTACATTGGCTCCCAGTACATTTCCGAGCACAATTCAAAGTGTTGGTGGTGACCTTTAAAGCCCTAAACGGCCTCGGTCCAGTATATCTGAAGGAGCATCTCCACCCCCATCGTTCTACCCGGACACTGAGGTCCAGCTCCGAGGGCCTTCTGACGGTTCCCTTGCTGCGAGAAGCCAAGTTACAGGGAACCAGGCAGAGGGCCTTCTCAGTAGTGGCGCCCTCCCTGTATAACAGTGCCCCCAGCTCCCAGCCCCTCTAGACAGTCCAGAAGGATGTAGTGGTCGATGGCATCAAAGGCCGCTGAGAGGTCCAGCAGAACTAGGAAACTGAAGGGCACATTTTACAGCCTATATTTTCATGCTTTGCTTTGTTGCATGTTTTGTGCTGGTAAATCTCTACTGTGTTTGCCTTGGGTCTTGACAGAATCTTCTTATATTTGTATTATTTATTGCCATTAGCACTATAATGTTTGCATTAAGGATCAATTCAGAAATGTAACTAGAAATTTGAAAACAACAACTGAAGGCCAAGTTATGGCTCATAGCTCCAGTGAAAGAACAAAGAATGGCACTAGATTAGATGTATTCTTCTTTACTTTCAAATGAAATGTATTAATTCCAAGTTTTAGATCCATTATTTATAGGAAGAGGATGATAATTTGACAGCTCACAGACAACAGGGTGAATTTTGGCCCTAATATTTTAGTATTTCTTCAATATGAAAGGTGGCAACATGGGTCAGTGGGCATCTTGCAAGGAGAACAATACACTTGGCACGCAGAGACTCTTTGTAACCTTCTATGGATCTCCTATCACTTAGAGCCAGGCTCTCATGACAAGAAGGCCATAAGTGCTGCACTTCCCATTTCTTTTTAGTAGGAAATAGCAACCACTCCCCTTCATGGATCATTGCCTTGCTGTGGCGAAGGGGCTTGAATAACTCAGAGAAGCTATGAGCTATGCTGTGCAGGGCCACCCAAGATGGACAGGTCATAGTGGAGAGTTTTGACCAAACATGATCCACCTGGAGCAGGAACTGGCAAGCCACTCCAGTATCCCTGCCAAGAAAACTCCATTGACAAAGACAACAGGCATATAAAAGTTATGACGCTGGAAGATGAGCCCCTCAGGTTGGAAGGCGTCCAACATGCTACTGAGGAAGAGCAGAGGACAAGTACAAGTAGATTCAGAGCTGATGAAGCGGCTGGGCCAAAGCCGAAAGGTCGCTCAGTTGCAGATATGCCTGGAAGTGAAAGGAAAGTCCAATGCTGTAAAGCAAAATACTGCATAGGAACCTGGAATGCAAGAACCATGAACCCTGGTAAGCTGGATGTGGTCAAAAATGAGATGGCAAGAATATTGACATCCTGGGCATCAGTGAACTAAAATGGGCGGGAATGGGCGAATTCAGTTCGGAAGACCATCATATCTACTACTGTGGGCAAAAATCCCGCAAAATAAATGGAGTGGCCCTCAAAGTCAACAAAGGAGTGGTGAAAGCTGTACTGGGATGCAATCTCAAAAGTGATAGAATGATCTCGATACAAATCCAAGGCAGACCATTTATCATAGAATCATAGAGTTGGAAGAGACCACAAGGGCCATCGAGTCCAACCCCCTGCCAAGCAGGAAACACCATCAGAGCACTCCTGACATATGGTTGTCAAGCCTCTGCTTAAAGACCTCCAAAGAAGGAGACTCCACCACACTCCTTGGCAGCAAATTCCACTGTCAAACAGCTCTTACTGTCAGGAAGTTCTTCCTAATGTTTAGGTGGAATCTTCTTTCTTGTAGTTTGGATCCATTGCTCCGTGTCCGCTTCTCTGGAGCAGCAGAAAACAACCTTTCTCCCTCCTCTTTGCTGCCAAGGAGTGTGGTGGAGTCTCCTTCTTTGGAGGTCTTTAAGCAGAGGCTTGACAACCATATGTCAGGAGTGCTCTGATGGTGTTTCCTGCTTGGCAGGGGGTTGGACTTGATGGCCCTTGCGGTCTCTTCCAACTCTATGGTTCTATTCTATGAAACTATGGCAAGTTCTTAAAGAAATGGGAGTGCCTGATCACCTCATCTGTTTCCTGAGAAATCTCTATGTGGGACAAGAAGCTACAATTAGAACTGGATACGGAACAACCGATTGGTTCAAAATTGGGAAAGGAGCACGACAAGGCTGTATATTGTCTCCCTGCTTATTTAACTTATATGCAGAATTCATCATGCGAAAGGCTGGGCTGCATGAATCCCAAACTGGAATTAAGATTGCCGGAAGAAATATCAACAACCTCAGATATGCAGATGACACAAGCTTGATGGCAGAAAGTGAGGAGGAATTAAAGAACCTTTTAATGAGGGTGAAAGAGGAGAGCGCAAAATATGGTCTGAAGCTTCACATCAAAAAAAATGAAGATCATGGCCACTGGTCCCATCACCTCCTGGCAAATAGAAGGGGAGGAAATGGAGGCAGTGAGAGATTTTACTTTCTTGGGCTCCATGATCACTGCAGATAGTGACAGCAGTCACGAAATTAAAAGACCCCTGCTTCTTGGAAGAAAAGCAATGAGAAACCTAGACAGCATCTTAAAAAGCAGAGACATCACCTTGCCAACAAAGTTAAAGCCATGGTTTTCCCAGTAGTGATGTATGGAAGTGAGAGCTGGACCATAAAGAAGGCTGATCGCCGAAGAATTGATGCTTTTGAATTCTGGTGCTGGAGGAGACTCTTGAGAGTCCCATGGACTGCAAGAAGATCAAACCTATCCATTCTGAAGGAAATCAGCTCTGAGTGCTCACTGGAAGGACAGATCCTGAAGCTGAGGCTCCAAGACTTTGGCCACCTCATGAGAAGAGAAGACTCCCTGGTAAAGACCCTGATGCTGGGAAAGATGGAGGGCACAAGGAGAAGGGGATGACGGAGGATGAGATGGTTGGACAGTGTTCTCGAAGCTACAAACATGAATTTGACCCAACTGCGGGAGGCAATGGAAGACAGGAATGCCTGGCGTGCTCTGGTCCATGGGGTCACGAAGAGTCGGACATGACTAAACGACTAAACAACAACAAGCAACCACTCATTTATGTCAGAGAAAGCAAAGGGGAAACCCAAGGACACAATTCAAGTGGGCCTCTATTAAGCTCCTATTTACATCTTTCCTCTGCGTAGCCTCATTCTGCGTTCTGTTTCTTTGTCACTGTTGTCTTGAGGGTGACAGAATGCTTTTATACTTGCATGTATGCATGCATAGGGACGCGGGTGGCGCTGTGGTCTAAACCACAGAGCCTGGGGCTTGCCAATCAGAAGGTCCGTGTTTTAATCCCCACGACAGGGTGAGCTCCCATTGCTCAGTCCCTGCTCCTGCCAACATAGCAGTTCAAAAGCACATCAAAGTGCAAGTAGATAAATTGGTACTCCTCCGGCGGGAAAGTAAATGGCATTTCCACTGTTCTGGTTCGCCAAAAGCGGCTTAGTCATGCTGGCCACATGACCCAGAAGCTGTACACTGGTTCCCTCAGCTACGAAAGCAAGATGAGCACCACAACCTCAGAGTCGTTTGCAACTGGACCCAACAGTCAGGGGTCCCTTTACCTTTGCCTTTATGCATGCATAGTTACAAATCATACACCTTCATCAGCTGAACAGTTAATGTTTTGTTTTTAACATGGACTGCTTTGATCTTTTACAGAGGAAGAAAATGAATTCTTACCATTCTTTAGGAGGCAGCAGGTCTGGCTGCATTGTTGGGCTGTAGCTTCTGTGTAGACTTTGAGAATGTAGGCCCCTCTTCTCTGTGAACGCTCCAGATCAACTGTAAGGCCCGGGAATCGTCGAATCCAACAATTCTTATAATAAGTGGTGGGTGAGCAAATGCAGTCTGATCTCCATGCCCAGCCCAAAAGCAGAAAGACTTCCGACACAGCCATCAGCAGAAACATCTCAGTAAAAGGTTTTTCTCCAAAGTAGAAACATTGTCCACCAGAGAACCTATTGTGATGTGTCAATGCTGCTGGGCTAAACAATCTTCTCACAGATTATGGTCATGGTCTTCCAGAGTAAAACTATGCTGTCATGACAAAGCCATTTTGAAGCATATAGAGTGGGTTTTTTCATCATCTCTGGGCTGCAGTTTGTGGAGCAATGAAAGACACTCTGAAGCTGGCCAGATTTATCTCTTCCCACCGTTCACACCGTGGTTGAGCTCTTAAAACTGTGCCCCATGATCTTGATTTGGTTGTGCTTAGTGTGTTTAGGCCTGGTAGAACAATGGGTAGTGTAATAAAAATTTCAGTCTTTGTTACTGCTGTGCTAGAAAAGAATGTTACTTTTCTCTCTTAAAATGAACTGATCACTGCATTTGTATTTACTTTGAACCCCCATAACAAGAAGCTAGTAATTTATTAACCAAACCCTACTGCTCGACATTACTCTGGCCGCACTTAGCTGTGTGAACTTGGGACTGCAACCCCTAGCACTTATCAAATGTTAAGTCCCATCAAACACAATGGCATTTACTTCCAAGTAAATATGCAAAGGATCAGGCTGCACTTTTCACTAAATCCTATGGGATTTCAGTGTGTGCCTAACATGTGTGTTGGCATAGGAATACAGGATTGCAACCTCAGGATATATATTTTTAAGTGATAAATAAATATCCCTTTAATTCCATTAGTCATTTTTCAAATATCCAATAGTTTGTGGGATGTAATCCATTGGTGCAGTCAAATGCAACGTTCCTTATTTCCCTAGAGTGGGCACAGGCAGGGGGACATCCAGTCAGGGTAACATCCTCTTCCACTGGTCTGGAGCGTCCTCCCCCTGCATGTGACCTGGGAGATGGACGTGGCTCTGGCTGACTCCACAAAAGAGCCGAGTCACGCAGCCATTTTCTCAGTTTTGTTCCAGTGTTGTCTTGTTCTCTCTTTTGCTGCCATGCTGCTCTCCTGCAGCCATTTTGTTATCTTAATGTAACTTTTATTGTCTGCTGGCTCTCAGCCAGCAGCACATGAGCTCAGTCTCCCTAGGACAGGCATGGCCAAACCTGGTCCTCCAGCTGTTTTGGGACTACAACTCCCATCATCCCTAGCTAACAGGATGGGAGTTGTAGTCCCAAAACAGCTGGAGGGCCAAGTTTGGCCATGCCTGCCCTAGGAGATGAACTCAGTTTCTATGTGTAACCACTAAGTAAAGCCTGTCTTTCAGAGATCATATTGTGAACTGAAATGTGAGTAATTATTTTGTTACTTAGATTCAAATGAATCTGCAAACAAGCTTCCAGCAATATTGAGGGGAATCTGCTCTGCTACATCACTCACTAGCATGAGTGAAGGAAGGATAATACTTTTTCAATATATCCTTTCCTACTACCCTTAACATTCCCACATAGTTAAGATGGAAGAGAAAGAGAATGTAGATGATATTATTACAACTATTATTTTTGTTTACTACTGCTGCTAATACTACAACAAAATAAAATAAGAGGGGACTCACAACAAAAGGTTGCAGTACAGTGGTACCTCGGTGTATGAACTTAATCCGTTCTGGAAGTCCGTTCTTAAACCGAAACCACTCTTAAACTGAGGCGTGCTTTCCCTAATGAGGCCTCCCGCCACTGGTGCCCTTCCACTAGACCAAGGTAAAGTTCGCAATCCGAAACACCACCTCCCGTTTTGCAGAGTTCGTAAACAGGGCTGTTCTTAAACCGAGGTACCACAGTATAACCCTAGCTCCTAAAAGTTGTTCTCCTGTGCAGGATGCTAACCAACTTGGAACAAGTAACATGCAGCATGTTCAGAGCTCACAGAGCAGAGGAGGTTCCAGGAAGGGGAAAGGGAATCTTTTTTCTTTTCTTCCCCCCTCTCCTGAAACTTTTCCCCATTTTATTTTATGGCACTAAAGAGCTTAGATTTGGTGTCAGGATAGTCATGAAAAGAGGGCAGGCCTCCTGCGCCTTTCATAGGTGTGTACAAGAGGGAATTTCAGAAGCTGCCTCCTGCCGGCCAAGCTACCCCTAGAGCTTCTCAGTTTAGCTTCTTAGAGGACAAAGGAAGCTGCACTCTGCACTTGAGAGAACTCTTTCCTTAGCTGACTGCCCTTTCCTTACCATTCTCATAGCTATTGTGAAACTCTTAGAAGGCAGATGGTACTCCCTTTTTGCTAATGCTAAGCTTGCTATTCAAAGATCCTTTGGCTAACATTCAGGATGGGGATTGCACAGGTCCTTCCAGGTCCCCGTAGCTAAACAGAACAACACAAGTTTTTTTCCTTTTAAAAACTATTTGGGATACAGCACCTGGTTACTGCAGATGTTATACAGATAATTAAAAATAACTTGCATGATCTAAAACAAAAGCTGAACATGTGAAGAGTTGGTAGTATGATGAGAATTAAAGTTTGATATAAATAATGTTGCATTGTTTCCAGGTTCAGTGCACTTCCTTGTGGTGGATGCCTCTCTTCTGGTTTGGCAACAAAAACGAAGCATTTCAGTTACACTCCCACACTCCTTATGCATTGTAATTTGTGTGCATAACCTTACGTGGAAAGAAACTACATTTTCTGCCATAAACATAGCAGCTGTTCCATGTTTAGCCTGCCATCCATGCTTTCTCCATGGGACTCCATTCTGTTCCCCCTCCCGCCCAGTTTTCTATTCCCAAGAAACAGTCAGGTCTCATTCTGCAGCCACTGAACACACCCAAACCTCAATGAGCTGCTTGGGGAGTGTAGCCCCCACAGCCCTTAGATTCTGATATCTGTAGAAATTTTGAGCGGTGACTTAAAAGGTAAAATGGTACAAGTAAGTCTCGCTTCTAAAAAGGAAAAAAAATGTTTGCTTGTAATACCAAAATGATTTTTATAAATATATCTATAGTCTCCCTATTTTTAGTAACAATTGCTTCTGCTGCAATTAATTTGTTAGGTAAAATTCCAAATCAGAATAATTATTATCTGGTAGGTAATTAAGGGTAGTTATCCATAGTGGCTGATCCCAGCATTCAGTTTTGATTTTCACTTTTAATTATTATAGGATTGCATGCATTTTAATTTACACTACATTGTTGTAGCTGTTGTTGCTGGGATCCCTCTGTCTTGAGAGACAATGGAGTGAGCCTCTGAGGGTGAAATCAAACTGAAGTGGCCTCCCCAGGCACAAGGCTGAGCAGTGCACATGGAGATCCTGGTCTGCCCAGCCTGGCTGATGGGGTCCAAAGGAAAGCAGAGCGATACATTTAGCACCAGTTTGGCTACAGGAGTTGCCAGAAGGAGGCGTACAAGGTGCCATCCAGCTGTTGCCTTAGAGACTCCATACCCATTTGTGTACGGTTTACTCCTTAGTATTTTCTTCTCCTGAAGATATCCCGCAAGGCAGCGGAGGTTTAGGATGAAAGTTTCCCTTCTAGATGGGCTACCTTCCCATCTGCCCTTATTGTTGGAAGTAAGTCCCACTGAACAAGGGACTTTCAGATATGTAACAGAACTTAACTTTTGGGAACCTGGTTATTGCAGAATAAATTATTACATGGCACAACAAGCAACAAAGAACCTTATTTTGTTGTTGTTCTAGTTAGCTGATTTCTGATTTTAAAAAATTTATGTGGCATATCTTTTAAATTGTTTTTTAATGTATATACTCATGTAAACCATTGTGTTATTTTTGTGACTAGCAGTGCATATTCTAAATAAATGTCTACTCAGATGTAAGTCCCATTAAGTTCAGTGTGGCTGTGGGAACATCCATACTGGAGCAAACTAAGGCCCGGGGTTTGGATCCAGCCCAAACACCTTCTACATCCGGCGGTCCAGGAATTGGTGTGTATTTACATGAGTAGAATGTGCCGTTTTATTTAAAATGCGTCTCTGGGTTATTTGTGGGACATAAAAATTTGTTCATCCCCCCCCCCCCAAAAAATATAGTTCGGCCCCCCACAAAGTCTGAGGGACAGTGGACCGGCCCCCTGCTGAAAAAGTTTGCTGACCCCTGTCCCAGACTTTCCCCCTTTTAAATGTAGGTTTGTTTGTTTTTTATCCTGGCTCTTTCAGACTTTCTGAGGATTAGAAAAACCTCACTTGAAAGGGGAAATTGTAAAGTTTGTGATAGTGAACATGTAGCATGGACAGTAATGGGGAGAGAGGATTCTGTGAATCTACATTTTGCTCCAGTGTAGACAACCCCCAGTCAATCATCATATAGCCCAGCTGCAGCCTCTTTCTATGGATCATGCTTATCTCATTACCTCTTCTAAGAAGATTTGATACCAGATTTCTCTCATAATTCTCCCTGTTCCTCTCCAGACCTTGAATTCTCAATCAGCTTAAGTAGACGCTCTGATACAAATCTTCCGTGTGAGGAACATTTTGCCTGAAATTTGATATTTTATATCCTAGTATCCTAGACAGAAGAATTAAAAACACAAATATGGCTCTAGCAAAACTTACCAGAAGCAAGCACTGTATCGGTTTTCTTACCTGCACTCTGTAGAAGTGACTGTAACTCCAAGAGGAAAAAGCAGGAGGACAGAATTTGTTGGCAGGCAGGATAGCTAGGATTATGCTGTGTGCAAAAAGGACTATTTCTAAATCCACGCATAACTCTCCATTGACAGATATGAAACTTGCTTTAATGCTAGCTATGGATTTCTTTTTAAAATGCCTGCTCGAAAGCAGCAAGTCTATTTTAAATTGCTAGCAAGCTCTCTGGTGAATAGCCTTGCACACTCTCCCTACCTGCCTGAGCAGACAATAGCAGAATGACTCTCCTTTGAGAGCCAGTGCCTGGCTGTTAACCCCTTTCCTGCCAAAGACAACGGAAACCATGTCAACCTGATACTGGCCAATTAAGGCCATATATTGACCCAATGTATTGGTTCTTTGTTCCTGAGGTCTGGCAGACAGAGAACCCTTTACCTTGTTTCAGTCTGGCTTCAGGTCAAACCAGAACCGACAGGGCCATAGCGGGGGTGAGGGGTGAGCAAGAAGGTGCTCAACTTTTTCCTTTGGGAATATTTTCCCTGATGAAAATCACATATAAAGCTACTGTTTCCCTCAGTAGGTAAAGTATGTATATGCACAGGCTTTTGTTTCCATAATCAATAAGAGAATTCACAATCCTGATCTGAATTCTCTCTGCCCCCTGCATGCATTAGAAAAACAGAGATGCAGCCACGCATCTCCACATCCGCGTGGGACTTCAGGCTTCAAGTACCAAGGATGCAGTGGCAATGCTGATATTCAAAGACCTGATCATACAGAAACGAGGCCCTTCAGTTTAAAGGGATTTACTTCCAACTAAATGTGCATGTCTAGTTGTGTGGGCTGGGCTTCAGAATTCAGAAGAATTCTGCTGTTACACCCAGATTTTGCTTGTGTGCTTCCCACAGGCTTCTGGTTGGGCCCTGTGAGAAGATGGGCACAGGGTCTGATTCAGCAGTGCTCTTCTTAGGCATCATTTTTTATTATGTATACACATAATTTAATTGTGTAGATTTGTCTTTACAAGTTTTGCTGATTTATCTGTGTTTCATTGATAATTTTATTATGTACACCACTTGGAGAATATTTTGTGTTTTTTTTTTGTTTTGTTTTTTAATAATTTTTTATTAAGGTTTTAAACAAAGAAAAAAGAAAAACAACACACACAAAAAACAATACAAAACTTAACAATAAAAACATAAAACATAACAATTAAAAACAATCTCTCTTTTCCATTTCCAATTTTAAATTACTTATTTTCTGGACTTCTCATACCTCCCTCTTTTGTATTCCAATCCACATTATTTGTCCAGCAGTTTCTTTTCCACTTTTTTATCCCAATCTTTAATTTAATAAAATGTTAAAATATATAACTTCACCCTTTTTAAACCTAATCCTTACTCTTAATGTCATATAGCTTTAAATTTTTCCCTTTTATTATCAAATTTCCATTTCTTTAGACATCTTTAATCTTAATCTTTAATCTTAATCTATCCTTAACTTTAACCTGTACAGCTGGAAACCACTTATTTTCAATCCAACATCACTCTAACATTCCTTAATTTTGCAGTGTTTCTGAAGATAGTCTTTGAATTTCTTCCAGTCTTCCTCCATCGACTCTTCTCCCTGGTCACAGATTCTGCCAGTCATTTCCGCCAATTCCATATAGTCCATAAGTTTCATCTGCCATTCCTCCAGCGTGGGAAGTTCTTGTGTCTTCCAATACTTTGCGATGAGTATTCTTGCTGCTGTTGTTGCATACATAAAGAAAGTTCTATCCTTTTTAACACCATTTGGCCCACTATGCCCAGGAGAAAGGCCTCTGGTTTCTTGGGGAAGGTATACTTAAATACCTTTTTTAATTCATTATATATCATTTCCCAGAAAGCCTTAATCTTTGGGCACGTCCACCAAAGGTGAAAAAATGTACCTTCACTTGGAGAATATTTTGATTAAGAGATTTATACAGTTTTCTATATAAAATAAATGATCTAATTTTTGTATACAGTGGTACCTTGGGTTACATACGCTTCGGGTTACAGACGCTTCAGGTTACAGACTCCGCTAACCCAGAAATAGTACCTCGGGTTAAGAACTTTGCTTCAGGATGAGAACAGAAATCGCGCTGCGGCGCAGCGGGAGGCCCCATTAGCTAAAGTGGTGCTTCAGGTTAAGAACAGTTTCAGGTTAAAAACGAACCTCCGGAACGAATTAAGTTCTTAACCCGAGGTACCACTGCATTATGTTTTTCTAGACAAAGGGAAGTTTGTGACACAGGGCATAATTAGGTTAAGAAACTAGTCACCACGAGCTACACTGCACCTCCATGTCCCATGGCAGTCTATGCCTGAACAGTAGATGTTTCCAGAAGCCACTGTCTTATTGTTGGACTGGATGAACTTGGCCTGATCAAGCAGTGTAACTGTGAACTAAGGTTATGCTGTAAACTACAACCCATCTTGGCAACGCAATAGCATATTGCAGAGAGGGCAGAGAGAGCCGTGATATGCAATAAGACACCATTCTGTGCTTCACAGAACAAAAAGCCCTCACACTGCATGACCTTAATGGAATGAGCCCATACAGAAGAAGTTTTCTACCCACCTGACCCTGGTTTTAGACTGCTAGGGAGCCCTCTTCACCTGAGGCAGGCACAAAGAAATTCCATTCTGCAGCCTTTTACTTGCTACACCAAACAGATTGAATGTCACGGCCACAATCTGGGAACACATCCTGCCTTTCTGTGCCTTGGTGAGCGCGGAGCTCCTTGATCCGTGCAGAATACCTACTGTGAAAAGAAGTTGGCTGGGCTTTTGCCCTCTGGAAATACCTGAGAACAGACCTGCAAACTTTTTGAATGGCTGTAACGAAAGACAAATATTGAGCAAGGCACAGATAGGTCAAGTCCTATGTAACAAATAAAAGCATAATTGTGGCCACGCGTGTAGAAAACCTAAGGCATGCAACCAAATGGCATTCTTAAAGGTGCAGTTGCAGACGACTCTGGGGTGGCGGCGCTCATCTCGTTTTATTGGCCGAGGGAGCCGGTGTACAGCTTCTGGGTCATGTGGCCAGCATGACCAAGCCGCCTCTGGCGAACCAGAGCAGCGCACAGAAACGCCGTTTACCTTCCCACCGGAGCGGTACCTATTTATCTACTTGCACTCTGACGTGCTTTCAAACTGCGAGGTTGGCAGAAGCAGGGACCGAGCAACGGGAGCTCACCCCGTTGCGGGGATTTGAACCTCCAACCTTCTGATCAGCAAGCCCTAGGCTCTGTGGTTTAAGCCACAGCGCCACCTGCACTTACTGTGTTCTATCAAAAGCAAGTCAAATTGGGCTGCCCAATGATTGAAGAATTTTACCTTCTTTTTAACCAATCTGCCAAGTAAATTTAAGTTAGCGAAGTTTAGTTTCTGTGAGGCTTCATGTTCACATCTTTCCTCCTGACCCCCGCCCGGTTTAATGTGATTTACTCCCAAGATTCAGGCGACAGGCTCACAATGTGCTACATCTTATGAAAAATGGTGCAGTTAATGCACATACCATATTTTGGTGTGATATTTTAATGCTTAGGCAAGCTAATGCTTCTAGTGCATCCCCAGAGCTCTTCTAGGCCTCTGGCAAACCAGCTCTTGCTGGCGCATTCGCCCCTTGCTGAGCTCCCTGCCCTGGGTGCCCCGGAGGCCCCGGAGTCGCCGCTCTCCCCCTCCCAGGAAAACCTTGGAGGTGGCGGCCCCTGAAGGGGCCTTGCCTTTCTCGGCCCTGCGAGCCCTTCCGTGGGGCGCCCCGGCTCCGCGGGCTCTTCCTCCCTCCCTGGTTTCCTCCGGCGCCACGGGGAGACTCCTGCCTTTCGCAGCCTGGACGGGGAGCGCGGCGAGGGAGGCGGAGCGCGGCGGCCCTGTCCCGGGGCGGCCATGGCGGAGGGCGGCGAGGCGGCGGAGGAGGAGGCGGCGGCGGCGGCGGTGGTGCAGATCCGGCTGGGCGAGCGCTGCTTCCCGGTGGGCAGGAGGCAGCTGCGGGAGCAGAGCGACTACTTCGGCGCGCTCTTCCGCTCGGGGATGCGCGAGGCGGCGGCGGAGGTGCAGGAGCTGCGCGGGGGGCTGCGCGCGCGCGGCCTGGAGCTGGTGCTGGACTTCATCCGCACGTCCCGCCTGGCCGGCCTGGAGCGCGAGGGCGAGGGCGAGGGCGAGGCGCTGGAGGCGCTGGTGGAGGCCGCCTGCTACCTGCAGGTGACCCCGCTGCTGCGCCGGCTGCCCGCGGAGGTGGCGCTGCCCAACTGCCTGCAGCTGCACCAGCTGGCGCAGGTCTACGGGCTGGCGGAGCTGCAGGCCGCCTGCGTGGCCTTCATGGCGGCGCGCTTCCACGCGGTGCTCCGCAGGCCCGAGGCCCGGCGCCTGCTGCCCGGCGCCCTGAGGCAGCAGCTGCGGGAAAGGCGCGCGGGAGGCGCGGCCGCCCTGCTGGCGCTGGGCCCCTTCGCCGGAGCCGGGCCCCAGGAAGGCGGCGCGCCCGGCTCCATGCGCAGGTACGACGAGGCGGCCGGCCGCTGGCTCCCGCTGCCCGGCCGCCCGCCTCCGGAGCTGGCCAACGTGCGCGGCTACGGCGCGGCCGTGCTGGACAACTACCTGTTCCTGGTGGGCGGCCACCGGCTGGGCAGCCAGGAGATCTCGGCCGCGCACTGCTACAACCCCTGCCTGAACGAGTGGAGCGCCGTGGCCTCGATGAACCAGAAAAGGTAACGCCCGAGATGCTCCCAGGAACTTCTTGCTTTTTCAGTTTGGAATAAATGGAAGCATTTCCAGTGTGAGGTGTGGAAAAGCCAAGCTGGTTTGAATAGCAAACTGGTTAAGTGTGGTCTTGAGATCAGGTTTGCAGAAGACACAAAATTGGAGAGACAACTAGCGCCTCAGAAGACAGGAATGCAGTTCTTAAAGGAATGGAAACCTAGGCCAACAAACTCAAATTCAGCAGAGATGCATGCACAGACACAATAACCACATATCTGTAGGATGGTGGACACCCGACTTTGCAGGATACACATGGAAATGTTCTTTGTTGTAGCAAAAAAAGAAAAAGAAAAACCTTGCAATTTTAGGCTACATAAATAGAACCAGTTTCCAAGTAATGAGAAGTAATAGTTCCAACATACTCTGCAGCAGTGGACCACATCTGGAGTTCAGTATCCAGTGCTGGGTACCACATTTTAAATCAGACACATTAGGTTGGGTTTAGAGGATGGCATTAAAGACAATGGCCTAGTATGGAAGCTTGTTTAACCTAAAGACTGAGGTGGGGTGGGGGACATGACAGCACTCTTCTTTTTTTTTTTAAATGATATTTATTGAGAATTTTAAAGTCACAAAGAAAAAAGAAGGAAAAAACAAGAAAAAGAGAAAAAGAAAGAAAAAAGTAGATAAAAGTAACAATTAAACAATACAAATCAATAAAAACCAAAATCAAAAAGAAAAAACAAAACACACAATGCAACACAAAAAACAAAAATATACAACAAATTTTAAAAAAATCCAATATTCCCAAATCCTTAACTTTCATTAACTTATTTCATCGACCTCCTCACACCTCCCTTTTTTGTATTCTAGTTGTTAATTATTGCAGCAAATCCTTTCCATCTTTCACAATATTCTGTCATTAAATTACCTTAATCTATTTTAACCTTATCTTACCATAAAAAAACCCTAAAACTTAAAACTTAAATCTTATTTATACCGAATTCTTTTAACCATAACATATTCTTACATAATTCTTTTTAACATTTCTGCTAAAGCCAAATAATTTCATTCCAACATTTTTCTGATACTCATTAATTTTACTATACTTTTCTAAATAAATTTTTAAAACTTTCTTCCAATCTTCATCCATCGTCTCTTCTCCTGGTCTCGGGTTTTGTCAGTCCTTTCTATCCCATCCATCTAGTCCATCAACCTGGTGACCTTATGTCCGAGGCTCTTAAGTCCCTTCCATGTCCCTTCCGCAGGTCTTCTTCATGTTTATACCTGTACTTTACTTTGTCTTCTGCTCCTTTCACTCTGGGAGACTCCAACTTGACAATATTTTTGTCCCTTCTCGACAAGTCAGCCCCTTTTCCATAGTCAACACTGAAATCCATGTGGTATTTAAAGACATGTTTCAAGGACCCTCCAAAATTAGGGGCCCCCACAACTCCAAGCTCCCCCCGGCCTAAAGCGAGACTTGAAAAGTCAAAAAATCTCTGCATAGGGGGGTCCATCCAGCCCCCCATCTCCAAACCAAGCAGAACTCCATCTCTCCAAATCTGACTTTTTCCAGGTTCATTCATCAAATCCAACGACTCATGTTCCTGCTGGGCCACAGCTCCCTCCATCTCTGCCACCCGAGGTCCAGCAACAGCCTCCTCCCTCATCTCATCTGTCAAAGCACATTCCTGGATTAATTCCTGAGTGGGTTCTATATAGGTACCCACTGCCTGTCCAAAATTTCCTATCGCAACTGTCATCAAATCCATTTTCTCATGTAACTGTTCCAATAAAGCACTTGTCTTGCAAAAGGCAAGCACCAGAGCCTCTGAGCACATTCTTGTTCAAGGTCGAAGTCTGGTCCCACGATCTTTAATCTTTTACAGCTGCAAAACTCCCCAGTTCGACTTTAATAACAGTTTCACAAGCTCCCTCTAGGGGAAACAATTTCTATTTGTATCCATCTTTTTTTTCTTTTCTTTTTTTAAAGGCAGATTTAGCAACAAAGTTTTCCTTTTTCGGATATTTTGTCGATATTTTGTTCCTTTTAAAAGCGAAAGGGAACAATGGAATCAATATGTTTCTGTTCTTTTAACTATCTGTCAAAAACGTTTGTCCATAGTCAATGAGCTTCTCCAAAACGTCTGTCTTGACACCCCGCTCCCAGGTTCAAGACGGTGGAAAATTACCTTTCTTTACTCTCTCTTCTGCAGGTTCAAACAGTCTAAAATAGGTTCCCCCCTCTTCTCCTGCTTCCAAGGGGGGTTCAGTAATTTTAAATGATGAAAATTTAGTCCTTTACAAACAACTTTCTGAACTCTAGCTTGCCGTGTCTTTGCTTCAATCTATCTACAAAAGCGGAAGGCGGACTTCCTGTTTAGACCTTCCCACTTTCGGTGCCTAATTAAGAAATTTCACAGTCCAATTTGCCCTTCTACTCACGGGCAGTTGTTTGAAATCCAATTGTCCACAGGAAGAAGTCAGCGCTCTCCGGCAACAGCAATGCAGCTTCACTCCGTGAAAGAAGCAGTCGATTCAAAGCACCGCGCCACTCACCCCACGTCGCTCCGGAACCCCAAAACAGGGTTTCCCCACGAGTAGAGGGGGCGCAAAGGTGCCAGCCGAATCCCACGTCCACAGGCTTCTCCCGCCTGTGGTTTTTGATGGGTCTCCGCCTAGCACTCTTCAGACACCTGAAGGGTTGTCTGTTGGAACAATTGTGCAACAGAAGCCATTGCTGTGGTTGTTCAAGCAGAGGCTAGAGCTCTGGCTCTGGATTTCCTGTATCCCATCCAGCTCTGATTCTAATCAAACTGTCAACTTCCTGGGCGGTTTAGTGGGGGCAGCAGGCTGTGTGCAGCGACACCTTTGGAACTTCTCATGTGTCTGGACAACCTAATCTCAGAAAACACATTTCAGCCACTGTGGAGGGACAGGAGCAAATTAGAGACATGTTACTCAAGCCAGCTGCTGGGAAGAGGAAATAATTAGGATCCTGTCCCAGGTGAAGCAAATAATTACTAAATTGTCATTTTCAGTCTTAAGTTGTGTATATTTAGAATAACAGCCATAGAAAGGCGATTTCTGCTCAGTTGCATCCTTTGCGTTCTTGGCAGTAGAGCTTGAGTGGTGTATTGCTTTGTCTTTGGTTTATGGTCGATGAGAGTAGCCTGCAAGATTTCGGCCCATGACATACAGGGCTTTTTGTATTCACTGCATTTAAGATTTACACTTGCTATGGGAAGCTTCTCACAAGCCTTAGATCAGGATGGTAAACCTTGGGGCCCCTCTGTCTGGCCCTTGGGATTATGCCTAGCCTTGCTGCCAGCCCTGACCCACATCCTTTCCAAGTGTTTTTTGTCTCTCTGGGCTGCATCCTTGAATTGTAGCCTTTGCTCTGCCCACTTTTGTCTCTGGTCCCACCCATTACTTGCATGCAGCCTCTGGAAGGTTGCCCTTGTGGGAATATGGCACTTGGGCTGGATAAAAGTCTTTCTTGCCCTTGTCTTGGAGGAAGGGTGTGTGCCATTTGTCTCTCACATAGGGGAATTGTTTCCTGTGTCTCTTTGGTGCTCCAAATATATTAGAGTGCAACCAATGTGAAGGGTTCTTTTACCCATTCTTATTGTTGGTCCACTTCTAGTGGTTTGATAAGGGACAAATTCATTAAGCCTAAAGATTTGCGAAACTGGTGGCTCACCTTGCCTTCCATTGGTTTTACTCTACTGAACAGAGGAATGCTGCTTCCATCATGCCCTGATTGTGGACCTCCACTGCCGGGCTCCAGCTGTAGCCTCTGAAGACCTCCATTGGTGAGAAAGGCAGGTGGAAAACGGCAAATACTACATTTTTAATTTCCCCAACAGAAATAAGCCTCTCACCTTACAGAACCTACGAGCTGCACATCTGCATGTCATGTCTCCCACCTGCAAACTATTCTTTAAAAAAAAAAAATCTCCTTTGACTGTGGTTTTTCTATTAGCCTCATATTATTCTAGTCTAAATCTCTTGAATTTAAACAAAACAAGGCAGGTTTGCTGGTGCCCATTTGAAGTCACGGCTGTTTGCTCACATTTTGTAACATGGCTAGCTCAGATGCTTTCAGCAGGGAAATTGTATTGGTGGGTGGAAATGTACAGGGTGACCTAATTGCAAATGTCAGCAAAGTCAGGCTTCAAAACTATTGACCCTTTTCTCTCCATGCGACACCCACCCACCCAACAAGCTGCAAATATGCATCCTGCTTTTCAGAGTCACATTGCTGCTGAAAGAACAAATATTCTGTATGGAATGAAAGTCACTTTTTATAAAACTCTTGCTTACATTTGAACCGCCTTCAGTGATTGATAACTCAGATAATTAACAGTATGTGGAGAGAGTCTGAAACTGTGCTCTCCCCCCTCACATCCCTTACCAGCCCTGCCCTCACACACTAGAGTGGTTGTGGGGGGGGGGGGAGAGAGATGACCATTTTTGGTTCCAGAGGCCAACACTGCTCCAGTTCCCAGCAGGGATGAACTATACATGGAAAGTAGCAGCAATTGGAGCATCTCCCACATAACTTTGGGCTTCCAAAGTTATCTCTGGTATGTGAGGAAACCAGGCTGAAACAGATGCTGTGACACTGAACTGATTTTTTGGGTCCTTTTCATTGGAATTTGATTTTCACTACTTTCTGTTCTCCCTGCCAATGGCAGCCCTGCCCTGGACGACAATCGCCACCCTTCTCCAGTCACATTAATGTGAGATTACCCCCCAAAAAATCCCATTTTGGAAGAATATGGAAGCTATACAGCAGTTGAGTGTAGGTGTTGCCCTGTTAACATTTCACCCCATTTCACCAGGCCTACAATTTCTTTCTTCTTCCCTTTGCTTCAGAAATTCCTGGGGAAATGCCCTGTTTGTTTGTATCATGATCCCTTGCTTGCCTTGGCTTATTCTAAGCTTTAGCTTTTTTGATACTGTCCCCCCACCAACAAGCCTGCTCTCAGTGAATTGTCCTCTTTCATTTATTACAGAAGTCCATTTTATTTTCAACTCCTCGCTATGCCTTTTTGCAGCCCCGTCAGCTTTTCCTTGTAAGCACATCCAGCCAAGGGTTCCTGCCTAGTAATTCTAAACTCTGTGAGGTACACATCTGACTATGCTTTGGCTTTCCATAAGATCATATATTCCAGCCTTACATGGTCACATCCTCCCCATGGTCACATCCTGCCCCATTAAAGAACTGTCTTACTGGTTAAGATCAACTCATGATCCCCTTGTTCCTTCTGAAAGAGGAAGTTGTCAGGACTGTTAGGGATCCCATGCTTAGAACTGATGGTAGGGTAAAGGTTCCCTAGGACTGCTCATCTTTCCTTCCCTGAAACAGCTCTCATTTCTTTCAGGAAGATAGCACCCACCTCTTCTCCTTGAGATGGTGGCCTATAGTAGACTTCAATCACAACGTGTGTCGTGTTTTTAATATATGTTGTGAACTGTTCTGAGATCTATGGGCAGTATACAAATTTAATAAGTAAACAAAATAAATAGTTTATCTCCACTACCAGTAATTTTTATCTGGCTGCTCTCCACAAGGCTATGGGGTTTGTTCCCACTTGGATTTCTATGCAGGTGTACACTGCTTCTTTTGGAATGTAATTCCTAATAAACTTCTTGTTTCTTAACAAAGGTTATTTTCAACATTTTTTTCCATTTCATTATATATCATCTCCCAGAAAGCTTTTATTACCTTACAAGTCCACCACAAATGATAAAAGTTACCTTCTTTTTCTTTACATTTCCAGCAGGTATTTGTACTTGTTTTATACATTTTTGCCAGCTTAGTAGAGGTCAAATACCACCGGTACATCATTTTCATATAATTTTCTTTCAGTGTACAGCATGCTATAAATTTCTAGTCTGTTTTCCATAGCATTTCCCATCTGCCATCTGGATGTTATGTCCCAAATCTATAATGTCAATTATATTTCTTATATTATCCTCCATCTGGTGGCTTGGCAAGAAACCTGCCTGATGTTGATGGATTAAATCGACTAAAAAACCTTTCATTCGGTTGGCTAGTATGTTGGCAAATAGTTTATCATCGTTTAATAGCCTGTAATTTTAAACTAAAAGTGGGTCGGTATCCTGCTTCAGAATCAGTGTAATGTAGGCCTCTTTCCAGGACTCTGGATACCTCCCCAGTCCCTAATATCTCATTCATTAATTCTTTAAGTGGTTGTACCAGAAAGTCCTGAAGTTTTTATTACTTTGCTGATAGTCCATCTGGCCCTGGCGTTTTACCTATTTTAGCTTGTTTAATTTCCTCTAGGGATGTGGGTGGTGCTGTGGTCTAAACCACTGAGCCTAGGGCTTGCCGATCAGGTTGGCAGTTTGAATCCACGCAACGGGGTGAGCTCCTATTGCTCGGTCCCAGCTCCTGCCAACCTAGCAGTTCACAAGCACGTCAAAATATAATTCAATGATTTAACTCTCCAACTGTTTTATCTGTAGGTCTAATTTCAAGTTGTTGGCTGTTAGTGGGAAGTTGTATGCCATTGGTGGGCAATTTCTCTCCAATGTTGAGTGTTACAGCCCAGAGCATGACTGGTGGAACTTTGCAGCATCTTTACCAACCCCTCTTGCAGAATTCTCAGCGTGCGAGTGCCAGGGCAAGATCTACGTCATGGGAGGCTACACTACAAGAGGTAAGACAAGTACTAGAAAAGAATAGTGTTATTTTAACACTTGTATGCTCTTTGGCATGTTCAATACAGTCATACCTCGGGTTACAAACGCTGCGGGTTGCGCGTCTTCGGGTTGCGAACTGCGCAGAATTGGGAAGTACCGGGACGGGTTACTTCCGGGTTTCAGCGCATGCGCAGAAGCACAAAATGATGTCATGCACGTGCGCAGACGCAGCACTTCAGGTTGCGAAAGCTGCGGGTTGCAAACGTGCCTCTCACATGTATCACGTTCACAACCCGAGGTATGACTGTATTCAGTTTGATAAGCAGTGTGTTTTAATAGCAATGTTTGTGGTTGGTTTTAAATACAGTGGTACCTTAGGTTAAGTACTTAATTCGTTCCGGAGGTCCGTACTTAACCTGAAACTGTTCTTAACCTGAAGCACCACTTTAGCTAATGGGGCCTCCTGCTGCCGCGCCGCCGGAGCACGATTTCTGTTCTCGTCCTGAAGCAAAGTTCTTAACCTGAAGCACTATTTCTGGGTTAGCAGAGTCTGTCACCTGAAGCGTATGTAACCTGAAGCGTATGTAACCCGAGGTACTACTGTACCTTATTTTAGTATTACAATATAAGTCAAACAGCTGTTACTTAAGCGATAAACACACACTGAAAGGTTGTAAAACAACAACAACCCTTTCTTTTCACCATCTTGAGTGTGACTTTGACAGGACATTTAAGAAAAATTGCAAGAGAATTAGTGTTGACTGATATTAAGCGTGTGGTGTATTGTGAGGTTGAAAACCTGTTGATCTTTTTTTTTCTTTAAACATTGTATTGATATTATGAAGTGAGTTTCTGAAAAGGACTTGATCTCTTGTCTTCTGAAGCCTTCAGACTGTTTGACTTGCTTATGAAAGGTACAAGGGTGGCAACGGGATTTTCTGAGACCAGTACACTGAATATGTGATTGGGCCCGTCAACTCACATGGAAAAGATGACATGAATTTACATAAAACCATAGAGTTGGAAGGAACCCCAAGGGTCATCCAGTGCAATGCAGGAATCTCAGCTAAAGCATCCATGACAGATGGCCCTCCAACCTCTGCTTAAAAACCTCTAAGGAAGGAGAGTCCACAACCTCCCAAGGGAGACCATTCTACCTGTCAAATAACTCTTACTGTCAGAAAGTTTTTTCCGAATGCTTAGTAGGAACCTCATTTCTAATAACTTGAAGCCTTGAGTTCTACTCTGCAGAGCAGGAGAAAACAATCATGCTCCCTCTTCCATGTAGCAGCCCTTTAGATGTCTGAAGATGGCTATCATATCTCCTCTCAGTCTCCTCTTTTCCAGGCTAAACATACATAGCTCCTTCAAGCGCTTTTTGTCATATGCTGTGGAGGGCCCAAAAATAAATCAGTGGCCACATATGTAATAAAATGTCTGACAGACAGAATGTGAACAGGTGAAATATTTCCCATAATTAACCTGGATTTATGCCTGCTACACAGCTGTTAAAGGCAGAAGAACCCTGCTTTCCGCCAATGCCTGTCCAAGCCTAGATTGCAGTCTTTTATCACTTACCTGGGAGAAAGTCCCATTAAATACAAAGAGACTTACTTCTGAGTAGACATATATCCCATTGTACTGTAAATTAACTCTACAGTGGATTCATAATGAGAACCTGGTCTCAGGAGACACATCTAAGCCTCTTTGCAAAGTTTTCACATTTTGCACAGTAATTTTGGTTGGGTGGGTTGAATTCTTTAACGTCCACTCACACTTGTGTGGTGTGCTTGTGTATTTGCATAGTATAAATTCTAGGGAGTACCTGATATCAGATGAACCCACTGCAGGAAAGACGCATCCTGGTTGCTAGGGCAAAAGGAAGACAAAACTACGGATATTGTAGGGAGTAGAAAATGAGAGAGAAGCAGGAAAAGTGTGCAGCAATAGCCTACTTTGCAGAGAACAGTAATCAAGCTTTCTCCACATTTTTGAAAAAGAAAACTGACCTGAAATCACACCTTTTAACCACCAGGTGTTGTAGGCCCCAGTGTACAAATAAGTTGCATTTAAGTTTTCTGTATTTAATATCTTCTCTGTTGCAGACCGGAACTTGAACATCTTGCAGTACTGTCCCAGCTCTGACAACTGGACAACCTTTGAATCGTGTGACATCCATATCCGCAAGCAGCAGATGCTGTCAGTGGAGGAAACTATCTATATTGTTGGAGGCTGCATCCACGAACTGGGATCAAACAAAAAATCTAGCCAAAATGAGGACATGTTAACAGTACAGTCTTATAACACTGCCACCAGAGAATGGCTCTACCTCAAAGAAAACATGTCAAAATCTGGACTTAATTTGACTTGTACACTACACAACGATGGGATCTATATACTGACCAGAGATGTATCATTGTCAACAAGCTTGGAGCACAGAGTTTTTCTAAAGTACAATATATTTTCAGACAGTTGGGAATCTGTTAGACACTTCCCAACCTTTGGACAAAACATGTTGGTTTGTTCTATGTATTTGCCAAATCTGATGTGAATGTAAACTGCAATTTTATTTTCCGCATAAAATTAATTAATTGTTGAATAAGAAATTATTTATCCTAGTTACCATCTTTTCCAAATGGAACACAAGTTGTTTATATCCGATAAATAGTTATAAAAATTATTTTATTGGCCACTGTTGGTAGAATCATAGAATCATAGAGTTGGAAGAGACCACAAGGGCCATCGAGTCCAACCCCCTGCCAAGCAGGAAACACCATCAGAGCACTCCTGACATATGGTTGTCAAGCCTCTGCTTAAAGACCTCCAAAGAAGGAGACTCCACCACACTCCTTGGCAACAAATTCCACTGTCGAACAGCTCTTACTGTCAGGAAGTTCTTCCTAATGTTTAGGTGGAATCTTCTTTCTTGTAGTTTGGATCCATTGCTCCGTGTCCGCTTCTCTGGAGCAGCAGAAAACAACCTTTCTCCCTCCTCTATGTGACATCCTTTTCTATATTTGAACATGGCTATCATATCACCCCTTAACCTCCTCTTCTCCAGGCTAAACATGCCCAGCTCCCTTAGCCGTTCCTCATAAGGCATCGTTTCCAGGCCTTTGACCATTTTGGTTGCCCTCCACTGGACACGTTCCAGTTTGTCAGTGTCCTTCTTGAACTGTGGTGCCCAGAACTGGACACAGTACTCCAGGTGAGGTCTGACCAGAGCAGAATACAGTGGCACTATTACTTCCCTTGATCTAGATACTATACACCTATTGATGCAGCCCAGAATTGCATTGGCTTTTTAGCTGCCGCGTCACACTGTTGGCTCATGTCAAGTTTGTGGTCAACCAAGACTCCTAGATCCTTTTCACATGTACTGCTCTCAAGCCAGGTGTCACCATCTTGTATTTGTGCCTCTCATTTTTTTTGCCCAAGTGCAATACTTTACATTTCTCCCTGTTAAAATTCATCTTGTTTGTTTTGGCCCAGTTCTCTAATCTGTCAAGGTCGTTTTGAAGTGTGATCCTGTCCTCTGGGGTGTTAGCCACCCTCCCAGTTTGGTGTCATCTGCAAATTTGATCAGGATGCCCTTGAGTCCATCATCCAAGTCGTTGATAAAGATGTTGAATAAGACCGGGCCCAAGACAGAACCCTGTGGCACCCCACTAGTCACTCTTCTCCAGGATGAAGAGGAACCATTGATGAGCACCCTTTGGGTTCGGTCACTCAGCCAGTTACAAATCCACTGAGTGGTAGCATAGTCAAGACCGCATTTTACCAGCTTCTTTACAAGAGTATCATGGGGCACCTTGTCAAATGCCTTGCTGAAATCAAGGTAGGCTACATCCACTGCGTTCCCTTCATCTACCAGGCTTGTAATTCTGTCTAAAACAAGATCAGGTTAGTCTGACATGACTTATTTTTCAGAAATCCATGCTGACTATTGGTGATCACAGCATTCCTTTCTAGGTGCTCACAGACTGTTTGCTTAATGATCTGCTCCAGAATCTTCCCTGGTATTGATGTCAGACTGACTGGGCGGTAATTATTTGGGTCCTCTCTTTTTTGCCCTCCTCCAGTCTGCCGGGACTTCGCCTGTTCTCCAGGAATTCTCAAAGATGACTGCCAGTGGTTCTGAGATCACATCTGCCAGTTCTTTTAATACTCTTGGATGCAGTTCATCTGGCCCTGGAGACTTGAATACATCTAAACTAGCCAAGTATTCTTGTACTATCTCCTTAGTTATTCTGGGCTGTGTTTCCTTTGCTGAATCATTTGCTCCAAATTCTTCAGGTCGGGCATTGTTTTCTTTATCGGAGAAGACTGAGGCAAAGAAGGCATTGAGGAGTTCAGCCCTTTCTGTGTCCCCTGTTTGCATTTCACCATCTTCTCCTCTGAGTGACCCCACTGTTTCTTTGTTCTTCCTTTTGCTACGAACATACCCATAAAAGCCTTTTTGTTGCTTTTAACCTCTCTAGCAAGCCTGAGTTCATTCTGTGCTTTAGCTTTTCTGACTTTGTGTCTACACGTGCTGGCTATTTGTTTGAATTCCTCTTTGGTGGTTTCCCCCCTCTTCCATTTTTTGTACACATCCTTTTTAAATCTTTACTCAGTTAAAAGTTCTTTAGATAGCCACTCTGGCTTCTTTAGGCACCTTCCATGTTTCTGTCTCATTGGTATTGCCTGACGTTGTGCTTTTACTATCTCCCTCTTAACAAACTCCCAGCCATCATGAACTCCTTTTCCTTTTAGTATTACTGTCCATGGGATCTCACCCAGCACTTCCCTAAGTTTTATGAAGTCGGCTTTCTTAAAGTCAAGAAATTGAGTCCTAGTATGCTTGGCTGCTCCTTTCCGCTGTATAGTAAACTTCAGAAGAGCATGATCACTCACGCCTAATGATCCTTCCACTTCTACCCCACTAACCAGGCCATCAACATTGGTTAGGACCAGATCTAAAATGGCTGTTCCTCTTGTTGCTTCTCCCACTTTCTGGACAATGAAGTTGTCTGCAAGGCCAGTGAGGAATCTGTTTGACCTTATGCTCTTGGCTGAGTTTGACATCCAACAAATATCCGGGTAATTGAAGTCCCCCATTACTACTATCTCCCTTCCTTTTGCATGCTTGGCCATCTGTTCCAGGAAGGCATCACCTATGTCCTCCGTTTGGCTTGGGGATCTATAGTAAACTCCCACAATGAGGTCACTGTTATTCTTCTCTCCCTTAATTTTGACCCATATGCTCTCACTTTGGCTTTGAGGTTCTAAATCTTGGATCTCTTCACAGGTATACACATCCCTGACATATAACGCCACTCCTCCTCCTTTCTTGTCTGGTCTGTTTCTCTGAAATAGATTGTATCCCTCCATTATTACATTCCAATCGTGGGACTTATCCCACCAGGTTTCAGTGATGCCTATTATGTCTTATTTAGTTTGCTGTACCAAGAGCTCAAGCTCATCTTGTTTATTTCCCATGCTTTGCGCATTAGTGTACAGACATTGAAGTCCATTAATCATTCCCCCGTGACGCTTATTTAAGGATTTTTTCCTCCCACCACTAGGTCTGCGTGCTGTTTGCTCCATTTGGTCTATGACATTTGGATGATCATCTTCATCAATTGATAGACTCCTACCTTCAGGAGTGCTGTCTCCCTCCCCCACATTAGTCAGTTTAAAGCCCTCCTGATGAGGTTTCTGAGATTTTTGGCAAAAACATTTCTCCCAACCGTTGTGAGGTACAGCCCATCGCTTGCCAGAAGTCCATCTTCAAGAAACTGCAGTCCGTGATCTAAGAATCCAAACCGTTCCTGTTTACACCATTTGCGAAGCCAGCTGTTCACTTCCACTATTTTTTCCTCTCTCCCTGGGCCACGTCGTTCAACTGGGAGGACAGATGAGATGACAATTTGTGCATTTAATTGCTTCAATTTCCTGCCCAGAGCCTCGTAGTCTCTTTTGATCTTCTGGAGGCTATTGCTTGCAGTGTCATTGGTTCCCACATGAACCAAGAGGAAGGGGTATTTGTCCGTGGGTTTTATGATTCCTTGCAGTCGTTCAGTTACATCTTGGATCTTAGCCCCGGGGAGACAGCACACTTCCCGAGACATCTTGTCAGGCCCACAGATCACTGCTTCTGTTCCCCTCAGTAGGGCATCCCCTATCACCACTACACGCCTCCTCTTAGGTTTGGTCAGGGTTCTTCCGTGAGCTGTCCGTTCCAAGGTCGCCTGCACATTCCCTGAGGACTGACTTTGCTGCTCGTCTTCATATACCTGATCAACTGTAATGAGGGAGAGATCCTCAAATGGAGTCTGCTCTTCATCTTCCATGCTAGGGGAGAGGACCTCAAAGCGATTGTGTATTTCTAAACAATCAGAGCGAACCCTGGGCCTCCTACTTCTTTGAGTCACGTTTCTCCATATATCTGGCTCCTGTGTTGGTGAAGTAGCCTCCTTCTCAGGGGAGTCCCCTGTCTCCTCCTTGGTGGAGACGGTGTGCTCTGTTGCTTCCAAGAAGAGCTCCAGCTCTCTAATTCTTTGGAGCGTAGCTACACGTTCCTCCAGTTGCTGGACTTTGTCTTTTAAGAGGGCAATCAACATGCAATTGCTGCAGGTAAAGCTGCCTGCAACCTTTGGCAAGATGGCAAACATTGCGCAGGAACCGCAGGCGACTGCAGCTGTTCCCTCCCCCTCCATCTTGAGAATGTGTCGTTGGGGGTGGCTACAGCGGTCCTCCATCATAAAAAGCATGAAGACAGGACAAATAACTCCCCCCACAAAAAAACCTAGGTCTCCCCCAACAAACGTTTGAGACTAGCTCCCCTAAATATAAAAGATGGATCAAACTGGGCGCACCGCTAGGCACGCGCTGCTGCCCTGCAAACTCTGATAAGCTCCTCCCACAGCTAATCACCTGCCTCAACAGAAACCCTGCCCCCTCTGACCTTTGCACAGGGAGAGCAGCTAATCAGCCACAAAGAAACACACACACACACACACACACGAAAACCCTTTTTGCTCCTCCTTCAACTGCTGCCCTGCAAGCTCTGATAAGCTCCTCCCACAGCTAATCACCTGCCTCAACAGAAACCTTGCCCCCTCTGACCTTTGCACAGGGAGAGCAGCTAATCAGCCACAAAGAAACACACACACACACACACACACACACACACGAAAACCCTTTTTGCTCCTTCTTCAACTGCTGCCCTGCAAGCTCTGATAAGCTCCTCCCACAGCTAATCACCTGCCTCAACAGAAACCCTGCCCCCTCTGACCTTTGCACAGGGAGAGCAGCTAATCAGCCACAAAGAAACACACACACACACACACACACGAAAACCCTTTTTGCTCCTTCTTCAACTGCTGCCCTGCAAGCTCTGATAAGCTCCTCCCACAGCTAATCACCTGCCTCAACAGAAACCCTGCCCCCTCTGACCTTTGCACAGGGAGAGCAGCTAATCAGCCACAAAGAAACACACACACACACACACACACACACACACACACATACACACACAATAAAACCCTTTTTGCTCCTTCTTCAACT